ACATACTACGTGTCACCATGGATGAATTACCCTAAACAATGCCACCGATGTACCGTGGATGGATGATGTATGCTAACCATAGATGGAGCCTCTCCGATATAAAGATCTGGAATGTGGTGTGTTATACAACAAAACGTAATTAAACCTGGCAAGCACGCACCAAAACTATGGTAGTTGCAATCATACAATTTGTATGATGCGATCTAACCGCTTATAACAGAGTTGTACGTTTTAACCACATGTTAGCGATGCGATACGTTCTTTTCAATCTATGACAAATGGCATGCTTTTGGCGTTCCGTTCAGCCGAATTTTCTTGGATTAAATCTTCCGAGCAGTAATAAATTTGGATTAGCTCTCGTATCAAACGTGGCACTTACATAAGCGTCACCACTACAAATACACGACGGCACGGTAAACAGCTCATCACATAAAACGATAATTTACGCGCTTGTTCATTTCTTGCTACAACAACACCTAAGAAACATCTCTTCTCATCCCCTTTCGTGCTTTTATTACCGTACCGTAGTACCATCAAAATATATTTGTGTTCCAGCTCACACGCTCTGCCAAAACAACCATCACACCGATGTAGGATGTACAGTGCAAGGGTGTAAGCCTCTTGTGATGGGAGACAAGATGGATGCATTGAAACGTATGCGGTCGTTCAATTCTGAAGGCTTTTTCGGTATGTCAATGCAGCAATCACACTCCGCAACAAACGGTTAATCCTTGCTTCTGTGGTTCTTACGGACTGAAAAACCTTTTCGCTTTTTACCATCAGTACGTCTTTCAACTCACACACAATTTTCGAGCCGTCCAATAATATCGCCCGATAATCCTGTTGAGCTATTCGCTTTTTACCATCAGTACGTCTTTCAACTCACACACAATTTTTGAGCCGTCCAATAATATCGCCCGATAATCCTGTTGAGCTATTCGCTTTTTACCACCAATGATCTTTTGTGTGCATCTAGACCATTCTTCGTTACTTCTCCTTTTCTTTTGCAAATCCCTACCGAATCAGAATTAATAAACTGCTTTAAATCAGTAAAAAATTTTTGCCTCACGGTTACATTAAAAATGATCAAAAGACTCATTTACCGTGTATCGCAGATAAAATACGTGCCATTCATAGCAAAACTAATCATAATAACGGCTTTATCGTACCTTTTCAATGTTGTGCACTTCTACAGGATGAGAAGCGTAAAACCTAAGAAGGTAAAAAACAAGTTTTGTATTATCACCGGTGGAACGAGAGGAATCGGCAGGGAATTGGTGGATTTGCTTGTCCTGAAGGGTTATGAAGTGGTGGTGCTTGGAAGAAGCAATATAAGCCGCAGTAATGTTGTGCGCTATGAATTGGATTTGAACAATTTGAATGAGGTAAAGCAGTTCAGGTTGAGCAGAACGGTCGATCTTTTGGTCATGAATGCTGGTATAATTACCACCAAAACGGATGGAATAGACATGAATTTCAAGGTAAATTACCTGGCCCATTACATCCTGTACAACAACTTACGAGGCAATTTGAAGAATGCCCGCGTAGTTCTCACATCTTCATGTGTAATGCTCTCGGTTGACACGTTCGATCCATACAGCACGTCCTTTTTCTCGTTCAGAAAGTACTGCGAAAGCAAGTTATGTGTGTTTTTACTCGCCAAGTACATCTCAAGGAACACGCAAACGGTTGTTGTACATCCAGGAATCGTTAACACTGCGTTGTTCAAAGAGAATTCTCTGTTGGACCTGTTCATAAACAAGGTATCGTATCCATTTCTGAACAGCATAGAAGAGGCCGCCAATGTGCTTGTGAACGCATGCCAATTTGAGATGTCCAGGGAGAAGAAGATCATCTTTTTCTACGGCTTTGATGAAATGAAGGTCCCACGGTCTATCAACAGAAAGAACGAAAAAAAGTTAATGAAAATTACGAAACACTTTTTAGAGAAAGCTGGAGCGGTCAGGGTAAACAATTCGAGAGCAAAAGACGTTAACGCCCGTGTAACAGAATAGTAATGCGGTATGTGCTGGTGACAGCGGCCCTATTGTGTACATTGCACGATTTGCTAGTAAAAGGGAGCTATTACGGCTGTCCTTCCCAACACACACGTACTAACCCTTTGTATCCCGCTAGCCTATGCCATTGTAACTGCGGTTTTCTTTTACGTTAAAATATTTTATTTATCTTCACATACCACAGCACTGAACAACATGCTTTTCAGTCTTCTGCAATTTCTTTCGTCACGCGGGGAGAAGACACCGCACTCGTTGCGTTGTTGTCATCGACTAACGTATTTTTATCTGAGCCCTGTGCTTTTCAGTTCTTGCTCGTATTCTTGCGGAATAGCTGACCAACAGCACAGGACAAGCACCGATCGGTTAACACTGAGCCCTGTGCTTTTCAGTTCTTGCTCGTATTCTTGCGGAATAGCTGACCAACAGCACAAGACAAGCACCGATCGGTTAACACTGAGCCCTGTGCTTAAACGGCACTCCTACGTACTGCACAATTACATGAGTGATAGCAAATAAAGATGATTGGTTGCAGTTGTCACCACAGGAATACACACGTATCGTTCTAAAAGAACATTTTTGTTAGAACCCAGGGTTTATTCACGAGGACACGCAACACAATTCCTCGCCGGGATGTTCTATACGTTAAATGATGTCGGTTCTTTGCAGTGAAGAACAAATTTTACTTCACGTGAATTACCATGCACTTAAAACAATAAAACATCAGGTTTATGCTCACATATCGCAGGTACGGCGCTCTTCGTTTTACTCAATGTAGCATGCGCCTCTTGGATGAAAAATCGGTATTTCGTGCTCTAACCAGCACTATCAATCTTTAAAGTTATCGTTGGCCAGCTGGTACAGCAAGTTAGGTGCTTTAGCATTCTCTGCATACACGCCGTATCCATATAGCTTGTTGTAAAAGAACCAGAATATACGATAAATCTCCTCAACTTCCTCCAATCGCACGTACGATACATCCTGTTTGTTGAAGAAACAGTGGAAAAAGTATTCGTGTCCGCTCATGCCATTTCGCTGCTTCTTCAACCAGTCCCTGATATCATCCTCATTCATGATAATAAGCCGTCGGATGGAGCGGCGGAACTCAATTTTTAGGTACACCCGTGGCTCCGGAAAGTCTTGAAAAATTAGACTGATGTAGCGTATTTCCTCCCGCTCCTCGTTGTAAATTTCTCTGTAGTAGTAGCGCGCAAAAAGCCTTTTAAATGCGAGTTTCGTAAATTTGATCACTGTGCGGTCAACAACTCGTCTGAAACCTCGTCCGGCATTGAACGTTATTCTCACTCCGAACCACCGTGTGTTGTAGATTTGCATGCTCAGGTACGTATAAGTATCTCTGAGAAGCACACGATCGGATGTGCGCACGAATTCATCGTATATGCGGTGGTAGACGTAGCACCTGAACCACGTACTCTTGATGGTGCGCAGGTTGCGTAGCAGTTTCAGTCGCTCCATCCTCTGCACGTAGTGCGGACATACATCCTTGGTAACATCCGAGTTGTCCTTTGTCACACTGATGAGATTGTTGATAAAGAAATGCTGCATGATTTCGAACACTATGCCATATTTTGTTCTCCGCTCTGTGCTTAGGTCTTGTATTATTATCGCTTCGATGTACTCCCTGGACAGCAAAAAGTTGTAGAATTTGTCTTTCCTGAAAAAATCGTTGATGATGCTCCTCACACACTTCATATTGTAAAAATCGATGAATCGTACATCATTAGGAATGTTTTTGAGTATGTGTACGATGCTAAGATAGTCGTTATTTACTGCAAAAGGCAGTTTGATCAAAATTGTTCCTTTCATCTCCTTGATTCTCTCTATCTGCCTCAAATTACTTTCTATGTTGGAAAAATAGAACACATCGTTCTCAGAGTTCCCTGTCCGTATGCACTCAAGATGCCCTTCGTCAACGAACACAATTTTGTGCACAAACTGGTCTGGCAGACCTATCTTATCCTTCAGCGCGCTCATCCAGCTGTTCTTCTTTCCAGGCGGTATAGAAAAAACCAGCACATAGTCCTGTGGCATTGTTTTGCACAGTGCAAGAAATACTTCATTCGCATTCCGGGACAGAACCGGGTCCATGATCACAAATTTTCTCATTCGGTAGTTTCATATTCTTGCGCACAGCATTTTTGTGCCCATGCAAACCAATAGAGCGATCGATTAACACAAATCGGCTTCTCTGGTCAACCTCTCTCCTATTTGTTATGCTGAAACGAGCTATTCAAGTTTTATGGTTCGATTAGCTGGTAGTAAATTTATTTATCGAGCCGATCTTCACCACGCATGTGCATCGCTTTACAATCCCAAAGATTATATTGCACGAGTTCGCCGTTATTGATGCCTCATTTATTTCGTTCATGATCAAGCAACGACTAGAACACCGATATCTGATGATTTCTGAGGATAATGTAGAACCTTTCCTTCTACGCTCGAGCTATACAAAAACCAGCATGGATGTAAGATACCATACGCCATCCACGGATCAAATCAGCACGGTTATCAATCACTCTTATTATTCGTGCATCTCCGGTTCAAAATCCTAAAGCAAAAATAACTGTCATACTCATAGCAACCATTACTGTATGAGCCTGTGCTCAAACATCATTATTTTATACTTCGCCTCTTAATGATTGTTCTGCACAATGCTTGATCGGATCGAATTCTTTGCGGGTATGCCCATTTGACAAAGTGCTTTTGTATATAACACAGAAAGACAAACTTTGATTACAAAATATTTTTTCAACGTTTCCTCATTTTCTCTCGCATGCAGTATTTCATTGGTTTATCACAGCTTAATTTTCAGCAATGATGCCAGTCGAATAAAAACTATGGAAGGCGTTAAACAAAGGACTTTTCACAAACAGAGCTATAGATGAATAAAACCATCCATTAATAAGGAGAGATGCGCTCAATCACAGTGTGTAAAATTTTCTTCATATTGGCATCAAATCAATTTATGTATTTCCTTACACGTCAGCAATTTACATTTGTGCACGTAACAGACAGCTGCACTCAAGAATAGCCATAGGTGCAGAACAATTATGGTAACCACTAATAAAACCATTAATGCCATGTGTTGATAGTGTAGCATGTTTACAACCTCAACCGCTCGTCTATTTAATTCAGTTTATTAGAATCTGCCGCAAACCAACCATTTAAACTTTTTTGTTTGAATGAAACAAAAAATACTTAAAAATCCATTAATTTTCCTTTCCCCTCATATTAATTGGTAAACCCTTCTCAACATTGCCATTAAAAATTTGTTCTGGTATGAGGAGATGGATAGACGCACTTCCAACGCGTTAAACATATCTATTTATCCTTTCGTACCGCATTACTCAATATTTTAGATAACACATCTAATTACGACGTGGTGAAGTAAAAATCAATTGAAGGTCTTTGAACCACTCGACAGCATATGATCATCTGAATGCGAACGAAATTATCACAATTCACAACTTTTAATTCAACCATGCCCGTTTCAAGTGCCTGTCACAAAAACTTTAAACGCACCTTATCGCCCTCACCAATGGACACGATGGTTTTTTCGTTGATGACTTTTGTGTTAAACAACGTATCAAAGTGCTTAACGAGCTTCAAGAGCTCGAAAGCCTCCAGCACCGCCATTTTTTCACTCAACCGATCGACATCAAGCGATCCTGCTCGGACGAGAACGTAGTATGCGAGGTGTAAATACTTCGTATGGTAGATGTGCATTTCGTCTTTGCGCTCTTTCAGGTGTTCAGGCATGTCGGGCAGTGCAATGTTGTCCATTTTGGTGCTAACCTTCTTCTTGAAAGTGCTTGTGAGCTCAATTGTGCTTGCGCATGCCTTGTATTCACAGATTATTCTTTTATCCCTCATAAACTTTAGAATTGTCTCCAGATCCGTGAAATTGTACTTTTTTATGTTGATCTGTCCTTTCAGCACCAAATCCTTTTTCACATCCACATACTGTTCGTAAAGAATCTGCGGAAGAAACGGCACCTTGCTTAAGTTGCTGTCACAGACGGACGGTACCTGCTTTTTTAGTGCTGTCAGCCGTGCACTAAGTATCTTCGCTCTCTCCGCATCGTAATCACGGTTAATAACGAACAGGCACTCCCTGTAAAACCTTTTCTCCTCGATCATCTTGCATTTTTCGAAGAACTCTTCGCGTTCGCTGATATCAAGATGAACATCAGCGTTTGTCTCCTGATTTACATGCATCCAGAATTCCGGTGTTGCGCTTTTCTTCGTTACCTTAACCGTGTTTTCGTCGTGTTCTAGGTGGATGACCTTCAAATCGTTCATAAGTACCAGATATGGCAAAAAAGCTTTGATCTCGTACTTCATTCTGAGTAGTTTCATGTAATCCGTGCAGAACTCCATGTTAAAAATCTCTTCCATCGGTAAATTTAATATGTGCACCGTTTCCTGGTCGGGAGCACCACCTAGAAAATCGATAGTTCTCGCAACTGCAATGCTACTACCGGCAGCATTGCCCTTGTGAATGTTCTCTTTCTCCGGCGATTCATTATATCCATACTCGCATCCGTTGCGCTCTCCAAGCGGTGCTTCCACGCCGGTGCTCACACGATCATCATTCTCTTCTGCATATATTCCGCCGTTTGACACCTTTTTGGCTGTTCTATGCATTGTTTTATCACAGCTGTCGTGCTGTGCACTTCGTCTCGTCTTTATAATTTCAACCAGTTCGGCCAAAAATTTGTATCGTTTGAACGACACCAGCTTGAAGAACAGACCCAAGCTCATGAACCGTAAAAGATCACAATCAAAGTAAAATTCGTTGTCTTTAACACGTTCAATAAAAAGATACAGCGCTTTAACGCGCCTGTTCATACTCGGCTCGAATCCGTTGTCAATTTCGGTGAACCTGCTGTTTGTAACGAAGAATTTGTGGATCTGTGCCTGAAAGGGTGTCAGACTGACTGCTGTCCTTTTTGGTGAGTAATAGTTGAGCACCAGGGGGTCATCCTGCTGAACATCCTTGTGCGCAATGACAAACTTGGCACCCTGCGCGTCATCGTGCAGCTTGTAAACGTTGAACCCGCCCTTTATGGCTGCATTGATGACAGTTCGTCTGTCCAGGGTGTACCTGCACCCCAGGATCGATTTAAAGTCCTTAAACACCTCTTTGTCCAGGACAAACGCCTTTTTTACGTCCAGAATCTGTTCAATTGCATTTATCCTATCTTCCATCGTTATTCCCTCCTCGTTCGCGCCCTGTTCACGCGCAATCATCCGCTGTCGTTTGCGTTCTTTCAATTTGCTGAGCTCGTTCACATTATAAAATTTCGTCCGTTTTATTTTGCCTTCGAACTCTTCAACTGTTTTTATACTCCCCTCCATCTTGTCGGTGATTTTGTTGAGCAGCTTGAGCCCGATCTTCAGTTTGATACCAAACCTGTCCTGGATGTCCTTGGAGCATACTCCCGTTCTGCTGCCTTCAATGAAATTCTTTAGCTGTGTTATCAACGGAACACCGATCAGAATGTCCATCCCGATGTGCTTTTCCTCGAATGAGTTGGTGGTGCTCATATCGGTAGTGGTATCCTCCGAGTTGATGCTGCGTCTTTTTTCCTTTTGCTGTCCCTTAACAACGTCTCCATGCGCATCTCTGCGTATTCTGACCACAATTTTGTTGTCCTCCACGGTTTTGTCGATATAACCGAGGCACGCCAGCTTTTTGATGATATAGAACATTTTCTTTGGCTCGATGTTCAGCGTGGCTCTCAAATTGGCCACCGATACGTACTCGTTCATTCTTATAAGCATGTCAAACACGTAATAATATTCTTTGGACGTGAAGTTGAAGCTTCCGTTGGTCAAGTACTCCTTCCAGGCAACTGTATTCATCCTGACGTACAGGTTTCCAAGAAGCAGGCGTAGAATGTATTTGTCTTCGCAGGACAGCTGCAGACCGATCGCATATGCTTCTTTATCCACGGCATCGTATTCAGCCGTGCATCCGTAGTTCAGCCGGCCGTCAATCGAATTTAAGCTGTTTACAGCAGCATATCTGTTCGCTAACTCGTTCATAGGACCGTATAACTCGCAACGCCCATAATCGATCTTCTTAGCACCGGTCATCCGCCTCTCTTCAAAGTATTTCAATATTTCTTTCTGCTTAGAATCGAGCGCTAGTGTTGTAAATGACGAGTGCAGTTCGGCGATCTGCTCGCCAGTAACGAATTCTACCCACTGCTCGTTGAGCAGTGTGAACAATTCTTCCTCATTTAGCTCACTACATGGTGTGCCGAATATTCCGTACGAAAAAATCTTTTCTTTCAAATTACCGAGCATGTTGTTCCAAATTTTTGCCCTTCTATAGCTAAAAATTTCATTTATTTATTTCATCCGGCACGTACACATTTCCAACCTGTACACTTTTGCGTAGACACGATCTGTATTGGTACAAAATGTGTTTCTTGCCGGCACCATGGTTTTTCTTTCTGTTTGCTTAACAAATAAAATCCGGCAATTATCTCCTTTTGTGATTTTAATGGCATATTCACCGACTTAGCACAAAGAATCGAATTTAACGCATTTGGTGTTTTATTTAATAATTTTTTTGCACGGGCATTTAAACACCCTTGCACACAGTGCTTGGTCGCAATGCAGTCCATGGTTTCTTCAACACCGTTGTTTGTGCGTTTAACTCGCTTGACACAGCTATTAGCGCAGCTACCGCTGCTTCACTCGAAATAGTCATTATTACCATTTTTGGCTCTGTTTATATTGCATGGAAAAATGGTCACATATAATAAAATACCAAAAATAAAAATTTTATAGCTTTTATCGTGTGACACGATGGCGTAAATTTTATCGAGTGGTATGAACAATTTGTTGTGGATGGCGAGTGTTCTTGAGGGGCGATGAACGAAAAAAGCAAATTTGTACGTTGTTGTGCGGTTGTAATAAACAGACTTAAACAGACTTTTGTATAAAAAAGCAAATTCGTACGATTAGATACACAAAAGGCGAAAATATTGTACATGGTGCATTTTCGTTAGAAATGCTTTTGTTGCTCACAGAAGAGCGTTTACGTGGTACTTGAACAGAATTATACTCGTTTTATCTTTTCTGTGCGATATCGTACGTTCATGACGGCAGGAGTATTCGTGAGCACAATTTTAGGTAAAAATGAGGAATCTGCCATGATCCATCCGACTTCTTGTTCTTGCATCTTCGGTGACATGCCACGCGTTAACATGTTGTTGATGCTCAGTTCGATTACCGCTCACAATACGTAAAAATGTTTTGCTCATGAATTGTGCCCACACCATGGCGATGAGACGAACACCTCATTCCCACAAAATGGGAATAGCTCATTCAGATAAGCAAAATACATCTCATACACCATTAGCGCACCCAAAATGTTAGACGCGTGGTTTTACCTTCCAATTCTTTCACGGGAATGGATTCAGCCATCTTTGTTTTCTAGGCTGCCGCTCTGATCGTTCCTGTGTCATCCAAAGCGATAAAAATCGAATAAAAATTTTGGTACCTTGGATTTGATTCGAGAACAGAAAATGGAAATATCACGTTAAAAACACAAACAGAGAATTGTATCGACAGATAAAACTGCAGTAGCAAACGTTTCAAATTAGGATTTAATGACCAGGCTATAGGAAACTATAGACTTGCTCCGGTAGCTCAGTTCCCTTTTCGTAGAAAAAAAGGGATGTACGTGCCGTGTTGACCTCCTCCAGGAGTCGGTACATCTCTTTGATTCTATCAACGGGCACTGTGTTGAATTCTTTACCTGCCACCAGAGAACACAGAACAAGGTCATAATCATCATGAACATACGTGTCTTTGACGTACTTCTCAACCATCGTGGTATCTACAAGCACGCTGTCCTGTGATACAACGTTTTTGCCGGGGTAGATGTCAAATGTTACGTTGTTGTCTGTGCTCAGCACTTTTACGGTGGTTTCCTTGTTCTTCAGCCCTTTGCCCGCGATGAAAAGGACGTTGTATCCGTTTTTGTGCTCAAAGACAGAGAATGAGAACGTTTCGGTGTGCGATCCCTTGAACTCGTAATCATTGTACTGTCCTTTCAGGTGCAGGTCTTTGAATGTGAGGTCCTTCAGGGAGCCGTTCCCAAAAATATGCTCGTACACGCTGAACAGGTGTGTGAATACCATGTCCTTGAAGATACCGTCCTTGTCGAATGCTACGCGATCGCCGGCCAACGTGCTTTCTAGTGAAAAGAGTTCAACACCGGTCACATTTTCTAATAGCGGCTTAACCCTGTGCTCAAAACGCGGGAACGCCAAAATAAGCGGTTTAAGCAGATAATGGTCGATAAACCTGAACTTCACATTCTTAAAATGCTGCGCATCCTCCACCTCTTTCAAACATGTGAAAAACGGCTTCTCCAGAGCAACGACCACCTCTCTGTCCAGGCCGTTCAGGCATTGAACGATGGAATGGTGCCTGTGCGAAGGTATACACAAATAGAAGAGCGCCAATTTCTTGTTATCTACCATTTTTGTTATTTTTTCCACATCTGTGTACTCTCCCTGCACAACTTTTATGTTCTTTTCATCATTCTCTTTCGCCAATGCCTGCAAAAAATCGCAGTCTATGTTTCGCGAGTACAAAATAATTTCGCACCCTTCGTAAAGCCTCTCTTTCAGGATAGAAGGCAAAATTTTTGTTCTGCACAAATTTCCTGATGCTCCGAAGATAATCAAAATTTTATCCATGGTAAAATCTGAGCAGGGTGATAAATATGGTAATTTTTTGCAGATACAAAGCAGTGTACGGACGAATAAACGTACTTTTGATGAAAACGATACGACCGAATAAGGTAATGGGAGTGCATGGCGTGTTGGTCTATGGTCTTGTAAAATATCAGCGTTTTGCTGTGATAGCACCTATGAAATTGACCCGGCCGCTAAGAAGCGAGCGATGAGTACGTACCGAATCGAGTTACAACTGCTAAACCAGTTAAAACAATCAAAATGGCATTTTTATTGATCAGGAATTGTTTCTCGGCGTTGATTCAATCTCCGCTAGCAATAGGAATGATCAAATGAGTACGTGTTAATCAAATGTAGCAATTCTAAAAAATAAACATTGAGCAGTGTTCAACATAACGAAAATATCATGGCGTATTAAACCGTAAAGATACCGCGTTTGTTCTCATTAATAATAAATATATCTGATTACGGTGCCTGAGTGACGCGTTTCGTATCTTCTGATTTGTTAATTTCCTCCCTTTACCCGTTTTATTGTGAAAAGTGTTTTTAGCAAAGTTTCCACGGAACAATCACGTAGCAGCAACACAAATGTAACCTTGTCATATTCTGGCAGAGTAAAGCGTTTAGCTGTCTTTAACTGCTGTTTGAGCGCGCAATTCATGGTTATGCACGGCAGGAATATTTTTACCACTGAGTTGCGCTAATCCATCTCTTCAAAAACACCTTCATTCGATGATTGGGCACATCGCCTTCTCTAACGGGCTAATCAAAAAAAAATACTGCACGGGTCAGTGTGATTGGGTGCAGGAGACACGCCTGTTTCGTTTTACAACACGGGTGTGGTTGCTTATAGCGTGGTATTCAATCGTGCAGACATTGTTGGACCGCACTTTCCATGTCATCGTTGCCGGCCGTGCATCTGCGTTAACATTTTGCAGATTTACTCTTTCAAGTAAAGTAAAGGATGCAGGACATGGCAGTTGGCCATTCAAAAGAATTTTTACCACGGTATTGCCGGGAAGGTCGTGGTATAATCGTTGTGAAACGTACGGTTAAACCGTGCATTGAGAGTGTTTTGTCCTTTTCTATTCTTGCAGCTCTACGGAGTGATCATATGGTGGTACAGAACGTGCCATGGCACCGTTGCTGTGATACGAATCGCTAACCACATCCAACACCTGAGCAGGTCGTTTATTGCATTTAACACGCACCTGTAACAGCGGTACAACTTTTCTAGCGTAACAATACCAACTAAAAATTACGTTGGCACCGCACTGTGCCGGGTTGTTCCTGAGATATTACACGGACCACGGAAGCGACCGGCAACCCTGCACTATCCGCGATATTACACGGACCACGGAAGCGACCGGCAACCCTGCACTATCCGCGATATTACACGGACCACGGAAGCGATCAGCAACCCTGCACTATCCGCGATATTACACGGACCACGGAAGCGATCAGCAACCCTACAGCATTAGCCCAAGGTACCGATCAAAAATACGCGTGCGGAACGTCCTAAAGATGAAAAATTGCAACCACGCAGTTTGTGAATTTGTACTGAAATGAGGATCTGCGGCACAGCAGCAACCATTTTTTTAACAGTTGCTCTGATAAGCGAACGATACCCCGATCTGTGCACAGAAATAATAAAGTGAACGTTTACTCCATCCGTATTTACTTGAAAATTATAGGTCTTGGCGCCTCTTTCTCATGCTATGGGTCTTCTCTAACGAGTCTACCATCCACTCAAATGCCGGCAACAGCCTGACCAACGGGTTATTATCAGTTGCAGACACGATTCCTGACACGGTCCTGCACTCCCAGAAATCACACACGCTCTCAATGTTAAATGTCTTCAACATCCTCTCCTTTCTATTTTCGAGCTCAGGATCGTTGGGATCATCTGCCTTGTTCGCCAGAATAAGTACCGGCTTGTTTTTGTAGTTATCAAGGATGCTCTTCAACGCTTCACCAGCCTCAACCCACCGTTCCTCATCAAAAATATCCGTAACGAACACCATCCCATCACTCGTATCGACATACTTACACCACACAGGCCGTATCTTGTCCTGTCCACCGATGTCCCAGCACGAAAACTCCACGTTGTTGACCTGGAACTTCTCAATGTTGAAACCAATTGTGGGAACAGTAGGAACCGTGCTCTTGAGCTTCATCTGGTATAGAATTGTGGTTTTCCCGGCCGCATCCAATCCTATCATACAGATGGAGTACGGTGTCTTTGTATTAAATAAGTTTGTAAATGCTGTTATAACACTGCCCATTGTTTTACTTTGCCCTTCCTTTAGTTTTTTTTATTTAAATTTTTAATTTATTTTACGACCTGTAACAAAACGTGTAAAGGATCAAAACACCGAAAAGTAGCGCTTGCAGTTGCGTGCCGATAGGTGTTCAGGGCCAGAGATCCTTCAATGGGCCAAAGTAGTGGTACAATATGTGAAGTATACCGGAGTTGGTTGTTTTATGTGTGCAAAAAACGTAAGGTTAAGTTTAACACATTAAAATACTTCCTAGGCAGTAATCGTCTCCTGCAATGATCGCACAGCACGAACAAAAATAAATTATCATATAAATAATTAAAATTGATAAAATGGAAAAGCGTGCAGCACAGGCTCTTTATACATTAAAATCTTACCAAGTGAATTATTGATAGTACACTATCAGAAAGTAGCGATTAAAACGGCACCAACCTGATGCTGTGTAATCAACGAGTTCTTTGGGAATGTTCGGGTATTTTCCTATGAAAGTGTTATTAAGGCCGTGTTTCATGAAACAGGACCTATAAAGTGTTTTGCCTCGAGGACACATCCTGATGGTGGCGTTTTGAAGGTTAGCGCACACATATGCGCCAAATTGTTAATATTCTGTGGAATACTTGGTTTGGAGTATATGACACCGCAGTGTTTTGGCTATCAGGTTCTCCTTTCAAACTTGAAGGGAAACAGCGATTGTATGAGCATAGCCAACGAACGGAGCAGATGCACTGTACTCTCCCTGTGCAATGATGAAATACGCTATGTACGGTGTTTTTTACTTAATCTATAACTTTACAAATATCCGAATTGTAGGAATGGCGGGGCAAAATACGATGGAAATGTGAACAACGACAAAAAATGTTTTAATTGCGTTACTTTAGGTGAGAAGAGCAAAGTGCACCATTCTTCGTCTCAAAGTGCAAATCTCTCAATTAAACCCCCAATTTGAGTGCGCAAACTTCTTTTAAATTTGTTGTAACCAAAAACACTGCTATTTACATCCTTGCACAGGTAACCACCGAGAAGATCAAAATAATTGTTGATCGAAACAGGGAATATGAGGGGCATTGAAGATGCCCTGTAGAATACGTGAACTAGCACAATTTTTGGCGCAAAACTATTTTTTTGTGTTTGTTCAGGTGCTGTTCACGAGGAGATAAATAAATTTAATGTGTAAAAATTGATCTATCGAGAGGGCATAGCGCACGTAATTGATAAGAAAAATATAAAATGATGGTCTTAAGAGAAGAATGAGCTGCGTTCAATGGATTACCTGGTGCTGCTCAATTTACAGGCAGAAATAGCACAGCTAGTATTGCTATGATATAATTTATCTGATTACATCTAAATATGTGTTGACACTACGATACGAGCAATGCATTCCTCACGTCCAAATGAAATATATTGTTTATCCTGGATGATTGGGAGCATGTTTACCGCAGTGAATGAGATACAGAACAAGATGACCCGCCGTCTGCACACGATGGACATAAGGCTCTTTATTTAACACACTCAGTTGTAAAGCAACGGACCAGAAACCTTTCGATCAGCAACCTTGGAGTACGCCTCCTCAAAGTCCTTCTGTAGAATGACGTACCTGCCGTTCCGTATCGCAAGCATCCCTGCCTCCTGGCATATGCTGTTCAAATCAGCACATGACAGGCGGTCAGGCCTGTTAACAAAGCTTTCAAGATCAACCTCATCAGATAGGTTCATCTTGTTGGTGATTGCGTTCAGAACAAGCCGTTTCTGTCTCTTGTCAGGCATCGGAAACTCGATTTTCCTATCTAGGCGACCGGGCCTAAGCAGTGCTGGATCCAGAATGTCTGCACGATTGGTCGCCATAATGACCTTCACATTGACCGTCACCTCAAAGCCATCCATCTGATTCAGAAGCTCCAAAAGTACTCTCTGCACCTCTCGATCTGCGCTCGTGGCTGCATCAAACCGCTTGGTCGCGATTGAATCGACCTCATCGATGAACACTATCGAGGGAGCCTGCTCCCTTGCAAGCCTGAACACATCTCTCACCATTCTTGGGCCTTCTCCGAGGTACTTCTGCACAAACTCCGAGCCGTTCACCTGTATGAACGTTGCTTTTGTCTTGTTCGCCACCGCCTTCACCAACATTGTCTTCCCGGTTCCAGGTGGTCCGTACAAGAGCACTCCCCGTGGAGGATCTATTCCTATCTGCTTGTACAGTTCAAACTGTTTGAGAGGCAATTCAACCGTCTCTATTATCTCCTGTTTTTGGGTTTCAAGACCGCCCACATCATCGTAGGTAACGGTGGGCCGCTGTGCCTCCATCATCACAGGTATGCTAGAGTCGGCATCAGGTGGCAAAACATCAACAATGGCCGATGAGTGCCTGTGCAGCGCCACGGTGGTGTTAGGCTTTAAGAGTTCTTTGTCGACCGTGCTCAGGATCTTCACAACCGAGTTACTGCCTGTGGTACTGCCAACAATTGCGGTCTGCTTGTCAATTGCCTCCAGAAACTGGCCCATTATCAAAGGCACGCTTTTCACACGCTTTATTTCTTCCTTTGCACGCAGCAACTCGCTCTTCAGTATGTTTATGTCCTTAATGCACTGCTGCTCCTCTCTACATAGTATTTCTAACTCGTACTGTTTATTCTTGTACTTTTCGTATACCTTCAGCGCAAACAGCTCCTCATCATCTTTGGTTTGTGTTTTTGTGCTCATCAGGGGCAGCAAAAATGGCACAAAAATTTGTTTGCGATACAAACGAGCCGTATCGAGGCCTAGGAGCCCATATGAATGGCGCGGGACGCATTAAACGAGAAGAGGAGGTGAGCAAATGCAATTTATATGAATGGCACGAGACGCATTAAACGAGAAGAGGAGGTGAGCAAATGCAATTTATATGAATGGCACGAGACGCATTAAACGAGAAGAGGAGGTGAGCAAATGCAATTTATATGAATGGCAAAGAGATATGTGCATATATACGGGTTGACACGCGGTAAGTTGTAAACAGTTTTTTAAACCGTACGTACGCAACGGTACCAATTGATAAAGCGTAGCTAAAGCATTTAACAACACCTTGGGCACCTTAAACATTCGCTAGTACGGCTAACAGATGCATTTGACACACTCCGACATGTGACACACTCCAACATTGCTGAGGCGTTCTCAAAAATCGCGTTTTTAAGGGTCTAATTGCGTTTCGGAGGGTAAAAGCATTTTGTACAGGTTCCCAGCCGCTAACTCGTATTGCAACGCCATTCCGCCCCAAACATGAGATACAAATGATGAGATACGTGTGTGGAGTGGTAGGCGTTTGCTAAAGACGTGCATATCAATAAAATTGGTGTTCGATAGCGGATATGAACCTACAGCTGTCCAACCAAGAAAAGCTCTCCTGGCCAAGGCAACAAAAACATGCCTACAATCGTGTACACCACATATACGCACTTTTCATCAGAATGTTTGTTGGACAATACGTGTAAATAATTTGATCGCATCAGCACACGGTATTAAACCATGTGTAGGATTAATTTGGCACATATAATTGGTTCTGTTGTTTTACCGTAAGCACAGAGCTGATTTGTCTATCAGATAACATTTGTGCGCCCTTCCAGGCTGTTCACAATGGTTGAGGTCCTTCCTTTGCTACCCTCTTCATAGAACTTCTTCTATTATGTGCCGCTAGTGCCAACGACCTGTATGAATGCTAACATAATGCGCATTAGATCAATCATTTCAAGTTAAAAGCTGCCAGTGGCCCATGTGCACATCAATTTGTGGTAACTTTTTACCGTCCTTTCTTGGCATTCATTTAAGAGGAAAAAGCGATTTGTTGCAACATGGCCGCGTTAAACGAATGAAGTGACAGGAAAATGGCAGCCATTCATTCTACAGTACTTGTATTAGAGCGCATTTTCACCTGATTACCAAGAGGCTCCGTTCCTCTCACGAACAAATCTTGTATTAAACTGCAGGTGACTTGGAGAACTAGCATCGCTATTACAAGGGGGTGTGAAAGGCCCTGCCATGTAACGTAAGTGTACGCACTCGTCTTATGGCATTTGCATTTCAATACTAGGAGTGTAAGAGACATTAAAACATGTGATTGTTTAATAAGATTATCATATTTTACGTTTGTTTATACTTTTTAGTTCCATATTGAGAAAGGTAAAGGACAACGGCCTACTTTATATTGCATTTTTGATCCTTTTCATTAAATATCATGATCAATAATCTGATTGCTTGACTGTGTTGCAATTTGCTATGATTACCGTGAAATGGCAAGATTGTGCTTTTGCACCAACTGCACGTGTCACTCACACTCCCTGTGTGCTGTTCGCTCAGAAAACCAAAGGCTCCATGCCTAAAAGTGAACAACAGCTCATAAACCGTTTCTCCCATCTATCAAACTTAAATAACACGTTCTCCTTGGCTAAGTGCAGCAGCTTACCTGCTAGTTGGGCCAAGTGTCTGCACCTTGGCAATACATCTTAACCAGCAGCGTGTCAAGGTAGTGGCAGCTACACGCCCAGAGTGTTGAACACACCAGAAAAGCAAACAAACGCACCCACGAGAAGGTACGGTTTTCACCGCTTTTCAAAGCGGGAGAGACGTTCCTTCCATCGCCATTCTTTCCGTGCGAAACGGTCGATACCAACTGATTCTTAGGCCATTATCAACCACCGTGCTTGTTCCACCAGCATTCACTTCATAACAACGATTCATGTGAAAACACATCGTGCTGATCTTCTGGTACCGTGTCTGCTGTTAGGTCTTATCATATGTGGGATTGAAATCTGAGACTCGATACTATCGTTTGGCCCCAGCATCACCTGTGGAGTGGTGAATGCTGAAATAAGATGTTCCATGATCAAAACGTCGACACAGCGATAAAAAGGTGTTCTATGGCAGCCTGTGCCATATTCCTGATTTCATTACAAAACAAAACCATCACATCCAATAAAACACTTGTTTTACAAATAAAGGATTTTTAAGCAATTTACCGTGTCTACGATAGTAAATGTACGTTTTATACCACCTGTTAGCCTTCGTGGCGGCAGAAATGATAAAAATTATACCTGTGTGCGATGCAGAGTGCCAGAAAAATATGTTGCTCGCCAAATACTACCCCGCACCAAATACGCTCAGTGATGCGAGTTATTGCGTGCGTGGCGTGGACGTGAGGAACAACAAGAACTGTGTGGTGGGTGTAAGGGGCGTGGTTGCTCAACCTGGCATTGTAAAACCGAGCGAAGTACCGGTCAATCCTCCGCCAGGTGATGTTATTGTTTCCACGTACTACAAGACCGTAACAGTCAATCCTTCGATGGCAACACCAGCTGTCGCCGTTTCAGCAAGCGTAAAGCCAAGTCAAGTCGTTTACCACTCAAAGAACGTTACAAGTTCGGTTCCAGCCGCCAAGATTTTGCCTGAAAAGGCACCACCTGTGATGAGAAATGCCACCGTGCCTGCTGTTGCACCGTCTGTCCCTGTACCAACACCTATACCCGTCGCCAAGAGGCCGGCATCTCCAACAATACCACCCAGAGCCGTGATAGCGAGGCCTAAGATGACGGTCACTCAACCTCCGCTACTAATAGACAGACCCGCTGTGCAAAAAGTTACCGTTTCGCAGCCTCCTATAGTGATTAACAGGCCGGTGGTGCAGACCGTTACGGTGGCGCAACCGCCTGCAACCGTGAGCTCGGTGTGGACCGTTACGGTGGCACAACCGCCTGCAACCGTGAGCTCGGTACAGACCGTTACGGTGGCACAACCGCCTGCAACCGTGAGCTCGGTGCACACCGTCACGGTAACTGTTGCGGCACCACCGCCACCGACACAAACCGTCACCAAGGAAATACGTGTAGAGAGCATGCCAGGAACAACGGCAACTACTGTGAAGCAGCCGGAGGGCAAGAAGCCAACTGTAGAAATTAGCACACCCATCTCGTCCACGGTCAACATCAAGAAGCCGGATGCTAAATCTACGCCCAAGCAAGAGCCCATTCCGGTATACTCCGCCTATCCACCAGATTACTCAAATTATTACGCATATTACGGGTATGCAGACCCGCGTACCTACTATCCTTACGATAACAGGTACGGATACTACGGAAATTACTATCCACCGGTCTACTCCCCCCCGGGCTCACAAGTGAAAGTGAGCAAAGAGAACGAGCGAGTGAACGACAAGGAGGAGATATCGAAGTACAAGATTGTGAAGAGTGTCGACCCTGCACAGGCTAAATCGATAATTAAGGCACAGAATGAGAAAAATCGTGGATCGGGCACAAACAAGGAGAATGGAACGGATAGACCAAACAATGGTAAGAAAAAAACTGCAATGGATGAAAACCACGGTTTGTACGATACTCATGAGCCTTCGCCAGACGTGGATGTGACCGATAACAGTTTGTTGGACCCTTCATATGCGCCGAGGATGTACCAGAAAAACTGGGACTCCGATGACGGAGCTAATGATGCTGCACACACAAATAAAGCAAAGCAAAAGAAGCACAGGAAATCAAAACATCACAAGAATGGCCACAATCACAAGAAAAAGGGCTCACATGGTTCAGAGGACAGTTCACACAGACGAGACAGGAATGCTGTGCCATCAAATATCAATGAGAATCCGTTTGACAAGGAGGATTTCAAATACGTAGCTGACTTCGGAGATGAATACAACGATAATCTGCCCAAAGAGATACACGAAAGGCAACCGCATGTGAATGAACCGCAAAACATAAATAGGTACCTGTACGATCGGATCTACAAAAAGCTGCGGAATAAGGACATATTGGAACGAATAAACCTTGACAACGAGAAGAACAAAGAAAAGAAGCTGAAAAACAAGTACAACAGCATTATATACATAGACGAGCAGGACAAGGTGCTACGGAACAAATTATTTAATGAGTTCATGGGAGAACGAAGCCTTGATCATGAAGCGCCTGTTAGGAGAAATGGTGATGAGATTGAACTGAGTGACAGCTTTAGCGCGGTGTTACCAAACAAAAAATCGAAAACTGGCGAGGATAATAACAGCAGCAGTAGCGACGAGATTATGTTCCTTTCTGATCTGCTCAAGTGATAGTTATTGTCAGCGAGGGGGAGTGCTATCACATAAGTAAATCTAAATAGAAGATATTCGGATAAGCTTGGTTGTTTTCGTGGCGTATCTGGCATTGATACGCAGCGAATTGTTTTACAGCACGAAATACGTTCCACTATTTTTTGTCGAAGTGTGTCCGAGAAGGGGACTGCGTAACGCAGCACGGCTGCAGTGACGCGCAAGCATAACGAGCAGTTTAGGTGGTGTGTACAGAACCGCGCACCAAAACTTATTTTTCTGCACCAGGGAAGGGCAACAGCCCCTGCACCGTATTGTCACGCCCTCTTTGTGCCACAATATGCATGGTTCATAATTATGAGGAGAACTGTCACGTTTTACTTATAAAATCCTGTTGATCAACCGTAGCGTGCAAGCACGCTGTCTCTGAATGCCTTGATGTCCTCCAATGTCCCAATATTATACAGCTCATTTATCTCTTTCTTCTTCGTCTCACTTTTTATGTCTTTGTTCTCCATCAGCTCGTTGAATTTGGTGCTCAACTTCCCTGAGATTGTGTACGCCTTTCCACCGACCGCTTTCTTCGTCTCCACAAACAGCTTTTTGAGGAACTCGGAGTTGGATAAAAGGTCATTCACCTCAACATTTTCTAAAAAACAGGTCATCTGCGCAATTTCTGCCTCTTTGTTCGCTATCATCTTTTTGTACCGCCGAGCCTCGTTCTTGTAAAATTCCTGCTCGTCCTTGAGCTTCATCAGTTCGTCCATCATTGCGTCAATATCGTCCTCAACGACCAGATCGGTTATCTTTCTCTCGTAGGAAAAATCTTTCGGAAACGTGAAAATTTGTTGGAGGCTAAAGTTCTCAAAGATCAAGAAGTTCTTCCTAAACTCAGAAAGCACGTAGCTACAAAGCTGCTTTTTTGAGGTTGCCGAAAGACCTGCGTTGTTGATCGTGTGTGTGATCGTTTCTTCGAGGCTGGAGCACAGCTCCTGCAGGAAACTACAGGGCACAAACCCAAAGAATTCTGTCTCATCCTCAAAATGCATGGGTAAGGGGAGCAGCAAAAAAATAATGGTTAGGTGTTCGCACTGTCCCTCGCAAATTATTCGCTTTCCGTTCTTCACAAGTATCTGAGGGCCTACGCACAACGCAAACGTGTCGTATTGCAATTAGAAAACTCGTTTTGTGGAAATGAGAGAGAACAGGCGTACACAAAACATTTGGAGTTATCAAAGCATATTCGTGCCAATAACTGTAAAATAATTACAAGGTAAACCATCAGTGCACGATTTACGACACGCCCCATTTGTACACCTCAATGCCTATGAAAATATTTAGTCTGCACAGATTCATAGCTACGGTTCACCACAAAGGACTTAAAAATGAAGCAATGCTGCTCACACAGCTTTATAGGTCATTTCTTACTCCTCACGCACGAGCATGTACCGTAGTATTGCCGATGGTGATTTTAACAGGCAACACTTCTTGTTTGAAGTGCTCAACTGTTCCTCATACCGTCAGTCGATCAAAATATTTTAAGGGTCTGACACGTCCTCGTTCTGGTCTACCTCGTCACTGTCAGGGGAGAGAAAGAACGTATTTCTCCACTAACGGTACATCTATCCATCTCCTTGTACAACAACACGACTTGTGCAGTACTGCTATCAATGCACTGACACAAACGATGCGATCGGCACTTTTTTTTCGATTTTCTGGCACATTTGTTAATTTATTTTGTTAATTTATCAAGTATCGCAGTATGAAAGGCATCATTGGCGTGGGCGTCAATGAAACTACCACGGTTGGACCGGTCCATAAAATCGTGCCAAATAGGTCATAAATCACTCCCCAGCCGTTTACAACCGAGTTCAAAAATTAAAAATTTACCGTTCCTCTGAAAAGAGCAGGCAAAAATGGACAATTTGGTAATTTACGCACAGACACCGTTCTATTTGGAAATAACACTTTTGTATGACCTGAGAACGACTTTGGTATCATTCATTCGTACCTACATGGCAATTGTGCCCTGCTTTTTTAGATGGTCAGCAAGCGGTATCCTTGACAAGCTGAAAGTGCTCACAATTCTGATAGCTTTCACGTTTCTACGGTCTTTGAATTGCTCACGCATGTACCATTCTCTGAAGGCGCAGTCTCTTGTACGGCTTTATGTTCTGTTCAATGTGCTGGAGCTTGCCGAGAAGCTGATAGGCACACTGGTGGATGACATTGCCAGGGCAATTGAGGAGAGGATGAAGAGAAAGCGGGAACAAGATCATACGGTTTTGGAGGATGAGAGCGTTTGTCCTGACAAGAGCAGCTTGTGCCCTGGTAGTAATTTGTACAGGAATGAAAATGAGAATGGCGTAACAAACAATGGAGTTGACGGCGTAAACACGGTTCATGGACATGTCAAAGCAAATAAAAGAGAATCAGAGACAGATCAAGAGAGCGGTATAAGCCTTGAAGATCAAGTCGGTGCACCGCCGGGCAATTCGCAATCTTTGATCGCCAATTTTGCGTTGCTGATCGTTCTAGCCGCACTTTTTGTGGTTTCAACAGCGATGCACACACTGATTCTGTACTTTCAGTATCTCATCATTCAGCTTTCGCTCAACTCATCGTCAAGTGTTTTGTACTCGCTGGTCATCTCCAACCAGTTCCTGGAGTTGAAAGGCAATGTGACGAAAAAGGGGGATAAGAAGATGCTTTTCTCTCTGGTGGACCATGACGGAACCAAAAGATTTAATCTGTTGCTATTTCTGATCGTGGCATTCCTTTCTGTGTGCGTAGAGTCTGAGAAACTGACGTTCACCAAGTTTATTCTGCCGATAGTTGTCGTTCTGCTCTTCAAAATCCTTGTGGATTGGATCAAGCACGCGTTTTTTTGCAGGTATAACAATTTAAACCTGAACTTCTATACGGACTATAGAAGGGAGTACTTGAAAGGCACCAATTTTGTGGGCCAGCACATTCTGTTCATGTGGATGCTTTATGAGCTGGCAAGGATGGGATACTTCAGCTTTATTGTTATTTTTCTTGTTTGTGTTCATTTTGTTGGAGTTTTTATCAAATAAATGATATTCGGTACAGAGACTGTTTCATTGGCGGCAGAACGCCTGCACTGCTTCTTATGACACGTAGCACATGCTGTTTGAATGGTGATAGCAGCTTTCCAGGTGATCGATGGATGTTTGCTCGGCGCCAGAAATGGTCGTAGGGATAAAACGGTGAAGCATTGAACAAGAACTACGAGTGGCAACACAAGCACAGAAAAATTGTGTTTTGCTAAAGGTACGTTTACTTATCTCCTCACGCCAACGGCAAATTCAGAAAAAAGGGAAATCCGATGAACAACACAAATTCAGACAATCATATTTGGGTTGCCGTTTGCCCTGTGAGCAACAAACAAATCTTCGTCCTCAGCAAATGTAATGAGCTATGATAGTACTTTTCTGTATTTGACGGCATTCATCCATAGCCATAGCACGATGTAGCCGGTTGAGGTGGCGAAACGTAAAAATTAGCGCGCCTTGTCGCTTATTCTGAATAAACTGTGGTCCTTGGCAGAGGTGTTCACCAGGGTTGTTTTTGGTTGAGAACAGCAACTCACCTTTTCACTGTGAAAAGCGTTCAGACACGTCATTTCCATTTTTTTGCACCATCGTTTTTCTCTTGGAGACGCTAACAAAGGAACATTGTTGCGAAAAAACATGGAGAATCGGCAGGAAACGAAATTTGCACGGGCATCTTTTTTCTGCTAGATTGTATATGAACAGCATCGCGGATGCAATCCCTACGCACGCCTGTCACAGATCAGACACGCTGTGTTTCAGATGCAGAGTTAAGAGAAGAACGCTCTTCAACACGATGCTAAACGATTATCTCTCTTCTTTGGCAGCAAATGCGATCAAAACACTCGAAAATTACAATTTAATACTCAGCACTCGCAAAGATTTTCTGACAAAGAATTTAACAAACGTGCAAATCCTTGAAATTCAAGACATAAACAACAGCTTTCCCTGCCTGGTACACGCTACAGACGAGCACCTGATATCGTGTGCAGAAAAGGACAGCATCGTTTTCTTCCTGACGGTGTGCAATTTAAACCTACGAGGTGTTTCGCTGCACTGGTATTTCATGAGGATGACAAACGATCTATGGTCGATGGAACGGAACACACTCAAGGACTTGTTTATCGAGGGCGACATGTTTATCCTTACCGAGCTGGCCACGTTCTTCAGGCGTGTCCGTTTCAACAAGATATACTGCAAGGGCGCCGTGAGCAAGCAGCTAGGCATGCTGCTGTTGCAGCAAGCAAAGGCAGCTCCGAAGAAAGGAAAGCACCGCATCAACAATCTGCTCATATTCGACCGCACGGTGGACCTGCTCACGCCAACCAACACAAAAATAGATAATTGCATCACAGAGAAGCAGATGATCAGCATTCTGCTCACCAAAAACGACAAGATCAACAAGCTGAACACGCTGCTCAACTTCTACCTCCTGACATCGCTGCTGAAAATTGAGATGCCCATGATCAAGAGGGAGATGGTGTACACGTTTGGTGAAAAAATTGTTATAATCTTCGATATGATTGATAGGATGGTGAGCATCAACCAGGACGGACACATTTATATACCTGATTTGTGTAAGGCTGCGGTGAACAGGGACAGGCAGTTTTACTGCTTTGATGTGGATGAGGGCACCGATGGAGATGGCGAGAACGTGGTGCTGTTCATGGGCGGTGCATGCCAGAAAGAAGTTGACGATCTGAAGGGCTTTACGGTGCTGACAACGAAGCTCATCAACGATGATTTGGTGAAGGAGCTGATATAGGTTGAAAGCTTGGCCGTTCTTGTCACTCCGGGTTACAAGGGGTTAGTACGCCCGGTTGGGCACGGTACAGTAGCGCACTGCACCAGTTGTTCATCTTTGTGTGTTGAAGCACCATTAACTGTGCCGCTCAACCGCTACTTTTACTCTTACGGACGAGCCAGGAGATAAACAGGCGAATTTCTTCAAAAATGGCTCGACAAGGCTTGCAACACGTGTAAACGTAGTGATAAGTGTTTGAAAGAATGGAATACCAAGTAAAACACGTATCTGTGCGACTGCGCATTCATTCAGGATCGATTTTCAAAGTGCAATAAAAGGTGTTCACACTGTACGAATGAAATTCTTGAGTACAAATAGTGGCTTAACACGTTCTATCACCGTGAAAATGTTATAAGCACCAATGACCACATGAATTTAAATCGATTTCGCGTCCGTTCTTCGGCTAAAATCATTGTCCCTTCATGCCGACATCGAAATAGGGCATTCTCAACCATGTTTAAAAGCGTACACTGGTGCATCTCGATGGAGTGTACGAAAAAGTACGGGCCTGCGAAAAATTCTGACCCAGTACGAGCTCTGGTTCTTCATAAGCTCGCATTCATGAGCTGATCACGAGGCAGAAAGGGGGACAGGAGCAAAAATTGGACATCGGAGATGCGCCTGTCCTGCTACTGAAACAGAATATCTGACAGCGCTTCTCCAGCGATGTCATACCTAAAAAATTACCGCAGCGCGATGTTCGAGCGTGTATGCCGGGAAGAGCCCAACAGCACGTTGCATTTTATTCACATAAAAACAATTTATTATTTGCTCTGTTAGTTACAGCTTTTTCAGCTCTTCTGTCACATTTTCCATTTCTTTCTCGCTCTTCTGCGTTCTCTTACCGATACTCTTCATGTTTTCTCTCTGTCTTGTCATCTCCTCCTGTTGTACCTTAGCTTCACCCTTCACGTTCTTCAATGTCCTGTAAATTTGCTCCAACTCTTTGTCTGTCTTTGCCTGACCAGGTATCAAATTCTTGTCTGTCACAATTTCGCTCTCGTCTTTCTTCGGCTTGTCTGCAGCTGCCCGCTCGCTCTTTCGCTTGTGTGCTGCCGGTTCGGGCTCCTTTTTGGATTTGAATATTTTCTTAAATTTGCCAACGAAAGGCAATCTAAAATTAAACATTTTTCCTTCTTCCTTTATCTTGTGCGTGAGATGCTTGCCTTCCTCCACGTTCTTCTCAATATCACGCGCTCCCGTCTCAGCCTTGTCCAACTTTTCGCCCTGGCTGTACAACTCCTTGGTCGTTTTTTGTTGTGTAGCATAGCCACTCTCCAGCTTTTTGCGTGCCCCATGCGCCATCTCGTAGTTCTGTTCCTCAATTTGCTTCGCACGTGCTTCTACCTCTTCGTCAACTGCTGATCGTTTTTCTTTCTTTTTCTGCTTTTGCAAGAATTTCTGGTAATTCTGTGCTGAGTACAGATCCTTCATTCGATGGGCTGCCGAAGAATTTGTTTGGATTTAAAAAAGGAGCAATGCGCACCGCACGAATTGATAGCGATAACAAGAAAATATGAGCACATGCAATGCGCTGTGGAGCGGACATATCTGCGGTTAAATGCGTTAACAGTGGTTTTATGCTTGCACGTTAATTTGCCCTTAATAGACTGCTCTTGATTTGGCATGTGGTGAGTTATCAAGGAGACAAGCACTCATAGCAATACGAGCAGGGGCTTTCGCTTTTCTGTGGGGTAACAGGCGAATACGCGCCTATCCACGTTTTGAACAAAGTCTGGTATACCAAGCCGCTTTTATCGCTGCGTAGGATTAATTGGCATTCAAACGAGGTCCTGTCCACGGTTGGTACTGCACAAGAGTTTTCACGCATGTGTTCCAAAACATTTCGTTTCTACGAGCCATGCAGGCAAAAATGGCAAACTCGCCGTTCGTGTTGTATTTCACACATCCTTTACAAGAAGTATCTGCGGATTCGCCATGGCCATTCCTTTCATGGTAGCTCATAAAAGGAGCGTATCTCACTGTGCGCCACGAATCATATCCAACAGGTGCTACGAATCATCTCTGCGGTACAAATAGTGAAGGCTCTCTCCACACGCAACAACCATTTCCTCGTTATTATCAACGCAAATGCCGTTTAGTCGCTCCTTCACGGCAGCTAACACGCGGTTCTTTCCATTCTCTGCCATCTCGTTCTCTAGTCTATCACTAAACACGACCTTGTCATCCATTGTGAGGTAAAAACGGTCATTGACGGGCTGACAGCCCGTAAAACTGGCAGTCTCTGACTTTACTTCTGAGTATCTCAGGTTGAGCAGATCGTCCATCTTCAGGTCAACGACACGCTCCCTGCTCAGGATGGCAACGCCATCACCGGTCCGTTTTATTTCCTTTATCTCGTTCTGGTTCACGCACAGTGCGGTGCAGCTCCTTCTTCCATCCATGATGTACAGCGAATGGCAGCCTATCACAGTATTTTTGTTAATTATTTTAACATCGTTCACCACTCTGCCAATGTTATACGTGTCTATCGCCGCACTGCTCCTCAAATCGTACAGAATGACGCTGCTCCTGTCACCGACAGCAACCACGTCTCCATCAATGTCTACGCACCGAATGCTGCTGTAACTGCCGTAGAAGCTGCGGAATATGCGCATTGTCACCAGATCATGGCACAGTGCCCGCCTGTCATCGCTCACACTGATCAAAAGGGGATACACATCGGAGAACACCACCGCGTTTACCGTCAGTTTGTGTGTGCGTATTGTTTTGAGGAGAACATCCCGTTTCAGTATTTTTATGGTCGTATCGGTGCTACATGTGGCCATCAAGTCGTTTTTACCGTTCAGAATCACCTTGTTGATCCATCCATCGTGTATCCTCAGTTTCTTCTTGTACGAAAATTTCATGGGGATGCACCGATGAAAGATAAAATTTGCGAGTCGTGTGCACGAACGGTACACGCCCATCGTTTGCAGAAATCAAGCATTGATTCGTGGATACAAAACGCGGCTTGTGAAGAATGCTCTGTGGTTGAAGACAGTCTTCCGTGCTCTATGCATTCGCTATTTGAACGTGTTTAAGGATAGAAAAGCAGGCTCTCCTCTCTGGCACGGTACGTACGTGTGCCATAATTCGTCACAAACACATCCAGAACGAACGTAACGAGGACCTCTCTCCGTGCTGGGAAGAGGGAACAACGATAAAACCACGTGGCTTCGCCAAAGGACACCTTGTGCTTGGCCACGTTCAGCAGCAGAATGTAAACACGTTTAATCAACTCTTCTTCTTAGACTTCTGTATCTTCTTCAATCTGAAGAACTCCTCCCTGTCCTGCTCATCAAGCTCGGCATTTATATAATCTATCGTGTTGTTGATCCGAGGAATCAACATGAAGTCCAGGGCATTCACACGTCTGTTGGTGTTCTTCAACACTTCGTCAAGGATTACAAACGAGTTCTTCAGGGATGCGAGCTCTATCAGCCTGCCAATCACCGTTTTGAACGCATTTCTTGCGCCAAGGTACGCACTGCCCGACTTATCAAGGAACAGCAACGGATTGCTGTTATCCTGCTTGAGCGAATACACGGGCAGAAATACGCCACTCACCTGCTCCATGCTCGATTCAACCGAAATGGGGGATCTTGAACACTCGTACAGAAACATTTTTATGTTTGATCCCAGGAACTCAGCTTTTGCCAGCAGGTAATATGCGTTGTTGATCGCGTTCTTCAGGTTATCCTGTTCTTTGTTCAACTTCTGCTGTATCTCCCTGTGCTTGACCTGGAGCGCTTCGCTCTTTCTCTTCAAAAGTGAGTACCCCTTCTCGGCGCTCTTCAATCGGTTTTTGGTGATTGTTAAATTCATACGTGTGGGAAAGACGGAAAGACGGTTCTGATTGGACATGTGACTGGTGGTACGCGAGGGGTGCCTTTTTATTGGTGCTAACAGAAAATGTTTCAGGACAATAATTGTTTCAGTTCCTACGCTTTTGGTCACTGAAAGTGCTTTATTTATCTCTGTGCACATCAGAGCGCCCAAACAAAGCTTCATTTTTAAGCTAGAATGAGAATCACGGTGTAAAGTACAATGCATTCGCTTAAAATATTGAACGTACCCATGGCTGCACCGCAGGAATGCGTACAGTGCTTGATCAGCAGATGCTGTCACCACACCGTTTCGAAGTAGGATGCTTGCACACGATAGCGCACCCTCATATGGACCGAGCAAACATGAGTTCAAGTATATGAAATACCCGTTCAAATCGAGCCTTCATGGCGCAATCGGTTAGCGCGTTCGGCTGTTAACCGGAAGGTTACCGGTTCGAGTCCGGTTGAAGGCGCATTTTTGCCGGTCATCTTTCGCTGTATTGTGGACGAAGCGCAATTTTTGATGCCAATCGTGTCGTATTCTTCTCATTGTTCGCTTTTACCTTCCTAAAGGGAGATACGCCACGAATACGATGTTCAGTTCTATTATGACTCGTTTCGATCGGTTTTATCGAATGCAATCGCTGTTTTGTTCCTCTTCATGTGCATTTCTCTGCCAATGAAGCCACGTGTCTTGTAATTATACTTTCGTTTTTTGGATAAAAAATTATGACATTCAACCGTTCAATGGACAAATACACACTGGGCAGTATAATTGCACAGGGTACCACGTCCATAGTACGGGAGGCTGTTGATGTTCTTGGCAACAAATACGCAATAAAAATTGTTTCTCGGTCGAACAGAAAGTACAAGGACATAAAGAAGGAGTCAATGATACATCAGCACTTGCAGCACAAGAATGTTGTGGTATTCAAGGAGCTAGTGGTAACAAATGAGTACTTTATGGTTATGGAATGCGCGCCCTACGAGCTCTTTTTATACATAGAACCACGGGTAGGCCTTCCACAGATGCTTGTGCACCTTTTCTTCGTGCAGATGGTATCTGCGATCGAATACATGCATGATAGGGGAATATGCCACAGGGACATCAAGCCTGAAAACATTCTTCTTTCCGACACTGGCAATCTTTTGATCACAGACTTTGGTTCGGCAACACTTTTTAGATATAAAGGCAGCACACGGAAATTGAACACTATGTGTGGATCGCTGCCTTACATTGCACCTGAGGTGCACAGGGGAGCGTATGACGGTGCACTTGTCGATATATGGAGCTGTGGAGTCGTTCTTTTCATCATGGCAACCGGCATGTTGCCGTGGTTGCGGGGTGATCCGGCAGATACCGATCTGATGACCTATGTTCGGCTGAAGTACCACAATTATGAGCCGTTTTCAAGGCTTCCGAAGAACATTCAGCGTGTATTTGAAGGTATGTGCTGTATGAATGAGTCGCAAAGGTATACGCTGGGCACCATCAAGCAATCAGCATTTTACGCGCAAAGGAATGATCTGCTGGGCAGTGATGGACTGTGCACGGACAGCCCAAGATTATTTTCCTACTTCAAAACGAAAAATGAACTGATTCTGCCGTTCACACAGCCCAACCAGCACCTCATTTCGCTCAGCACGACCAAGTTCGTGTGTTCACAGCCAACAAATAGCGAGTCGGTCAGTTTGCGCCGTATTTACCTGTCTGTTGAGGAGGAAAAGATAATGAACCAATTAATTCTCGTGCTAGATCACTTCAACGTGCAGTTCAAAAGAAAAATGTTTGCACTTTTCTTCTCAACGCTTGACACGCACAGAAATGTTTTGAATGGTGAGTTTGTAATCAAGAGGATGAACAACATGTGTGTTATCACCATTAATAGATTTAAGGGGAGCACCTTAGAGTTTAAGGAATTCTGTAACGTAATTTTGGGACATTTGAAAAATAAATTGGTGTGAGTGAGCGGATGAAATACGAGATGCCTTGTTATTATCTCGTAGGCTAATATTGATGGCGGTGATCGGTCCTTACAGACCGGAGAAGCGAGTTGTTTGGCTGATGCTGTGTATGAGGTGATAGGTAAACGATTTTTGTTGCACGGTTTTATTGCGTGAGCGGAACCTTTTTTAGATTTACACGCTACGGTCCTGGCACGGTATTTGGTATCACTGCACGTTACCAAGGCCGCAGAATTATTACACCTGCCAGGTGTTGCACAGGTCAGATGGCAATTCTTTCAAAAATTTGGTTAAGTACGCCTCACAACGAAATGCGTTATTTACCACAAAAAGATGTTTTGATGTGATTATACGAGAACTTTTCATAATTTGAGGAGTTGTTCTTAACCAGACGATGATAGCACGGTAATAGAGTCTTACTTGTACATATTCTGTTTCAATGCTGCTCTACTGGGCTTTTAACCAACCGTATAGAAAGGCTAGTTATTCTGAGAAAGAACGTTTTTCACGATGGGATATGCGGATATAAAGAAGGAATTTGAGTGGCACACCGAACAAAAATGGAGAAGCGGACTGCTATCACGACCTTCAGCCTGATGTGAAGAGCAAATGTAAATTAAAAATAGCGAAGTTTTTACGTAGAAATGGTCTCTGCAGTTGCGAATGTGGTGTGGGGAATAGATGCGGCTTAGCAGTTCAGATCTGAGATGAACCTAGAAACGCACCGGGATGGACCATTACCATGGAATGTTATGCTGCAGCTTAAAATATGGGAACATACGGCAGCAAGTGTACTCAAAGAGAATGATGCAACTGGTTTTGCTTGTTAGGTCAGATGCTCCCAAAAAGCTTCTGTAGCGACAACATTTTTAATTTACCGTGTTCCTGCCCGATCAGAATATGCTCCTCTTATGCACGCTCGCATCGCAGTAAGGTGCACCAATCCTGGACAGCATAATGCATTTTTCCTAGCGATTCTCTGCTCACTTTTATACGCTTAACAATCGGCGTATAATAAAGTATAATTTGAAAAATGATAACAGTTGTATGGTGAAGTTACCACCAAGCACGGGTTGCAGCCGTGCAAGACACCTCCTCAAATAGAGGCACTATCACCTAATTTTTTGTTAGGAGTTGTTTGACACTTCGATGAAGCGTCATTGTTTTACCTTTTCCATCGTAGGAGAGCTCTTTGAAAAGTATTGTTGTGCTGTAAAAATGAATGGCCATTAAATTTGCCACGCTGTGCACAGCACTTCAACTTGCTGTATATTTACCGGCTGGTGACGGAAAGATGGATCTTAGCGCTACGCACCAGAACCGCCTAAATGTCAAAGTGATAGCTTATCGTGAATGTTAAAAAGGGAATTACCACCGATGTGCAGAATGACGACTTCTTATTTGGAATCTTCAGCACCAGCAAACAGCTCCTCCACCGTGTCATACAATAAGACTAGAACACGAGGCAACAAGGCACTCGCCATGTGGAAGGTAAAAGTGTGCGCAGCAATGGCATTCGTCAACTACCTGATAATATACTCGTCAAGAAACCTGCTCAATGGCCTCATCGTGTCGCGCCAAGGGCCAATTACAAAGCTTGTCTCGATAGCATTTTATGTGCAGCCGCTTTCTCTTATATTATCGGTATGGATCCGTAATCTGATCAAAAAGTATTCGATCAGGCAGCTGTTGGATTATGCCCTGCTCATCTTTGCGCTGCACTTCTCAGCCGTAGACTTTCTGCTCGTAAAGTTTCGACATGTGTTGGAGGCCGGCCCGTTTTACATCGAAGATTTTCTCTCCGATGGAAAATCGGAGTACAGGCGGGTAGGTCTGCTTTTCGTGGCGCTTTCAACGGTCACATCTTGCACCATTACCGTGCAGTACACGATGATAGTGATCTTTGAATTTGTGGTGCAGTACGTCCTGATGTTTTCGTTTTTTAACGACTTGTTTTCACAGAAGCAGTTTAACAGCTTTATTTCCATCCTCTGCTTGTGCGATGTTAGTGGCAGCTTTTTCTCCAGTGTTATCTCATCGATATACTCCGGTGTATGCAGTCTGGGCTTGTGCGCGAGAGAAACAGCGCAGACCGTTTTCTTCCTCTTCATGTCCGTACTGTGCATCGTTTTGCTTTACCTCTCCAGAAAAATACAAAAGGCAACGCAGCAGGAACGCGTGATAGAACTAGATGACCGGTTCAAAATCCAGGTTGAAAGCTCAGGTGAAGGCGCTTCGCTTACAACCATGGGTGTGATTGATTGTGTTATGCGTAATTGTTTTATCCGCTCTGTCAGCTTCTTCGTGGTATTTTTCTTCTTTATCAACGAGTTGCTGTACACCTCGCTTGAAACTACGATTTGTGAGATGAAGGCAGGGACTTCGGAAACTCTTTCTGCCTCTGTTACAGGCACTACATGCATTATTCGTGGTGTGTCGTCCTGCGTTATCCTGGTCTTTCTGCTCACTTCGCTGTCTCAATGGTTGGTCATACACAGATGGTCATTTCTCGCTTACACCACGCCTCTGCTGAGCTTCTTTTCGTGTTTCATTATTTTTGGGCTGGACATCATCCGTGCCGGTATGAAAGGAGTGAGCCTGTCGTCCATAAATCACTGCATGTCGTTCATAAACGATGCCAACTATATTTTCTTCAAAGACCACCTCGAGAGTGCCACTCTCGTCATCAACATAGCGGTCTGCATACTTTTAAAGATCGTGAGAGTTGTCGCATTCTTCATGTCCAAGGAGACGCTCACGATGATGATCGACAGAAAGATAAGATCAAGGCTGCGACCGATCTATGACGGCATGTGTCCTCTGATTGGTAAGTCGTTGGCTGCCTTGACCATGATTTTATGTGCTGAGGCAATGAAAGTGTACAATGTGCACACATTTTCGGTCTTTTTGCTGATCATAAGTGTTCTGGTGGTGTGGTACTGGGCAAGAAACGCAAAATATCTTTGTCAAAGATACGAAAATTCGTTTACATGAGCGTTGATGATGAATAAACTTTTTTAACGCTGTTTTGATACCATAAATGTCAAAATGAGCGCAGTTACAAAGCGATATGCTACAACATAGCAGGCATTTTGTTATCATTTATTTCCTCACTGCCGGTTCCTATCTATTCCAGGAATCGCAGGAACAATTAACCGACTAACTCAAAATTTCCAGGTGTGTGGTATTTGAACGGAGTTTTCACGGGTGTCCTAGCGAACAAAAGTACTGTTCTAGTGTTTACGTCGTAGAAGCAGAACTGCAGCTTATCACATACAGCAAAAAAGCAGGAGTACGAGGAAGTTCTCAGCTGAGACGATGCTTTGCGCAGCTCCTCTTGCTGTTTGTTCAGCCCAAACAATCTGATGAACACCAAAACTGCTATACATGAGGCCGGCAACGTGACAAATCACACATGTGTCTAGAATGTGCTTTATCCTGCACGATTGTTGTTATAGAAAGTGCTGTTCTGAGCCACAGAAGGTGAGTGCATTGTATTATTCCTTTCGAGAGCACAATGTTCTTTGTCACAAACTTTTTTCTGTTCGAGTGTGCGAAGCTGTTTTTGTTCATGAAGAGAGATTTGTGCACAGTTCTATTGCACGAGTGTGGATCAGCAGAGAAAAAACAGAAACGTAGCGTAAGGCAAAAAACAATAAAAGTTGAACATGTGTGTTTGAAATAATTGGCTTGATTAATCTGTCATATACCCCATGGTACTGTACTTATCATGGAGCTGTCACTTTAATCATGAGACATATTCGTGCTCGTAAAGCGTTCCAGTTTTAAACAGGCCCGATTACATCTGTTAGCACGCACGAAGTGCGCCATCCTTTCACAAAATGTTACGTGTGCCATTAATTATAGACAGAACTGTGCTATGTTGAGCTTGGCGCAATCCTCATCTTTAGAATGTTAAATTCAGCTTGTAGACCTAATTTTACCATAAAATTTATTATATTGAACAAATTCGTTATATTTGCGTGCTGCACTGCCCAACATGACATCTTCATATTTATCTTTGTTCTGCGTCGCTTGATTAGTTTTCAATTCTGATGAGCACCAACGAAATATGCTCAGCGGGGAATGTAAGTATGATAAAAAGGAAGTAGCTCAATATTAGTATCACTTGCAGAGTAATTATCTCTTTCGTTCCATAGTGAGGTTGAAGTGACGGATGAGCGATCCATTATGGTAGTAAATCTGCCTTTTCCTGTGTTTCACAACCATGCTATTTTTAATTCAAATATACCGGAACGAACACAAAAAGAAATTTCAACAAACAAAAATTTACTTTTTAAGGACAGGTTAGAATGGCATGTTAATTTATTATTTTTTAGATCTTACTTTTTGCTACGTGTGGGGAAAAGACCTGTGATTGAAAGATCCTGTCATGTAAGTAAGACAATTAAAATCTTTTTGTTTAGGACGTAGCTATTGAGGAAATAACAGCAGAGGAGACCCGATAGGCTGAATAAACCGAACGTACTAATTCACAACATGTGTTTCTATCATTGTTAAATATTATGAAGAGCAATTTAGTGGCTTACAGTACAAATCAATGAACCGTACAAATGTGTGCGAAGTGCTTGATGTACATAAACGTGATAAATACACTTGAATAAAAATTAGTGGATCGTCTTAACGCATCATCTGTTGTTCTTGGCGGTGTCGGGTAGTTAAGGCTATTTTTACTAGAACGATTAGTCCGGACAGAACAGAATAAATGGTATTAGCGTCTTTCAAGCTATGAAAATTGTTCACTGCAATCATAGGCAGCCCAAAAAATTGATAGCAATTAAAAAGTTCTACAATCATATGCGTAGCTGCTGCAATATTGGCAGTCACACACTCATATTCGTTTATTGCTGTTCCGTCTACTTTGAGAGCGCTTTTTGGCTGTTAGTGCTTCACATACAGAGTATCAATATAAATATACGCCAGCACCGTTCCCTTTTTTTGAACTAAATTTGTTTAACATTCTGCCGTGCTAAAATGGTCTTAATTGGCATTTTAATGTCTTTTCCTTGTCAACTTCTTATCAATTTAAAAATATTTATAGAAAAGAATCCGACACGATATGCGTGAGGATGCCTTCGGAAGTACTGCAAGTAGCCTGAGCGCAGAAAGACCCGATATAAGAAAAAGAAAACTGTATTTGGTAAAAGTACAGTTGTGTGCTTTCATGGTGTACATAAGCTATATCATGGTTTACTCATCACGAAATTTGTTGAATGGCATCATAATTGCGAGACAGTCACCTATTGCGAAATGTTTCACGGTTGTGTTCATCATCTTACCAATTACCTTGGTGATGTCCATCTTGGTGCGGAAGTGGCTATCAAGGTACAGCATACAGATCATGCTGACGTATGCTCTCGCCATATTCTGTTTGTATTTCTTGATTGTAAATCCTTTCGTAGTATATTTCAAGCAAATGCTTGACTTTAACGACCTGTTGATCGTCGATTTTGTTGCCGATGGAAAAATTGCATTCAAAAGAATGAGGCTCTTTGCCATATTTCTCTCCATGCTGACCTCCTGGACAATTACGCTGCAATTTTCGGTAATAAACATTTACGAGGCATTTGTGCAGTACGTCCTCATGTTCTCAATGTTCAACGAGATTTTCACACAGAAGCAGTACAACGGATTTGTTTCGATAATATTGTTCTGCGAGACCCTAGCTCTTCTGACATCAAGCCTTATTTCTATCCTGCACCAGCAAATAATAACATCAGTTTCGTACTGCAACAAAGAGTACGTCAATGTTGTATTTACAAATGTTATCTTTGCACTGAATTTCGTACTTTTCCTCATTTTCGTGCATCTGAAGACTGAGGTCACGAAAGAGAAAGCTGCCTCGGTTCAACGAGCAACTATCGAGCTGCACGCTAATACACCTGAAAGTGAGTATGATTCAGCGCGTGATAAAGATTTAGGGTCTTTGCTGCGGCTTAAATTTGTGCGCGCAATCAGTGTCAACGTGATAGCGCTTTTCATCCTCAACGAGTTCATGTACATTTCGTTTGAGAGCGGCGTGTACACCGTGGCCAAAAAAACATTCAGACACGTTACAAGTACCGTCATCAGGTCGACAGATATTATTCGTTTCGCTTCGTCTCTGTTAATTCTGGTTGCCTTGTTCTTCTCCGTGCCAAGGCGGCTGATTCAGCACAATTGGAAGTTTCTGGCGTATTCACCGTGTACATGGCTGATAATAGCCAGTATTTTCCAATTTACCATGGATACGATTCTGAAAGGAGTAGAAGGCGATAGTTTTCAGTTTGTTAACAATTTATTCCAAAGTCTGAGTTCAAGTGATAATGTGCACATTAGAGTGTGGATCTACAGAATATATAACAATTTTACGATTTTGGCACTGATATTTGTTCGCATTCTCAGAAATATCGGCTTTCTGATCGCCAAGGAGACACTGACAATGATGATAGACCGCAAGATACGTCCGCGTTTGCGAACCATCTATGATGGGATGTGTCCACTTATCGGAAAGGCCATCGCATCCAGTGTTGTTCTGTTTATGTCAGAGTTGTTCGATTTCCGTGATGCAAGGTCCTTCTCCGTTGTTATGCTGATATTTGCGCTCGTGGTCTTCTGTTCCTGGATAAATAACACGCGGTACTTAGTGAGAAGGTACTATGGGGCATTTTAGGGCGCTTACCAGTTCGGAATTAAAAATTCTTCGTTTAAAACCACCTCAATCGTTATTATTCAAGGCATTCCCTGTTAAGCAAAACTCTGTGTTGTTATTGCTCATAGGTTGCACTAAAGACGTGTGAAAATTTCATCACGCCGAACGGCTTTCCTAAATACGCATACTGCAAACGCATATTTCCATATAATTTTTATGATAACACAGTATGTCATACCAGTACAATAATATATTTATTGTTTTTGGTTTATAACCAGGCTTTCAAGGCATGTTTAGAGGTAGAATACATCTGAAGTATGCTAACAGCTATTAAGAATCATTTTACGTCAAACAGCTTTCATTTATTGCTAAACATTTCATCGCTGCTTACCACAGGGCTGACAATGCCTTTGAAACGGTATCAGCGAATATGCAACCGGTTTGTCACGTAGTGCTGCCAATAGAACACAATATTTGAGACCAAGGATTAAAACAATGCTATATTCATACACTTATCTACGTTGAACAAGGAAAGTATCGTAAGATGCTGTTTATACGGTGTATCTTCGATTCGCATCATGGGATAAAAACTTTCTCTTCTCGTTGTATTTTACGTGTTCTCCACATTTTTGTGGTTATATTTTTCTGCACAGCTCAAAATAAATCATATAATTGTGTTTATGTCGTATTTTGGTCATCCAAGGCCTATTGAACGCTTGAACCGAAGTTACGTTCGCTTTTTTCTTATAAAAGCTACTTTCCTAAAATAACACGTCTTAGCACCTCAGTGACCAAAGGTGGTGCTGATTGAATCAGATATTGCATCAAACGGTAAAAATGATCCTTTCTACTGAGCCGGCCCTTATTTTCACAAATCAATAAACAAGGCTTGGAACACCGCTATACAAAATACTGCTTTTGCTCGTTCGGGAAGCGCAGAATCTCGGAAAGCAACTTAAATTGTTAACCGAGTCATTGGCGGTGAGTTTAATTATTTTAGACTTCCTACCGGAGATGTAACCCACAACAAAGGCAAGCAGAAATATTAACAGGGTATAACACGGCATTCACAAGAAAATAATTGATCACACAGCAAACACCCACCAATATATCACACGTTCAAACGGTGCAGCTCTATCTTCCCGTTCATCAAGCGATGTAACCAACCAATTCTAAACTTTTTCCTCGATATTCATTTTAATTATATTGACAATCGTATTTACAATGCATGGCGCACGAATTATTGCAGGTGTCTATATTCGTTACTAAAATGGGGATGGGGCTCACCAAAATCTTTTTCGGTGTAACTTTTATTTTTAAACGCCTTTCCGCCATCTTTATACCTCATAAAGTACTTCTTGGTGATCTCCGCGTAATAATACATCCCAAGCTGCTTCATAGACCGTATCAGATCGTCCCCTGTTATGGTTTTCCTGTTCTCGCTTTCGCATATCTCTTTGGCCATGCACGTAACAATTGCTATAAACTCGCTGGCACTCTTCTGCATTAGTTCCTTTGCGTCTTTTGCTATCTTCGCGCTTCTTGGTATAGGGCCTTTCATGATCTTGGAAATGTTTGCTATTGGAAGTAGTCTATCAGTTGTCTTCAACGGACCATAAGAATTTTTGTCCATGTCCACATCAATTTTAAATTCTTGTTTTTTATATTTGCTTGGTTTCATTGTGTCTTGGTTTGTTTCATTCGTGCTGAATTGATTAGTTTCAGTCATCGCCGATAAGGGGCTGAAACACAATTTGAAATGTAAAAAATGTTGAGAAAGCCGCGCAAATGGAGATAAAAGACGCATTCGTGCGATTGTGAGTGCTGTATCACAAAAAATGAGGGCTACTCGCCATCACAAAAATTTTTGCAATATCTGAACTTGTGATTTTAACCGAAACGTGTTGCAAAATTATCAAAAATCAACACATTTTATGGTTCGAAAGAAAACGCGCGCGGCTGTTGTTACGAATGGTTGCGCATTATTGATCTGTGCTGTGCCGAAATGTTCGAGCTGGCCTTTTTGTGTGATTCGGGTTGAATTCCTGGCCAGTCTCTAGGAAAACACTTGTCCGAAGTCTCTTGCCTGTTCAGACACGAGAACCATTATTTAAAACACAATGAATAGGCTAGAGAGGTGAGACATTTTATCACGAACAGTATTGAGAGTGGACAATGATCCATATGACATTTACTTATCACAAAACATACGTAGAACACTGCTATACGGACACATAGATCTAAGACTTTTCTGGAACATGCCAATATTGTGAATTCGAACCTTTGTTATGGAGAAAATTGAACGAAACATTGGTGTATTGCTAGCTATAATATAAAGCATTACGTGCCTTTTTCGTGCCGTACTTGCATACGCAACCATTTTTCAAATCATGTTTTCAACGCCGATGTATGATATGATAAATGGACACAACGTTTTTTGCACCACAGAAATTCAAGCCATCAATAATTCGCAGGTACTGAATGACGATAAACCATGGCGTGATACTGAATGATACCTATCCCTCCCTTGTGTGGAATATCGGTGCACATTTACTCCACGCATCTCTGCCTTGTTCGGGAAGCAACAAAGAATATTTACAACGTATCTTGTGGTTTTATAGCCACGCTATACCGGTAATACGAATGGACATGATGCCTTTTGCTTCCATTTACTTAGAAAATGTTACCACGCTACGAGTTGAATGCTTATATTCACATACACTGCAATACGAATGGACATGATGCCTTTTGCTTCCATTTACTTAGAAAATGTTACCACGCTACGAGTTGAATGCTTATATTCACATACTCTGATACGCGCATATCATGAACTCGAGTTTTTGGCATTTCCAAATTGTTTAAGCAATTCATAAAATTTGCTCACGAGGCCCCCATGTCCTCGTTCCCGCTTGATCCAACCTTTCTCACGAAAGACGAGGAAAATGGAAAAAAACTCACAATAGAGGATGTAAGAGATGAGTATGAAAGGATAAGAGAACAGATGTACAAGGAAATGGAAATAGAGAGGGTACAGAACAACATTTATCAGAAGTTGTACAACAGAACGAAGAGTAACACGTTTTACTTCGACAGAGTACAGAAACGAGATGAAATAGCATCGCATGCAGAGGATGATGCCTATACAATAATGAATTCGTTAGCTGTAGCGAAACATAATGGTGACAGTGCGAACGAAGTGATAGATGAGACCAGACGAGGAGAATATATTGGCTCAGAGGGTATCGCTGACACAATCGTGGAAAGTGAAGTTGAGGATGATTCAAATATTGTGGACCTCAACAATATTACCGATTCAGAGGAAGAATCTATGCAACAAGACCGGTACGTAAGTAAGTATTTGGATATAGAGGCCGAAGAGGGAAGTACCGGAAGTGAAATAGAGGTGATGGAAGAGAAATATGAATATTCAAAGGATACAAGAAACCAGGATGATATTATAAAGAGATTAGAGAGAAAGTACCTGAGAAGAAAGAAAGTTGAAAAGTTGGAGCCACTTTTCAAAATAGAGGATGTGTCGAGCAGTGAGGAAGCCCTAGACTTCGTTAATCTTAGCACGGATAACATTGAATGCAATATTACGAAGGATGAGGACAGCGTGGAATGTGTAGAGAACGAAAGAGAAAGAGATATGGATGAACATATGGCGGGTAGAGATGCAAATTTATATGACTTTATGAAATCATCGCGCAAGAAGCGTAGGTAATCCAACTTAAAACTACTCCTGGTGCTATACCCTGATTAATCGCTGAAAATAGGTAAAATTGTTAATATAAAGTCTTCAGACGATTTATTGGTGTTTATGTTCTGTATAATTTCTCATATTAACAAATTGATTGTTAAAATCTTTCATTCAAATATACCTGTTGCTAGGTTCATGCTCGAGTGGCACGATTTAGACTTTCCAAATAATTTTTGATAGATATTTCGTGATCATAGATTGAAGTGATCTGCGGTTCGCAGTGATTTTATATGCTGATAACACGGACAGCAACGACTTCGCTGCCATTAATATGTTTTGGATCGACTGCCCCCACCAGAAATGAAGTTTCTTATAAACAAAGAACGAGAGCAAATATTAAACGGCGATTACAAGCCAAAGGCAAGATTTACATACGTTTACGCACTGCTTAAGTCACAGAAAGTGAGGAAAAGAAAAGAAATTGACTATAAAAAGCTGTCTACATCCAAACTACTCAGTTCAAAAAATTACAACAAAAAGTTGGTCGAGGAGTTGAAGACAAGACCGTTTAAAAAGATAATCAAGTACTTTGAGACAATCTCACCTCTGAAGAACGAGCTGTACTATTGGCACCCATCAAGAAAAGTAAACGATCCCTTGACACTACTGATCAAGGTGCACAAGCAGAGTGAGTTATTGAAGAAGATACGGACAGAGAAGTGCGAAGCGTTGATATTTAAGTGCAGAGGATTCGACAAGTTTGAGAGTATGCTGCAAGAGAGGATAAATATGAACGAGCTTAAGGTGTTGAACGAGGATTATAATTTTTTTGGCAAGTTTTGGACTATCAAGAAGGGAAAAATGCAGGAGTTCTATGATTACATGGGTAAGAAGGGCGCAATAACCAACAAGAATAGGAAAACCATCGATGTGGTGCAGCGTATCATCACGCATCCCTACTGGTGTGACAATACATGTGCAGCCCCATTTTCGTTTCTTAAAATGCCGTGTATGAAAAATTTAGATTTTTCAGTTGTAGAGTGCTACTCATTTTTGGAGATTGAAATTGGAGAGAGGACAGTTACGGTGAGTTTCAGGGAATTTAATGGGCTGTTAAAGAAGGACAAAAAGTATGAAGCGGTTTGGTGTGCCCTAGGAGTGAGTTATAGCGAGACAATCGAAATAGATTAAATGTGTTTGATAAGCAATGTGCTATTGGTACAAATGGAAATGTTGAAACATAAAAATTGCATCTCTACATTTTATCATATAAATAAAAAGACAACTCGAAAGATGATTTCTCCTAATGAAACGTTTTGGGGTATCACAAGCAGATGATTCCATTACTGCCACGTAAAGATATATCAAACGCAGATATCACCCGTCACACACCCTTTCAATCGTTAATTTGTTGTATATTACACGAAATTAAAAGGCCTGCGTAAAAATGCACATCCCCTAAAAATTTGATTTTCCTGGCAATGTCTTCCGCTCACCAGATTTCTATTCTCAAATGTAAGAAGTGTAACGATATGATACTTACTGGCAGTGTGGGAAGTCACCACTGCACCAAGTCTAACAGCGACGCGAAAAAGACGAACAAAGTAAAAAAAGTCTTCTCTGTGGATCGGTATTGTGCCGTACCGGAGAACGGAGTTCCATGCAAAAATTCTCTTACGTGCCGGTTGCATTCGCTAGAGCAGAAAAATAAGGTACAAGGACGTGTTTATCCGGTGGAAGACCTGATAAGAATTTGGAAGAGAGAAAAAAATAGGAGAAGATGCGTTCGAATTAGAGAGCCTAAGTGCCTGGACATAGAACTAAAAAACAAGGCATTGGAAATTGTGAAGGGATTAAAGCCTGTGGTGGAGTACAGGTTCGATGACCAGAAATTTTTGAGAGAATCCAAAGAGATAAGGAGCATTTTTTCGGCACTCAAAAAAGACAATAATGGCAGTGTGTCGATGTCATCTACTCCCGTCAACGAAAAAATTAGCAAAAAAGTTGGGCTCGCCACAAGGAAGTACAAACAAAGGGGACAGAAACAGGGGTCTAGCCTCAAACAATAGAAGGTTGCGAGCATCTGCGATGCATTCGCCTATCGATAGCGGTGGCTGTGGATCATCAGAACAGTTGCTGGTACTGACCGGAGTGTGCGGCCAAAGGTGAATGCCAAGGCGTTCATGGCTACAAATATGGTACTTGTGTGTATCTTTGTTCGTGATAACCTAGCGAGTGTACAACACCGCAGGTGGAAGCACAAAACATTTTTAGGATACTACTCTCTTACTTCAACATCAAATAAAATATTTTCACATAGTACTGGGATAATTCTTGGCCGCGAAAATGGGCAGAGACACATCTTAGCATGGTACATATTTAATTTACCTTTTTCGATTTAAACATCGAATTACATCCAAAATACTGTTTTTATCGTTGCTATCCCAATGTATAGGCAGTGCTGGTGTCAACGCGTGTTAAATAAACATTTTTACTTTCGTGTAACATTGGTACAAGCTCATTTTATGGCAACCATAACCATACTGGTATTCAAAGCGTGTGACTGCCGTAACAAACCATTTGGATCAAACGCTGCTGATTAAACTTTTTTTGATAAATCGAACATCCCTCGTACAATATACCGTCATATTTCCATACCAGACGGTGTTTACCGCACTAAGCACTGTAATTGTGCTACTGGAATCAAATACGTTCAGCTGCTTGATAGTTTGCGAAAATTATCATCGCATCATGTCTATATCAACCAAAGCGTTCTCTCAAATAGCAATACCAACCATTAATTTACGTAAATGGTTTATTACTTTGCCATATAAGCCGTTCAAAACATGGGCTCGCATTGCCAATGGAAAATTCAACAACTTACACAGAGCAATTGGTACCAACAGTAGCACTAGAACTTAGCACAGACTCCACAAATGAACTGCCCTATGACATATTAAGCAATATTAGCACACTACCTGTAATAATCGGTATTGTCATTCTGTTTTTTTGCGGCTCAGTGCTACTATACCTGGTAGTACACTATATCAGGAACAAATGGTGCACAAATACTTCTCTTGTGTCGCATAGAGCTGTCGAATTTTTAACTTCTGATGCAGAGCACAGATTCGTAGAAAGTCGAGTCGTAATAGGTCTAACGCCGTACAATGAAGCATCTATCAGAAATACGACAGGAAGACAAAATTATGGGAATTCCGCATCTTGTTCCATCTCTGATGAGGGGATCGTGTTGGAGAACGAATATTCTTATTCATCAGGTCCAAGGGATGCAAATATGCCAATTTACATCTTTGAACCTCCACTGTTATGCTACCCAACTATTACTCTTCCAAGTTATGAGCAGTCAACAACCTCACCATTACCACCGTATTCAGAGAAATAAAAATGCTTATAATTTAGCACTGCTTTCATATTTGAAGTATTTTCTGTACATGTAACAATCTCGGGCAGAGTGCCCTTCGTTCTGATCATCCGTTCACAGAATTATACATAGAAGAAAACAGAACGGTATAAACGGGTTCAAATGCTTCTAATCACGAACATTGCATTTACGTAAGCAAGATATGTTACTAGCACTCATATGGTAGGCCACTGGCTGTTACGACACCGTTTAGCATCTACAAGATCGATCGTAACAAATTCAAATCAAGCATAGCTCAAAAGGAGTGTTTTGTTACGCAAGGTGCGTGATATTGCAGGAATTTTGTAGTGGTTGAATCCAAAACGGTCACAGAGCACAACTTGCAATGAGTTTATTACCTCTTGTAAAAAAGATAATTGCGTTGTCTGTTTAACCGATCAGAAGTGAATAGAACATGCCTGTGTTTGACCATTAATGATCCTCATTGGCAATTTACGGAACACTTTCGTTAAAATGGAGAAATCGATACCTCCACGATATGGCATACAACAAAATATGTTAGTACTGTGCAAAGGCCATTTTCAAAAAGCGGAATATAACTATCATGTATTACATTATCAGGATGAACTCGATGATAAGTTTCATCAAGTGCTTACTGGTTTGGCCATAACTGAAGAATTTTGAATTGAAACACACGAAGAGCACTAAAAATTACTAATTCACTATTAATACGCTAGCAAGCAAAGTCATGGCCATATATTTCCCCAATTGAGTAAAGTTAAGCAGAAGAGATAAACATGGTTCGATTGAACAAAAAACTAATTTAATGAATCATGAAAAGGACCAGCTAAACTCGTCTCTGTTGTTGAAACACGCATCATTAAGTACATTCTCATCTTCTATTTTCAAGTGTGGCAGTAACTGAGCCGGAAGTTCATGATCAGAGTAAAAATACACCAGGAAGGTGTCTGGCGGGCACACCTTCACACTACAATCAACAGCTATTACATTCACCACCTTCTTATTTATCGTTATAACACCGAAAAAAAGGGGAAGTATAAACGGCTGTTTCAATAGCAAAACCCGAAAGTAAAATAATTTATGTACGGCACCAATGTTTGTTCCATTCTTGCGCTTTTTAAACGTTGCACTGCCATGAATACCGCTGATTTCGTAGTGGTTGCTCATCTGTGTGCACTTTACATCCTTGTTTACGTAAAATGAAACGTTCCTAAAGGACAGCATTCGGGACAACTGGTCGGATATTTCTCTTAAACCGTATATTGGATAGGAAAACGGGGGATTACCAAACGATGATAAGTAATTCGGAACACAGTTCTCGTATGTTTGGATGCTCAGGGAATTATTAAAGATACGTAACGATTCGTCACTCATGGCCGCTCTAAACTCCTCATATTTTAAACAACTGTGTACAAAATAGAAGTAAGCATTCTTTTCTTGTGCCGATAACCACTTTGATTTTACTATTTCATAATCAAAGTACGGTACTTTATACACTGTCAGGTCTTCATCAATGTACAGATGGTCGTAAATTTCAACAAAATCTATGTTCAGCAACAGATCAAGCTCCTCAAGCCTGGATATTAGACAACCATTCGTACGAAATAATTGCGGTGTTGTCTCTACCAGGCACTTGGGCTCACTCATTTTATTAATTTTAATGTTTTTTACATATTTCGATGTTGCTAGGTCTGATGGTGAGCTCGTAGTGCCATAAAACTCACTGTTGTCAAAGACGATTACTTCTTTTTGATCGATCTCGAACAGTTTTATCAGAGTTCTGATGGAAGTTCCCTCATAACCATGTTCAAAATCCATATGGGGGTGAGAATTAGAAGTGATTGTGAGCACTCCCTGATTTGAAAACAAGCGATAAATCATGTTGTAAACCGTGTACCAGAGGCAAGAAGCGGTCAGAGCGGATCGGAAAAGTGTATTGCACGGATATTGCTGTATGAAGAGGTAAGTAAACGTGCTTTGAGTGCAAAAACGGTAAAATCAAATTTCCCTATCGCTTTAATTTCCTCCTGAAAAAGCGGTAACTGTGGAATGGAATGAAAGTTATTGACTGCTACTCAGAGATACGTCATTTTATGCGGATGAATAGGCATCGACATTAACGATTGGCAAGCACATCTTCTGCACAATAACATACGTTCAAATATTTGATGTAAAATGTGTGAACGGAACAGATAGTAGAGGAAATGTTCTGGCCACGGTTCAATTGTGTAATTTGATAGTGTCGAACAAGCGTGTCACTTGTTGAGGCAGTTAAACAAAAGAAAGGTAAATGCCTACTAGGCAATAAATGACAAGCGAGAATTTTCGTACGTAAATTTATTGAATCGAGTGGGCAGTGTTTTAATCGTTTTGGCTGCCTAAAACGGTCAAAATTACGAGTAGCCCTCCGATGGACGTGCCTTCCGAGTTCTACTCGTTTCCCGAGATCGATATGTTACGATTGTGCAACAGGTTTCCGGCATTCGCACACAATTTCGTACGGAATAATCACCTCTTTTACGACACGGTCGTGGATAAAAAGATCAAGAACGTTCCGCCATCGCTTTTGCTGAAGAGATTTCCCAGATGTGACAAAATTAACCATTTAGTGTTGCTGCGTGGAACGATCATAAAAGTAAATCCGATTTTGCTGAAGGATGTTGAGCAGTCCTACCGCTGCCTGTACTGCGATCACAGCGAGATCGTGAAGTTGGCAAATTACAAAAAGAAAAGGAAAATTATCTGTGAAAAGTGTGGGAAGAACGACTTCAAGGTTGATGAGGTTTTTACAAAAGCAAAAAACTGTCAAATAATACGTATACAGGACATTGGGAATCCCCAGACGATGTCGGACACCATTGAAATACTTATAACGGGCGAGCAGGCCGGCAAATTCTTACCAGGCGAGAATATTGAGGTGCTTGGGATAGTGCGGCTCAAATGGCCGTTGCTCAAGATGAATGAGAAGCTGTCACCCGTAATTTATTTGCAGTCACATTCTATCAGAAGAACAGAAAGAAAAGAGCGCTTGAGATTTGAGGGCCTGAACGACTTTATGAACGTGGAATGCTTCGACAAACAGCGCTTTTTGCTAAAAAATTTCATGAACGAAATTGTAGGCTGCGAGAATGTCAAGCTCGGTATTTTGCTCTCTGTTATTGGCAAAAAGAAAAAAGACAAGGAAACAAGAAATAACTCGCATATTATGTTGGTGGGTACCCCAGGAACAGGCAAGTCGCACTTTCTCAGGTCCATTGCGCATTTAGCACATTCAGTGTCAATTAATGGAATAGGAACTTCTGAGGCGGGCTTGACGACGTGTGCGGTAAAGCAGGGCAAGGAGTGGCTTTTAGAGGCTGGTGCGCTTATATTAGCGGACAACGGAATCTGTTGCATCGATGCATTCGATGCTCTGCCGTTGTACGATAAAAGAGGACTTTTGGAGGTGATGGAGCAGCAGACACTAAGTGTTGCCAAGGCAGGCCTGGTATCTACGCTGAATGCGCGGTGTTCAGTTATAGCAGCTTACAATATCAGCTACTACGATATGTGCAAGTCCATCTGTGAAAATCTTAGGATCAGTTCTCCATTGGTAAGCAGATTCGATCTGATTTTTCTTATCGATGAAAAATACGAACATGACTATGTAATAAGCCAAAAGGTGTTGACCAGAAGTGAAATAAAACACAAGAAACAACATTGGAACTTGGGAATATTAAAAGATTTCCTTGAAACGGTAAGAAACAACGAAACAGACGTGAATATCGAGGCTACCAACCTGATCAATACATATTTCAAATGGCGCAGAACACAGAAAACCGAAATGTTTACCATAAGGAACCTTGAGAGCATTCTGAGACTGTCGGAATCACATGCAAAGTTGCTGGGAAAAGCCGTTTTGGATGAGGATAGCGTTATGACAGCTATTTTTTTGATTGAAAGTTCGTTGTGGAAGAGCCAAAAAATCGAACTGGACACGAAGCGTATTTTCATCGACAAAGAATATTTTGGTGCAAAAGCACAGGAGATGAGAGCATTGATGAACAATTGAGTGCTTGGTGACACATTAGATCAGAATGTAGCGTTAGTAGTCTATTGGATATTTTATATAAAACACACAGGAACAAAAATCACACGGAGTAGCCGGCAGGCAATTCATAAAAACAAACAAAAAATCTAGAAATAAATATGTGATGAAAAACGAACAGAAATCAATCAAATATGCTTACTATCCCATTTTATAAAACTTTTCCACGCGTAAAAATGCCCTGCCAAGTCATGTAGCAATGAATATTTGACTCTCAAACTTAGAACATGTTAATATAATTCTTCCACTGCTTCAATAACGAATCCCTCGGCAGAGAACACAAATCCCTCACTCTCTAATCGGTAAATTTTACCGCCCACTGCAGAATAATCACCCTCAGCCAGGTCAAAACCATTCAACCAATCAAGATAGTTTCTTTTTTTGCCAAGAACATCAACAGGCGTGATTACATCATCTTGCAATACAAATTCTGCGCTACTTGCATCATCAGGTGTGCCGTAAATTCTTTTCGTCTTATTGTAGTATTTAAAGGACGATTTGCACATGATTACTATTTTTTGGCTCTTTGATTCATATATTCTGTACTCGTTGCCCTTAACATCCTGAGATAACTGTTCATATGCATACAGTTCAACAGCTTCCCTATAGTTGAGCCTTTTTGCTTTCATATCCACAAATTTTGTGATTTTGAGATGCGAGAGCTCTTTTACTGTGAAATTTATGACAAAGTTCTTGTTCTTCAGCTTGTTGTACATCTGATCGGTGATAAAAATCGTGTTTTGGTTGCCTATGAAGCTGTTCGAATATTCAACAGGCTTGCACTTTTTAATATCAGTGATTTTGATATTTTTGTAGCTGTTTGCCGATCCGCCAGCAGACATCTCGTAGTGATCCTTTGTCTTTATCGTCTCTATCTCCACAAAGCTGTTTTCATCAAAAAATGCCTGGGCCTCCGAGATATACTGCGAAATCAAAGAGTTATAAATTATTTTAAACGGTGTCGTTTTCTTTACAGTATTGCGGTAGTAGTTCAGGTCTTCTTTTAGCTTATCGGATGGATAAGAAATGTCATAAAGATTAAAATACGTGTGGTTCAGAAAAACTGTCTTGAACAGGTGGTTGTAGTACGAGAGGCATTGAAATGAATCGTTGAATGACATATTACCTGTTGTTTCATATATCGTGGCCAGAATATCGCTTGTAAACATGCTGTCAGCTGCTGTATTATTATCCTTTGAGTGATACAAAACATTATCGAAATTATTGCCAGGCACATTCTTAGTCGTATCATTTCCTTCTTCCATATTCTCATCAAAATATCTCCTGCTCTGCTTTTTATAGTTCTTTAATTTCTTTTTATCCTCTTTCTCGTCTTTTTTTTCGGTACTTCTGGCTATGACCATATAACAAAGCGTGGGGGTACTCAGGCATTTTCCATATTTACAAAAAGAACCACTGCCATTTTTATTGGTACTCATTCGTTAACAGTTTCATAGCACGTATTTGATAGTTTGTATTCAGTTACTTCCCTTTACTCCTAATTCGCCTTGACATCTTTCGTGTTTTTTTGGTTGTCTATCCCTGGTAAACTTTTCAGCATACCATGTATTAGTGGTACAAAGACACCGCTAAACCACAGTAATTCAGCAGTGTACTGCATCCACGGGGATGTTTTTTGGGTGCTATTTTTTCGTTGAGTAGCAGATTTTCTTTTCGTGCATCTCACACCCCTGTTATGTCGATCAACCAGGCATTTGAGGATCTCCTGAAAGAAATTGACGAGTGCGAATTTGCACTCAGGACCCTTGAAAGAAAAGCAAAGCCTTTGACACAGTTCGTGTACACTGCGGCTGTTACCTGCAGAGATGATGAAAATATCGAATAAAAATTACAGCCTGACTTGTTCGCCTGCAGCGATCTAATTTCAGTACGATTGGGATTATTTAAGGTAAATGTTATTAATTTGTTTATTTCTGTGCGTGCATACAATGTTTTGTGGTCGCTGTATTCATCTTTTGAGTGTTTCCAAGCACTATATGTACCGATTGTTTGGTACCGATGTGCTCATTATTGACACATTACGCTGTTCGATCCGTTTGGTTTTAGCACAGCTCACATATCAACGGTTTCTGCATCCGTACAATGACTTAGTGTATCCGTAATTGCGGGTGAAGATGCTGGTTTTACGAGATGACTAATCTGTGATTCGAGTGTTTGCTATTTTTACTGTTCCTCCGCCAAAGAAACACCTGCATTTACAACCAGGTTTTTAATTTTAAGCCTTTTTCATCTCCAACCATAAAACGCCCTTAAATGAGCACAACCGATTCGTACCAGCGGTTGGAAAAGATTGGCGAAGGGACCTATGGCATCGTATACAAGGCAAAAAATAAGAAGACAGACAAAATTGTAGCGTTGAAAAAAATACGTCCGGAGAACGAGGAGGAGGGCATATCCACAACCACGATCCGAGAGATATCAATCCTCAAAAATTTGAACAACGAGAGGATCATAAAGCTAATGGACGTGATGTACAGCAATAACAGCATTTACATCGTTTATGAGTACTTGGAAACGGACTTGAGACGGTTTTTGGATGATTGCATATCAAAGGGAACAACAATTTATGAAGAAAAAAGAAGGGAAATGGCACGACAAATGGTCGAGGGAGTTGCTTACTTGCATTGCAACGGGATACTGCACAGGGATCTTAAGCCACAGAACATTTTGATTGATGGAAGCGGAAATATAAAATTGGCGGATTTCGGGCTTGGACGGACACTGCGTCTACCTATCAAAACACTTACACACGATGTAATAACGTTATGGTATAGGCCTCCAGAGATACTGCTAGGATCGAAACACTACGCCTCAAGCGTTGATGTATGGAGCTTAGCATGCATCCTTGCAGAGCTATTTACGTTAAAACCGATATTTCCTGGTGATTCAGAAATAGACCAGCTGTATAAAATATTTATGATCCTGGGAACACCTGACAACACGAACTGGAAGAACGTCACATATCTTCCAAATTATCAAGAATCGTTCCCAAAGTGGGAGTGTATTGATCTGAACATCATTCTTAAGGATGGTTTGTTCACGGATCTAATCAATAACATGCTACGGTACAACCCTATGGATCGTATGCCTGCGATACATGCACTTAATGAGCCGTATTTTACGGAGACTGCTAATTAAATGAGCTATTGTAACTCGTTGCGTGTACCTTTTTTATTTTCTGTTATGAGAAGATATTTCGTGTGCTGTGATACCAAGGGACTATTTCTTGGCGCTTTGCCCAATTACACGCTTCAATTCCATTTTTTCACTAAAAATATATTTTATTTATCACTTCACACACAGCACCATTCATCCAGCAAACATACTCTTCTGATTCACTGGGACCGATCATTACTACCGGTCCTTAATTGACAGAATGCTTTCTCGGCAACGCCAATCTTCTCACGTATTCATTTCCAACAACTGACAGCAAAAGACATTGAAATATCAACTGAGCTGTGGTAAGGGGTGCTCATTTTGGTCTGGCATGGTACAGCACATAAGAACTTACGGTTGATACTGGGTTTAAATACACGATATATCTCACACGCTACGGAAAGACACAAAATCCTTGTACCGTATTACTGAGATGACTAATAACTGCTTCAGAAGTAATGAAAAATGGGTCTAAGTCTTAAAAGAACGGGTGAAATGACTAACTAGTAAACAAGGAAATAGGTCATGAAGACTTTGAATGAACGGACAGCACGTTCCATTTCCAACATACGAGGCCAAATCACTCTATGTAAGAGGAACATTCGATCAAAGCTGGCTCGGTGGTGTGCTACAACGTGCAAAGACGAACAGCAATGGTGCACTCCCATGCTCACTCATGCCACCACGTAAGTGTTATGTGTATTAAGCAGATTTGATGGGAGTTGCACATTCTCTTGTATTATATCGGGCTTGGGCAGATGCACAAAGACTAGAAAGTGCTAAATCGGTATTGTGAGCACTGGATAGCAGCATAGATCATAAATGCTGGGCCCTGAACATAGATTAACAGTAACTACGGGTAGTGGTGCTCTCTCAAGATGGCACAAGCATTGTCCTACAATCTCAATACACAGCTGTATCAGACGGGTCTTATAGCTAGGATAAGTCCTAGTTAAGCATGTTTAATGAAATGGTTGTGTAGAGCAGTTTTATCAAAGTTGTTGCTGGAAAAAACAATTTTGCGGAGAGAAATACGCTAAGTAAATTTTTTAAAATGTGGTTAAGTTTATCCTACCGTGCAATTACCAAAATTGTGAGCAAACTTAGGCTTTGTTGTTGTGCCATATTCAGATAACGCAAATTTGCTATTTCTCACACAGTAACTGACGTTTTAAACGATAAAACCAATTTATGATTTCAAACGATGTTTCTTTTACCGCTGACATGAAGAGTTAGTATTTATGATAAGAAATATTGTCCAAATTGCGCACATCGAAGGTTATTTTAATGTTCACATCTCTGAATTTGGAAATTGTTATCGTGCTGTTGGTATTTTATACTTTGAGTAAAAAATCATTTTTGGAGTCACATTCTGAACATAGCACCTGTACATCGCTGTGATAAAACTGGAATATACGCTTTAAGCATTCTCTGTAGCAAAGTATGTTCTAGAAAGCGTTTTCTATCTCTTTACAATGCCTTGTGGAGTAGCACTATCAGGAAAAAGACTTGCATCGTACACCCGATGTGCGGTACTATTTATTTTATGTTTCATAGACATTAACGTTCAGTCGCACCACAATCTTTGATTATTCGATACTTTGTATGATTTGCAACAAAAGTATAAAAAATACAATTCTGGTTCTTATCTTCTAAATCACGAACTTGGTAGAAATTCGTTGTGATGCCGCGAAATGTAACCGATATATTAAGCGAGGTTATCCACCATTAGCTTGTCTTTGTGGAACATACGGAGTGTCAAACGCGGTACGTATTGTTATGACACGACAACCAGGCGTGTGCATGTTAAACGGGAGTGATCCGTTGTATTAAAGAGGAAATATGTCAAAAGCTTAAAACTTGGAAGTGTCATACAGTGATTTTGAATACTACGCTGTGATGCGGATAGTATTATACGCATTCAGCTCGGTGGTATGCTTGTTACACTGTTGCTCAATAAATTATTGTATTTGCATGCAAGGCTGAACATTTCACGGACGAACGAAAACGAAAGTTACTCTCAAACGCTGTTCTTCCTATTATGGCATTTCTTAGTTTTTTGAAAAAATGGCAACATTACTTACGAAGAAATAGACCTCATGGTTTGCTCGTTACAAGAACAGCAACATAGGACCAGGTCCTTTAAAACAGTAGAGTGCTCATACGCATCCATAAATTACACGTAAAATACTCAACTTGCCGAATTGGCACATATTACAGCGCAACACGTCAGTGCAATTATAAAATTTTTTAATTCACAGGATATTTTTTGAGTTTTAGCATGTCAAAAACATTCCACCAGCAGTTCATGGTTTTGGTGCGAGGCAGCCTGAACGGCACGCACCTCATAAAAAATAGATTAAAAGGTAAATTGGACTGCATACAACGAACGGCAGAGCAATACGCTGCAACAGGTCACCTGTACATCCCACAACTGCCGGCCAACGTGTTTAATTAGATCACAAAATAGGTTGGAAACACTATCAACACTTCTTATTCTCCTTCATTTTGTCAATCTCATCCTCAATCATCTTTGACATGATTTTTCTAAAGGAATGATAATAGTGGTAGTAGATGTCGTTGGTCTTCTGGCCGCGAGCCTCCGTTTTGTGTTCCGACGTGACGTTCTTCGCCAAGTACCCTCTTGGTCCCTTAACCAGCTCGAATTCGCAAATCTGCTGTGGCAATAAATAGACCACCATTCCAGGTTGTGTAGAAATCGATGAGAAGTGAAAAAACACTGAAATTAAAAAGAATAACTTACCGTCTTCGTTTATCTCTGGATCATGAGGTACAAGGAAACCATAGCCCCGTTCGTAACTGAAGAACTTAATGGTACCTTTGTAACGTTTTTTTGCTCCCATAATAAAATGAATGGGTGATTTTAATAGTTTATCAGTAAAAAAGAACGTGAAGACGAGTTATTAAATTTAAATGAAATCATTTTAATTGTTGTCTAAGATTATTAATAAATCAAGTTCAACGAATTATTCAGGTCTTGGGACTGTGTTGTGGACTGCCAGCAAAGAAAAACCAAGAAGCGAAAAAAATGATAAAAGTGATAGAAAAGAAAGTTGAGAAGTTACGTCATGTAAAAGGATAGTGACGATGAAAACTGGCACATACGAGCGGAACATCCTGTTTTTGGCAGTGCTACACCGTGTTAGATGCGGGCAACCATTGCTTTGGTCCATAACTACGGATTATGTGCTGCTGCAGGACACGTGCAATAATAGGTCCATAAATGCGGCAATCGGCATTAAACGGACATTTTAGTGGTGTATATCACCGGTAATGGCATAGAGCTGCTGGCACTAAAAGGAATATTCCCTTGCGTATTTTCTTTCCATCTTCAGAAAATCACTGAAAGAGAAAGAAACAAATTTAAATTAAAATAGCACTACATTACGTCAAGAGAAAGTGTTGGCAGTGCGGGTCGGTGTGAAAAGCGGTACTCGAGTGAAATACCACGAAAAGCAGACGTGTTGATGGATGTTTATTTTGATGCCCGGATGGTGAAACCGTGTAATTAATCAAGGGGATATCAAGGCATTTGCAAAATGTGAGCGCATTACGTTTTGTATTCCATGGTATTAAGCAGCACCATGCAAGCAGGCTGTACGTAGATAGTACTGATTCTGGACAGTGCGATCCCTACAAGTGTTGCCAAGGCATTTCACCAGTACCGTGAGAGACATTGCCAGTCCTGTAAATCACACAAATTTTTGACAGATTAAAACAACGATGCGATAAACAATCGATAAAAATCCACTATTTCAAAAAGTGCGCATTGCCGGTCTTTATGTCCCTTAACACCTATAAATACTTTTATAACAGTTTTGGAAGGTTTTTGGTTGCGAATTGAAATTCGTGAGTACAAAACGATTCGTGCAACACTTTTATTTAGTTAATACTTGAAAAGTAAATTAATTTAAGGTCTCTGCACACAACACCGTTTTAACATGGTACTAGTACAAAAAATAGAAAAATGTTAGTTTTAGCGAATCAGATCACATCGCGGTGATAATTCTCTAAATATTGTTTTGCAGACGTACACGGCATGATCACGGAGAATTATTTGGGCAGATAGCAACGGCACTCCTCAATTCAGAGAAATGAACATAGTCCTGTAATATTTGTACCCGGACAGCACAGGAAAGGAGTGCAACATAAAAACTTGGTATCTCATTCAAGAAAAAAGACAAAATTACAAAATGCAGGTGCAACGTAGCATTCGTAGGATGTGCATGGTCAATGTTGCTATGCGATGAAATAGCGAAGAGGAGCAAATATGACTTTAAACGTGCAGAAATGCCGAATTGTTAGTTAAACGTGCGTACCGGCCAAGAAATGGATTGCATCATTTATCAGCAGCTAATTTATTGCTTCAAATTTCGAATTTACCAGCTCATTGATCATCAGTGCTGCTATTTAATTGTTCTGAGATATGCAATGGTATCGGATACATGCATTGATTGAATGTATAGGCCTTCCTCACCTTGTATTGTGGAAAGGCACGAACTATTAAGAGCCCTGAATAGTTCATAGCACTTTATGGCACTATTGCTGTATTTTTTGAGCGAAATTGCATTTAATGTAATTTACTAGAACCGAAATTCAGGTTGCATTAATTTATATATTCTGATAAATTGAGCAATTAAACTCGCAATTTGCAGTGTCTGAGTTATTGATCTGTGACAGATCACGTTGTTGAAAATATATTTGTTCCTGATCAGCACACCTCTTCGATTCGATACAGAGCCATCAGTGCAAATTAATTTATCAACCAGTGCTTAAACAACGTGCACGAAAGTGGCATGGCACAGAACACTCCCATGATTGGATATACATGAAGTACGAATTGTAAGGGAAACAGTATCTAAAAAATACCAGCACAGCATCATGCGTGCTGATCAAGGCTGACCAAAAAATGGGCGTGATGAAACAACAGTGCTTGCAGCTTGTTCTGGATAGTGGAATGAACGGATGGCACGTTCCATTTCCAACATACGAGGCCAAATCACTCTATGTAAGAGGAACATTCGATCAAAGCTGGCTCGGTGGTGTGCTACAACGTGCAAAGACGAAGCAATGGTGCACTCCCATGCTCACTCATGCCACCACGTAAGTGTTATGTGTATTAAGCAGATTTGATGGGAGTTGCACATTCTCTTGTATTATATCGGGCTTGGGCAGATGCACAAAGACTAGGAAGTGCTAAATCGGTATTGTGAGCACTGGATAGCAGCATAGATCATAAATGCTGGGCCCTGAACATAGATTAACAGTAACTACGGGTAGTGGTGCTCTCTCAAGATGGCACAAGCATTGTCATACAATCTCAATACACAGCTGTATCAGACGGGTCTTATAGCTAGGATAAGTCCTAGTTAAGCATGTTTAATGAAATGGTTGTGTAGAGCAGTTTTATCAAAGTTGTTGCTGGAAAAAAGAACTGCATACAGAGATCATTCCCGTGGTATAAATACAAAGTCCATAAAAGGCATCTTTCCATATGCTTAACATACAAAGTTATTGTTTTTAGTATCTGTTGGTGTTTGTAGCCTTTCTTAGCGTTAAGGCACGAATAGAAGGTGGTTAATCCGTTTAACATGCCTCTACCCCTGAAAATACGAAAGGACGGGGTGTACAGACCTGCGAAGGTATAGCTGGTGCCCTCGAAGGGTATTGTTGGTTGGTCCGCTCGCAAATGTTGGAGTCTGCCCTTGTCTTTCTCTCATCGAACACATCCTCGGTCCGGGTCACCACGCACCAATCGGTCACTTTAGCGAACATCCGTAGCCGTTGTGCTGAACCATGGCACGATACGTAAGGCGAATAACAGCTCTGTTAGTAATTTATGTTGCGATTCTTTACATTATTTTATCTGATTCAGATCAAGTATTGTCTCACAATGACAATTTCATCGGTACCACAACGAGTATGTGCCACGGATACGTGCTTGGCAGCGTGTAAATTACTAAACTTTTTAACATTCACGGTCGCGCCACTAATTCTGTGATTTATTTCTTCAAGTGATACACCACAGCGTTATTACTCGGCATTTGCTGTTTGAGCACTCACGGCCGCAGCCTGTGAACAACAAAATGGTTTTATCGACAGTACCTCAGCATGTAAAAATAGATAAAGTAACAATTTGGTGGCCTGACACCACAAATACCGCGTGTGAAGGCTCTCAAATACGAATTACTAAATTTTGCAAGACTTTTGTTCATTGAGCCGTGCCCATCCATGGAGAGGCAAATAAAACAAAAAATAAATCTGCTCGATGCATTGATAAGGAAAATGGAGAACAAGCAGAAAATCTCTCTCATACAAATCCTCAGGAGCGAGGTAGCAAAACTAAAGGAACTTAACCAGGAGTATAAAAAGATGATAAACGAGAAGAAAGTGGTACATGAAGAGCAAAATAAAGGAAGGACAAGGTACTACCTGAACGATGGTTCGACATACGTGGTGAGTGCAGATAAAAAGTACAGGTACCTGTACGATGCAAAGTCACGTATTATTACGTACGAGTTTGAGAATGGGCAGGTGGAAAGAACATTCCCAAATGGTTTGAAGGAGATCAGGTACAGCGATGGAAGCATAGCTGTAAGAAATGGTAATAAAGAATACGATTATATAAAATAAACGGTGATTTGCTTGTTAACTAAAAGGTGTGATTTGGACAAGGGAATTGAGAGCGATTTGAAAGTAACTTGGATCGTGAAGCGTATTTGTTCGGATGGTGCAGATGAAAATGATAAATAAGTACATTTTAGCAAAAATGTAATGTATCCGTTTGCAGATCGTATACCAACCGTGGCGAGTAAAAATAAAATTGTGGAGTAGCTAATTGAAATGCATAGCACAGGTAATAACGTTTTTGATGTAAAAGTTGATCGGTAGGCAAATAATTGATAACTAGAGCGAAACACAAGGACTGGGCAGCATGCAAAGTGCCGTATTACGCGCTCCTCACCACTATCTGACTAAGAGAACATAATTAAATGGTCCGTAGAGTTAAAACAAAGTAAAAGTGCGTTTCTTAACAACAACGATGTTCTGCCCTACGAAAAGAACATTTCTGATCAAATGTTTGTTTTCAAATGTAGCAATGCGTGGAATAGCGAGCAAAGGCGTGAAAGGAATGTTAAGGCACGTAAAATGCGCATTGTGTGAAACTTTTAGCACGTTTCTCACAATATGGTGAAATATCACAGCCTCCATGTTAACCACTCATATTCAACACATCTTAAGCATTCAAACGGTGTGCTCATTTTTGTGAAATTCATCTATTCGTATTGTCAAGAAAAGCTTTTTACGCAGCACCTTTAAACAGTTCTCCTCGATCCTCTTGATCAATTAAGATCACGATCAGACACATCCATGATAAATAGCAGGGATCATGATATATCTACGATCAAGTATCATACTATCACTGCACGGGATCATGTTTTGTATTTTAACTCGCTTGGAAACAAGGCGTTCACGGTTACCATTCATAACAATTGATAAAACATCTTTAACTGTGTTATTGGGCATTCAACACAGTTAGTACATTTATTACCGTAAATGAGTTGTGGCATGGCACAAAGAATGGTATTACGTAAAATTGTTCTGTCTGTCCTTGTTTATCAGTATTACCTTACGTAGGGAATAGCAGTATATTCGAGAGAGCGTACCATCTTTCATTTATCTATCTCCATTTAACAACAGGATTCATCACTGATATTTTGGTAGAATGTTCTGCAAATTTAATCCTGCAATGATTTCCTTGGCATGTGAGAACGAGATTTACTTACTGAACAGTTTTTACGAGGTTAGCTCCGAAGTACTACCGTGCTTTATCGAATATCTGTGTTCTACAACATATTACCGCCAAGATATCGCTGTTATTCACCAGGACTAGCAAGAGCAAAACCTTGAAGAATGCTGCCGTTTACCGCCCTGCATTGTTTTCGTTCGTGGATGATGTTTACGAAGCGTGTGTAAATGCTGGCTCCACGCGGTAAATAATTCTGCAGCATCAAAGCACTATTAAAATGCTATAACCATAAAAATAGTATTTCAATCTAGCAAACGGAAGTATAAGTTACGCGTGTAAGCCGTGCTATTTCATGGAACAATTCAATATTTTCATGGTAATTAGTTTCAGAGCAGATTTTTGCCAAATATAGCACAAACAGTGCCATTCATAAGGTGCATGTATTACAGCAAATCACGTTTCTGAAATATGCACCGTAAGTTCTGCAAGTTTGTTCTCCCAGGGCAGAAACAGTGGTAAAATAAAAACTGTGAATGCCGGTGTTTACGTGCTGAGAAGAGGAAAGCGTTCAGTTGCAGACACCGACCAACATCACCTTAAATTTTTATTGTTCAACCAATCCGATCGTGTTGGTTAGTAGTGAATCGCATACGATCTGATAAAATAGGTGTGCGATAATGAGCATTTGAAAGCGGTCAGGACAGGTCTATGACTGTTACATGAGAGCTGCTGATAGTTGAGAAATTGTGCGGAGCAAAATACTTTTGCTGGTATTTGTTTACATCAAAATTTTTTGTTTTCAAAATATAAATTGCATCTTTTGTTGTTCTTCATGTTTCTGTTCGTTTTCACATGTGTAATGGCAAGCTATAACTTTAACGAAATTTATGATGACTATTACAACGATTACTTCTACGATTACGGAGACTTCAGCGATTTCTTTCCGTTCATTTATGACTATCCCGAGCAACCCAATGTTATGAGCAATTACGTAGAAACTACGAAGGAGAAAGTGCAGGAGTACGTCGAACCAGCCATAAAAGAAGTTAAGGAAAAGCTAACACCGGTTGTTACAGAGGTGAAGGAAAAGACGAAAAGTCCAGCAATTACTAAAGCAAGCAAAAATGAGCTGAAGAGCACGGTAGAAAAACGACCTGTAACGAACATAGGCAAAAAGACAAAAGAAACAGAACCTGTTACCGAAAAGGATGAGACAAAAGCTGCAAAGAAAAGTACAAAAAAACGAAAGAGAGGAGAACCGATGGAAAAGGTGAAACCTGACAGTGCGAGCAATCCGCTAGATTCGGATCTTGTAATCAATATTTGTATAATATCTGCTGTAATTGTGATAATCATGGCCATCAGTTTTTTAATACTTCAATTTATTTACAAAAGATTTGTGAATAAAACAGAGATGGACTATTATAGGTCGTTAACAAGACCGAGAATCGAACCGGAGAACGATGACTCGCAACGCCGCTATGCTATACGGTACGGCTGAACATTGTAACTCGGTAGATGGCAGATAGCTATGGACAACGAAAGCTGTGTAAAAATAGGAGTTTTGATTTTCCTCATTAAAGACCATTCTGAAATACCTCCATTATCTTCATCAAAGACCATTCTGAAATACCTCCATTATCTTCATCAAAGACCATTCTGAAATTCTCTCTACGTACAAATGCTTTTCTTTTGCCATTGAATAATAACTTTGCAGATCATACGGTGAGATGCTATTTCATGTCACAAGGATTCATTTATTGTACGATCACAGGTTTGTTCACCTATAACCGCAGGAAAATGCGTTGCATACCGCAAACCGGTAACAATGCTATCGTGCATACTCTCTTCCATTCGCAAAAGTGATGTTCTATCCAACATTTGGACGCGTTTATCATTAATGGGCTGTATTATCGTTGATAGTGGCTCGAACACGCAAGAAATTGCTATTCGAGTGTACTGAGAGTTGTAATTATGCATCAAAACACGTTTCTGATTTATTAATTGCACTGTATTTATCTAATTGGGCACTTTCTTTGATATATCTGCCAGTAAATGCCAGATTTTGATCTTTCATTTCTTTAATTCGTTGCATATTTCTGCCCATCCGCCATTGGCACAAGTTAAATTACCAAATTTTTTTACCCTGCAAAATGCAAAGCATCCCTAAGAGCCTGAACTGCATTCTTCTAGTGAAAGACAAGTCAATACAAGTACAATGTGATAACATAGAAGCGGTCAACACCATATCTAATATTTTGACCACGTGTTTGGGGCCGCGTTCCATGCAGAAAATGATATTGACACGTATCGGTACGATCCAGATCACGAACGATGGGAACGCCATATTAAGGGAGTTGGACATTACACACCCTGCGGCCAAGCAGATCGTTGAGTTGGCCCGCACCCAGGACAATGAGGTGGGTGACGGCACCACAACTGTCATTCTATTAGCTGCCAAACTACTGGAAGAAATGGGCATGCTGCTACGAGATAAAGTACATCCTGTGCACATTTGCAAAATTCTTAGGGAGGCACTCAATGAGAGCCTGAGTTATCTGGAGGAGGTGTCCTATCCGTTCCAGGGAACAGAGGACGAGAAAATCGGCATAGTGCGGCACTCAGTGGCTAACAAGCTCTGCACGATGTTAAAGGTGGACATAGCGTTCCTAGCGTACAAGGCAGCAAACATTGCCAAGAACTGTGACATCAAAACGTTTGTAAAAATAGAAAAAATATCGGGTGCTGATTTCTCTGGATGTGAGGTTATGGATGGTGTGATCGTAAACAAGTCACTGATACACTCTGAGATGAGAAGGGAGATAAGAGACCCGCGTGTGATTGTCCTTGACACTCCAATTGAGTACAAGAAGGGCGAGAGCAAAACCTCGTATGAGCTGAAGAATCAGGCTGAGTATACGAGAGCACTGGAAATTGAGGAGGAACAGGTGCAAGAGATTGTGAACCACATATTGGCACTGAATCCGGACATTGTTATCACTGAAAAGGGAATATGCGACTCTGCGCTTTCAATTTTCCAGAAGAAGAACGTTACGGCACTGAGAAGATTTAAGAAGACAGAAGCGCTGAGAATTGCGGCCGTTACCGGTGCAACTATCGTGTCGCGGGCTGAGGATCTCGAGGAAAAGCATGTGGGGAAGGATTGCCGCCTTTTCAGGGTCACCCGGTTCGGGAATGAGGAATACGTCAATTTTGTGGAGTGTGTCAATCCTAAAGCCTGTTCGGTGGTGCTCAGAGGACCGTCACGCGATATTTTGAATGAGTTTGAGCGCAACTTCGAGGATGCGATAAAGGTAGCAAGGAATTTGAGAATGAGTGATAGGTTGTGCGCGGGTGGCGGAGCAACAGAGATGAATCTGTGCAAGTTTTTGCTCCGAAAAGGCGCATGCACGGAAAATATGCAGAATTCGATGCTCAGGAAGAGGGTGTATGATGGAATAGCAAATGCTTTACGTATGATACCCTTGACATTGGCGAAGAATAGCGGGTGCGATGATCCCCTTGGTCTGATTGCGGAGCTTGAAAGCACAAGCGATGTTTACATGGGAATTGATGGTGTTAATGGAAAGGTTGTGGATGTAAGGAATCTGGTTATGGAGCCCATAGCAGTTAAACGACAGGCCCTTAAGAGCGCATTTGAGGCTGTGGCCCTGCTTTTAAGGGTCGATGGTGTTATACAGAGCAAGAAGAAGTGATTTTCTAGTCAATAAAATTATGCTGTCTCTTAGCTCAGTTCTGCCACAAACGCACGCGTTTGTTCATAAATCTAAGTATTTCGGGCAAACAGAGCATCATTTGCTGCACACATCACTCTTTTGTTCGTTTGTAGTTTTATTCTCCTCCCTTATCTCGATGGTTCAATCTTTTGCTCATCTCACAGCAAAAAGCTAAGTGCTGCAAGAGTACGTAAATACGAGTGTAGACCGATAAACAGGTCGTACAAGAAACAGTGACTGGTGGTGAAAACGCCTTCTTGTTCCCCTTGGGCTTCTGCATCCATCCTTGTATGTTTTGTGCATTTATTTAATATTGTTGGTACTTGCCCGTGACGAGCGATAAGCTCGTACTATGTTCACGTAAAACTTGGAAAAGGTATTTTTTATGATTTGTGCCGGTTAAGCTTGGAAACACAGTCATAAAATTGGATTGCCCGCTACGAACAAGATGTGGAGGTAAATGGACCAAAATACCGTTTGAATGGAAAAACTTAACAAATTGGTGTATGGTGATGTTGGTTTTGAAAGTAAGTTTAATGTGCGTACATCAAATGGTGACCTGATTGATGGTTAAATCGAAAGTGTTGCAAGGAGAAAGGTGGAGTAGCAATGCTACTCCACATAGACTTCGTTTCGATAAAGAAAAAATGAAAGTTGGGAAGGCATCAGTAGCCACGTTAAAATCTATGATTGTAGAATTATACATTTTAAAGATTTACGAGCACACGATAAAAATGGATTTGAAGCAATGATATGAAAATTTATGGTTCAAATAGAGGAGGTAGTACTGTTACCGCTGTTTGGGCATGGAACACAGAGTCTACCATCGTGGAAGCTTCAACTTGTCCTACTAAAGTAAAACGTTCGATCGGCAGACGTGTTCAACGGGCCGAAGTTGTTTTTCACGGCAGTAATCGGTTGTAAAATAGCAGGGTCTGCACAAACAAGACATGAGTTGGAGATTTATTGAGCGTTCAATCCGAATGTACACGTGATTCGCATGTAAGGAAGCAACTACCGTTTTACGGTGGTGTAACTCGTGCACTCAACGGATTGTAACAAAGGCATTCCTCTGTATCGTGTTAGTATGCCGAAATAGTAACGATTTCCATCTTTTACACAATGTTACTACGGAGAATCATTAAAATTAAATTTATCTTCCTTGATTTTCCGTACTTTTCTGATTGCCATGTCATAATTTGATAGAACATCACAGAATTGCTCGATCATCTGCTCATACACTTTTCTAAATTGTGATATCATCTCTTCGCGTGTGAGTACGTATATCTGTGCCAAATATCACTCGAGTCTTTTCATTATTTCCAATTCGTACGAACCCCGTATGACCGAGCAGTTCAACGAAATCTTTTTCAAAAAATTGGCGCACATCTTCGACAAGTACAAGAACAAGGATGATTCTTATGATGAAGGCATTGATATTATCAACTGCAACTCATCGGAGCTTGACGAGATGTACAGCGTAAACAAAGGAAAAAGGGGCGGTAAGCGCGAATCGGATACAAAGACAAATATTTCTGTTGATGAGTACGAGTTTGTGCAGGATTACGAGGACATGTGCTTTTCAAGAGTTGAAAGACGTGTGGATGTGATTGTTGTGAAGGAAAAGGAGAGCAACTTTGATAGGTTGTATGAGAAGGCATGTGTGAACAACTTTGATGCAGTTTTTGGCTCTGTTCTGAAGAATGGTGGTTACTTGTGATGTTCTTGGCTCTGTTCTGAAGAACGGTGGTTACTTGTGATGTTCTTGGCTCTGTTCTGAAGAATGGTGGTTACTTGTGATGTTCTTGGCTCTGTTCTGAAGAATGGTGGTTACTTGTGATGTTCTTGGCTCTGTTCTGAAGAATGTTTGCAGCTACGTTTTTTCTTCACGGCTAACGAGCCCACACATAGATTTACCTCATGTTAGGATGTTTTGGAAGTAAAACCGTTCTTTGTACGTGTGTAAATGTCTATTTTGGAATAAAAATGTAATTTTATGTCAAATAGAACGTATTCACGGATGTTACAGAGAGATACGTGCTGTTGCAGAGTTTAGTTGGATGTTCTCCGTTTAAAGTAGGTTTTACTTCTCGCTTTAGTACGATGGACTGTAGCATACTATCTGTAATGCAAGCTATTGCTGGATCAACCATGCTATCCTCCTTGTAATGTATTAAATGGTACCACATCCATCAATACAAATCATCTCACGTTAATTACAGACATACCACCGGTATTGATGGTCAAGAATGACTTATTGCCAACGTACGGTGCATTTAACCAAATAAAAAGATGCAATTTTAATAAAATATACATTTTTGCTCTTGTCAAAGGCACGGAACAGAGAAAGTGACAGGCAAAAGCGTAGCGGGATTGGAAATGATCAAACTTTTGACAGATCTAAATTCTTAGTCTGCTTTAAAACAGGAATAGCACAATCAATGTGCTAAGCAAACACTTATTTTGGTTGGTGTCTGTAAATATACCAAATGCTCTTTCTCCTTTTCAACAGTTATTGCTAAATCGTTCATCCGGGTCCGCTACCTTTTTTCTTTCTGAACGTTATTTTGGTGATCATCTCCGGCTCAAGTAGCATATCGATACGAAAAATTTAACTTTTCTTATCAATCAACGATCCACGGAATAATACAGTAAAATACAGTTTTTGGTAAAAATTTAACTGAAGAGAATTTACCGGTAAATATCTATGGTTACAGGCTTTTAGTTGAACAAAGACGCAAAGCATTCGGGTGGTGAATCAAACCAGGCCACCAATTATCCGTAGAGTGATGCTCACAGCTTGTATAAAAAGTGATACAGCGCTAATTTTCTGATTGGCTGATGCAGATTTTTTAGTGCGCTGCAATTACACACATGATCAAATGCGCACACCAACTGGTGCAGCTCTATCACTCACAACCATGCTCGGCACACGAACAAATCTTGTGAAACGCCACAGAACTGTCTAAAACGTTTGTCTTGGTCTCACGAGCACACTCAATGATAGGTGAATGGACAAAGCCAAGCATCTCATTTGAGCGCTACCTCGCAAAAGACACCGTACAAAAACGCAAATGGTACATATAACAAACATTTAATCACTATTGAACAAGTATTTGCACATTTCATTCACATTGATCCTTTCCATCTTAAGATCAGAACGAATCGTCGAACCGGGACAATCAAGGTATTGCCCATACACATGGTCGCTGATAGTCAGTACACCGCTCTTGGCGTTATCACACAGCACATACGCCTCAGCCACCGTTCTACCAACTATCAAAACACCGGTGTGCATCACCACTATGTCTAACCTTCCCTGATGTATGAGACAGCGGAGCTGAAGGCACTCATTGCCCGTTATATAACTCCTTTCAGACAGCTCTGACAATTTGTTGCTGAAGCTCACTGCGTTTTGAAGATCTGTAAAGATACAGATCAGAGAATCGCCTTCAACAGCGGTAAGAAAACCATCAAACTGCCGTAGAAGCGAGTTCGCATGCTTGAAATGCTGCCTCAGCGCCCTTCTCATCCCACACTGATGATGCTTCATGTAGTACGTGCTCTTGACGATATCTGTCATGAGTATGAAGTTGTGCGGTTTGAAGTACTTGCCATCCTCTGTAGAAATCTTGAACGAAAAACCAAGCGGTGATGTTATATTTATGTTCTCTGCCTGTGATTTTGCTTCGCTGTGCTCCTCTTTCTCTCTACTTTTCTTGTATGCGTAAATTTGGTAGACGAGGAAACCGAGCCTGCACACCGCGTACACGTAAAACATCCCCAGGAGTGCTACAAGGAACATATTGAAGAGCAGCGAGCACACCACAACCGACAAATCGCTCGATCTTATATACCTCAGATATCTCCTGCTCCTATCTGCTACTGTGTATACACCTGTTTTAAATGCGCTTTTCTGTAATATTACTCCTTCTTTTACTCGTTGACATTCTCTTTTCGACATGATACCGTGGCCCATCCGCATATTTAATTTATTATCAGCGATTAATTTACCGCAAATTCGTAATTTGCTTTGTATTTGGAATTTTTACATACACGGAAACTCCTACACATAACAACTCGCAAAAAATGCTGATGCATGTGCAGGCAGTCTAAACACTGCTTTAAACTTGCTGTCCAATATTTTAATCACAAAATCTGCAAGTGTCAGATTTTCTTTGATAGCACGATTACGTATTAAGAACAAAACTAACAGAAAATGTGGCAGATCAAAACGTAGTAAGGGCGAATAAGCGAGAAGAATGAATGTGCTTGAATTGCTACCGCTGCGGTAGTTTTGATACCATGTTTTATTACGAGGCAAATATTATGTCAAATAACAGCAAAATTATTATACCGTGTGGCAGTTCTGTATTTCATCTTTTTTTGAACCGCTTCCTCTTTATGGCTGGATTATTCTCTCATCCCTGGTTTTCCTGTCTTATGATGTCGTGGAGTGACATTCCTATCAGAAAAAAATGACGTATTGAAGCTACCAAAAGCGAACAAACTGCTTAAAGACGAGGAAACTTGCCTAGAGAGCTATTTTATGTGTTTTTTAAGGAAAGAATGGGAGCATGCAGTATTAAAAGATATAAAACTGGTGCTAAGCTCGGTACATTATGATTTTTGTACTGCTTTACGAGCGTTTTACAGTTCAAATATGTAATATCTTCGTCTGCACGTAATTTATTTCTATGAATTCGGCTTTCTACCAAAACATTCTGATCTACTGTACAACGATGCACTCGAAAATGCTCCGTGTCCCTCTATAGCGGTGCTAATGCCATATTTATGGACATAAATATGCATGTATGACGTGATATCACTCGTTTTGTCAAACTCTGCTTTTCTTGTACTTGTACTACTTAAAACCAATTTTCCTTTTTCGTGTTGTTGTGATTCAAAAAAATCAATCCATCAACAGGCGCTGGCACCACACAGATAGAATCTATTTGCACGTAAATGCTTGTAGATTAGCTATAAATCGTGCATTAGGCAAGCTGTTCATACCTATAACTATTTTATGCGCATTCCAACAATAAATCCGATTTACTGCGCCCACAAACCATGCTGTTAATGGTGCTATGTTCATTTGCGGGTGTTTGTAATTCGGAAAGGAGTGTTTACGCTTTGTTGCGTGAAGTATTTTTCGGAAACTTCCTTTAAATGCTGTAAAAAAAATAAAAATTAACATCAATAAAAAAAATTTGCGAGTGTATAACAGCATCCTGTCAGATCAAAACAGCTGCATACTCATAATTTGGTGAAGTGGTTTGTATGAAAGCGCAATAATGTGCTTTTGCTATGAGCTTATCCATCGTTGCTTTTAGTCTATTTTTGTAACCATGCATATTTAACCAATAGCAGTTAAAATGACAAATGATTGATGTCGAATGACGTGATATTTGTCTTATTTTGCACCTTTTTTGGTATTTATAGCACCTAATCGCTGCAAATCGAACCACTAATAATTTGCCTCTACACAAATTATATGCCCATTTTCAATTTCGTAAAAATTTACTGTTTACACGATCGAAACACGTTTTCTGCACAAATACTCCGTTTTAGTCTATTTATCATGGGTAAAGCGATATTGAACTACCATCAATAGCCCTTTGATTGCAGGTGTGATTTATCACTAAATTACAGATCTATTAAACTGCACAATATAATGCGCCATACCTTCATATCCTGTTTAGTCGGTATCACGTAGTTTATTAGCAGTTAGTACTCGTTCATACAGATCTTTGATCCTCCTTAGAACAAGCATAGCTCCATAGCTAGTGCCGTTTATACTTAGTTTTCGTTGTGTGAGATGAGTGTGAAACACAGCTCATATTTACAAAAGGCTCGCTCACTTTGTCAGGATCAGGTACAATTAAATCACATAAATATATAAATTATAGTTTTTACAGGTTAATTAAACATTTGAACTGCTGACAGGACACATCACTCAATAAACGGTGATATCACATATTGTATTGGTTGCAAGGACACACGCCTGTGTTGGTTATCCAAATTTTCAATTACTCAAAACTCTTCCGTTCAATTAATTTTTGGAGAACAAAACGGTTTATTAGCGGGAACGATATGTTGGGACTGTAACAGTACGTTTTTACCTTTCTACAGCGCCTTTATGGTCCGAAATGTTTAACAATTGATGGTAGGACATACGCTCGTTACTGTGTGCTAACCAAAGATAATCGCATATCTTACCGTGATTGACGTGCTAATAAATCCTAACTCATTCTAGTGTGTTACAGATTGGTATGATTTTTTGGTCTGAGACCAGTCTTATTATGGTAGGAACAAATTTTTACGTTCATCAGCAATAATTTTTAATTTTGAGATTTGGTTCATGTGTTTGTGTTCTTTTACACTAATAATAGATTTTTTATGTACGAGGTGTGTTTTGGACATGAACGATGCCTTTTTTGGGTGTGAAAATGGTTGAGGTGCATGTACCATTTCACAAGAGATAGATATGAACTCAAGACGGTCTTGAGAAATAGAAAAGGGAGCTATCAGAGTTGATTACAACTATGATACGCTTTGACCAGCGGTTTTTCGTGCTGTGGTAGACTTTTTCGTTCAACCTGAATAAACGAAGTGCTGCTCAGCACACCAAATAGCGAATGCCAAGTTGTATCATACATATGTTCTCAACACTTTGGTCGTAGCACTCGTTGTGTAAATCACGTAAGTTTGCGTATTCTGCCAATTTCATTTTAAATCATAACTTTTCGAGGTATGTCGGCACCGATGGAGAAGCAACTAAGCCATACTTCACATCCTTTTGCGATTTTTTTGACAAAACCACCGAGAATATAAACTAAAACAGCACTTGGGTCAGCAGATGCTACGTATGTAAAGCGCACGTTCAAAATGCTAAGTAGGTAAAGTGCACGTTCAAAATGCATTTATTAGCCTTGTTAGTGCAAGTGAGTGCTTGAAAAATTATTTTCATAATTTTCACAGGATCACATACCCACAGATCGCCGTATGCTCCCCATGGAACAGATGCTAAATTTTATACAATCACAATCAAGTGGTGTTACAGAGGAAGACATCCAAAAACAGTTTCCCGATCTATTAAAGGACCAGATACTCAACGAGTTAACCAAATGGCAGCTGGAAAACCGAATTAAAAGAGATAAGAAGAACAAAATAATGTACGTAAGAAATGCGGAGGATGATGAGAGAAGTGTTTTGGAGCAGTTAAAGAAGGCGACGAACCAGGGATGTACGATACGTGACATAAGACTAGCAACGAAACTGCCACAAAATCTAGTTAGCAAAATTTTGAGGAAGATGCAGGATATGAAGGTCGTTAAAGCGTTTAAAGGGCAAAAAAACCGGCAAAACATCTTCATGATCTTTGAGGAGACTCCTGATGATGAGGTGACCGGCGGAATATGGTTTAACAATGGCGATGTGGATGCAGAATTTGTGAATCAGCTTACCAAATTAATATACACGTTTATTAGGAATAAAACACGTGAATTGATACCATATGAACTAAATCCAACGATAGAAGATATAAAATCGTTCATAACAGAGTCAAACGTGCTCTCAATTCATATTAGCACAGCAGATCTAAAAAAAATCATTAATGTGATGGTATACGGGCAGATATTGCTGGAACTTCAAGATGGTGGTCGTACAATGTATCGAGCACTGCGTTGGAACGAACATGAGGTTTTGGGCTGAACCTCTGTAATACTGAACCTAATAGAACAATTTTATGGTACCGCACAGAACAATTAATGGCTTAGGACACGGTTACGAATGTTCCTGTATGCCCCAACACGAATACTATTAAAGATATTTCTCGCTGTTCTTTATCCTGCTAATTTCATTTGACGCCATCCTAGTGTTAAATAAAGCTGAGTACTCGCTCACATTTATAATAGTGGTTACGCACTTCTCCTCACTCCTTCCATGCAGAGTGATTGTTCGAATAGCGGAACATATGATAGTTGTATCGTTCCGCGGGGATAATTCCCTTTGCGACGAATTTGTTCAATGCCCGTTTTATATTCTGTTGGTCTTACAGAAAAAGCAATTTCAGTTCAAACAACCGCAGTACGCGAAAGAGTGCAAGTTTTGCTCTGTTAAAATTGCCCGGTTATTGTTAACTGCTAAACTATGATTCCGTCAATTTTTCGTTATAAGCCGTCTATTTGCATCCTTTTGTTTCTTGTCCGTTCCATGCGCTTGCATCCTTTTGTTTCGTGTTCGTTCCATGCGCTTGCATCCTTTTGTTTCTTGTCCGTTCCATGCGCTTGCATCCTTTTGTTTCTTGTCCGTTCCATGCGCTTGCATCCTTTTGTTTCGTGTCCGTTCCATGCGCTATATCCTCCTTTCTCATAGCTGCCCATAAAAAGGTCGAAAGAACGAATCAGATTGCAAAATACAGCTCATATTTGTCAGTCCAATCTCCGCTTCCTGTTTCCAAACATTACGTTTCACGTTGAAATAAATTTGTTTTAGCTCATTATTAAAGAAATACTTTCTCTGTTACCCATGAAACGGTTCTTTCTGAATGAAGCTGCAGATTTGGTCAGTCTGGGTACCAAGTCGATGAACTCAGACTCCTTCACTAGGTGTTTTGCGCCAATATCTGCACTAGAAATGCATCACTCTGGTGTGTTGTACATATTTTCTCTTCTCGTCCGTTATCTCATACTTTTTCCTCTACGCTTCACTTTTTTCATCACGGGCACAGTTGTGTTTGCGCTCATTTTTCTCTTCGGAATCATTTTGAAGAGTGACAGGGTGATCGCCTTCTCTTTTCTGCTCTACTGCAACGTGTTCTGCATGTCATTTGGTGCGCGGATTAGGAACCACGGGAACAAGAGGTTGCTTGACGTGCCGCATGTGTACGTGGCGAATCACACATCTTTTCTAGATTTCTTAGTTCTCAGTTCGCACAAGTTCTGCCATGCGAGCCTGGCAGAGAATCACGGCGGCCTTTTCGGCTTCTTCTTCAAAAACCTGCTTTTGAGAAACGGGAGCTTGTACTTCAAGAGATGTGAGAAAAACGATAAGTGTATTGTAAAGGAAAGGATCAAACAGCACATAAAGAGCATGAAAACGCCCATGTTGATATTTCCGGAGGGCACGTGCGTGAATAACAAGTACACGGTTCTATTTCAGAAGAGCGTGTTCGAAATTGATACCACGATTTGTCCTGTGGCTATAAAATATAAAAGAACGCTTTTTGATCCGTACTGGAACAGAAGAAGACATACGTTCACAGAGCATCTGCTGTATCTCATGTCCCGGTGGTGCATGGACGTGGATGTCTACTGGATGGACCCGGTTACCAGGGAAAAGAATGAAAGCGTGTTTGACTTTGTGAACCGTGTAAAAAAGCTTATAAGCGAAAAGGCCGGATTGGTATCTCTTAAATGGAACGGGTACATGAAGAACAAGATAATCGTGAAAGACATAGAAATATTGCGTGCGGCATTTCGGCAAACGTATCTGGATGTTATCGGCGAGCGAGTTCGTGAGGACAAGCGGGGCGCATCGGAGGATGTGATATGCAAGAATTTTAGTATGAACGATTTGGACAACATCGGCAAGAAGACGAGTGGGCAGATCGTCAAGAGCACAAAAAGTGGCAAGCACAACATAATTTACTTCAGACAAGATGAAAATGGTCAGCAATCATTTGCTGACACGCACAGTCAAGGAAACACCGTGAACAGGAAGCACAAAGGACGATTCGCCCGTAAGAAGGAGCTTTACGTGTGCGAGAATCCTGAACTGATTTATTTCAACGCCATAAACTACGACACGTTCATACAAACTGTCCTGGATAGGTATTCGTTGATAAAGTACCGGGGATGCGATGTCAAATGTGATTTTGACAATTTCCTAGTTAAAACAATGAAGGTTGGATGCTCGTGCAATAACAAAAAGATTCTTAAGAAGATGAAATTCGTCACAGGGATGTGCAGAAAAGAAGCGAATTAGCGGGCTCTAAGCATAGATAAAGCATAAATAGATACCTGATATGCCTATTGTCTCTATACCGACCGATAGAATTATATTTTGTTATTTCCTTCGTCTGTTGCTGCCTTAGTCCTTTTTCACCAGAATCATGTTTAATTTATCACACCAGTCCTTTTTTTTCGTCAAAAATCGTTCATTTATCTCTCGTACGGCAGCACCTAAACAACCTACTTTCCAGGTTCACTGGAACCGATCGTGAACACGGGTCTTTTCATGGTCCTTCATCATTAATGTGAGATAAAACAATAGTACCGTAAAATTGTTGCTAAACCACACCGATATTTGCGTATCAAATACCAATAAATTTGTTTAACATAATTTTCATTCCTAGCTCTGAGCTTCTCTACAATTATAAATAAATGCTGAGCATTGGCACGATCCGCTCATCGCGGGATGACATGATAAAGAAGAAATGATAAATTAATTTTTATGACTGTGATAGGCCAAAGCATAACATTCATTGCGATTTACGAGCATTGTAATGGAACAACACAATATTGGTTTTATAAATTACGGTTAGAAAGATGTTTATGAAATGATAAATGAATGTATCTTCCTTGAAAGAAGGATTATTAAATCTATAAACTACGAATATACGATCAGAGATACTTTTGGTATTGTTTTAGCTACCAACCACGTATAAGAATGGTTTATAGCTGTGCAATAGATAAAATTATGCCGTTTGTGAACCTTTCTGTGACGTGCAGAGCAAGAATTGAGTACCAATAGATGATTACGTTCTTTAACGCTTTCTTGATTTGTACGCTCACGTACACCGATTTAGCTGCTGAATGTTTTGATTTGGCGTGAATAGTTATGGTAAATGTTCATACCGAACCGTAAGCGGCAAATCAGTGCTATCAACGAGAAGAAAAACATTGAGATATAACTTTTTAATATTTAAAGCGTATTGGAACAGATTGCTTATCTTTTCTAAATTAGTGGCATCCAAAGCATTAGTTGTTAAAAATGAACGTAAGATACTGAAACAAGCAATAGCACAAATTTATTGGAGAATAACCTTGGTGTGCTGTTTTAAAGATGAATGCTTTATCACAAGGTGCTGAAAGGGCGCGATAGTTTCTTTCCGTACGGATCCTGTCGTACCAGAATGTGGGCTACGCTAAATATCGTAAATAAACTATTTTTAGCGGAAGCGATCAGCACCAAAGACTGAGGCAATTGTAAGTAAATTCGTGTTGCACGGAATAGCCCATTTAATTGCAAGGATCATCCGCCAATAATCTGCTGCCCAAAATTTAAATGCAATTGATGCAGGTAATGCACCGTATTTCACTTCGTTAGGTGTGATTCACCGCGATATTACCAATATTTATTTTAAAATTAATTTTTGACCAAAGGGCCATGAACAACACGAAGGATCACAGAGGGGTCATAAACGTGCTCTCCCTGCTGCTCGCGTTGTTTCTGATCAAAGAATACTACACGCTGTTTGACCAACGAAATGTAAAAAATATTTATCGCTTGCTGCACGTACACAATCCGCTATTCACATGCGTCATCTTCGTTTTGATAGGCACACGGTCGATCCTGCTGTACGCAAGGACGAACTTGCCATGTCTCATCGTGAGCGAGATCATCATCTACTACCTGATTTATACGCAGACCCACGGCATAGTATCGTGCAATACAACTCTGCTGTCCATGATTAATTTCATGAAATTGTATTCATTTATTTTCGAAACAACGAATTGCGGCAAAACGGTAGAGCACGTGATGGAGAATGGAAGCAGCAGTGCTACACGGAGCGTGGACCACAGCAGAAATGTGCAGAGAACCGAAGAAAAACAGGACGATGTCCCTCCTGAGATAGAGTTGACATATTTTATCAGATTTCTGTTTCTGCCAACGCTTTGTTTCTCCGATGCTGCACGACGCAGGAAGAGAAGCGTGCCAGCCCTGTTTCACAATCTTTTGATGGCATGCATTTTCTTTTTGCTTGCAAACTTTCTCGTTGCATTTTACATTGTGCCTCTCCTTGAACAGCACACTGTATTCGATTTTTTAACCGACATATCCGTCTTCGTTCGGGTGTCTGCAACCTCGTTCATCTTCTGGATCGCGATGTTTTTGTTCTTTTTCAAGTACTATCTGTCATTTCTCGCCGAATGCACGAATTACGAGAATAAAATCTTCGGTGAATGGTGGAATGCGCAGTACTTCAGAGATTTTTGGCGGCTGTGGAACATACCGACACATGATTGGCTTAGAAGGTACGTTTTTGCGCCATTTTATCTCCTGTTCAAATCCAAATGGCTCAGCTCTCTGGTAGTGTTCATTATTTCTGGTGTTCTACACGAGATCGTGTACATCCTAACCTTTAAAAAGATAGGTGTGGTTGTGTTTATGAGCATTTTATCGCAGTTTCTTTTCATATACCTGGAGCATGCGCTGTTCGGTCCAGGAAACTTGCTGTTCTGGTTCCTTTTCTGCTTTATCGGACAGCCGATATTTTTGTTGTCGTTGCGGAAAAAGATTCTGTCTGTCGTGTCTATAAAGGTTTGAGTATCTGTTATTTTTTATAAAAGCACCTTATATAATCGTTTTACATCCATATCGCTATCATGCGTGTTCTTTTCTCCTCCTGCCCGTTTTTTAATTTATGCATAATTTTCAGGTTTTTTATGCAAAGGTGGATGTCCTTTTTTTTTAATTTTGGCGATTTATCACAACACAGTGATCAAAAATATGCTGAAGTGTATCTGAGACAGCTATTTGAATGCATTTATTGGTACATGCTCGCATTGTATACGCCAGACCAACTCGCACATCCTAAAGCACTGGCTAAAATTGCACATTCTGCTCCATGAATCTTAGTGAACAGATTTATTTGAGCTATTATCCGATGCGCTTCATTTCTCTCCCAGCAAACAGTTTTTTGTTGATCTGATTACCCGAGCATCATCTAACGATGAATACAAAGAAACACGTCCAAACAACCGATCAATATTTCACATGCAACGTCCTTTTATCTCTTGTCTTCCCTTGTGAGCATCTGTTACCAACTTGATGTTCGACTTGCAGCCTTCCTTATTAAAAATAGCTTATTCATCACCTCACATAGGACAGCATCTGAACGAACGTGATTTTCTAATCTGCTGAGATTGATCACAGCCACTGGTCATTGGTTCATAGGGCCTGTTCGATTGGTACTAAAAAGTCTTGATGAATATTTCGAGCCCCTATGAACCATGTTGCTGTTGCCCTGCGGATTCTCAACGATGACGTTAATTTCATGATAAAAATGGTCAGAGAGAAGTATACATCTCCTATATTCGGCTCCGTTGGCGAGCACCTCGTATATTTACGGAGAGTGGATACCTTAAAAAGCTTATGTGCGTCCCTCGAGGATGAGAAAGTGTCTGAGGGGGAGAACATGGATGTGTATCTCCTGAAGCAGGAGAGCGATGACCGGATAGTTAAGAAGAACGGTGCTATGAGCGAGTTTATAGCGTCTTTTTTACCACTTTCAAAGAAGCTGAACTATCCAGAAATAACTTTGTATTTTGACACCAGCTCGGTGCGCTCTCCCGTACGTGCAGGCCTCCTACAGAAGTACACGAACATCATTAACAGGTACCAAACCAGATACGTAGCGCTTTATGACGATTTTCTTTCGTACTACAAGATAAAGGAAGGGAAGAAATTTTTGCGCAAGAAACTTTCGCTCAACACGATACGAGGAATAAAACTGGGCAGAAGGAGGTTGATAATCAGCACATACGATGAAAAAATAGTGTTTACTTCGACTCTGCAGGATCTCATGGAGTGGCACAGGGTTATTGATGATTTGATCAAGAGGATGAATGATCGCGATTTTTACGTGAACAGCTACGTTTTTAGGATCCTGTATTATCTGTGCGATAGGGATGCACGGAGGGAGATGCGTAAGGTAGACCATCTCTCACTTTACACCAAAGACATGGGAAATGCTCATACTGCATCCGTTGAGGAGAATAACACGGCACAAACCGCCAATTCTGAGCAAAAAGTGCAAGAAGCTGGGGAAGTGAATGCAGCACACACAAGTTCGCCTTTAGAGCCCGAAAAGACCGCAAAATTTGAAGAGTTCGAGTCTGCCACCGAAAACAACAGCAGCGAAACTTTTTATGACTTTGAAGAAAACGGAGAACTAACGAATATATCACAGTTTATAGACAGCCAATGCAGTGATACCAAGAAGCTTACACTAGCTCAGCTACCAGTTTCTCTATTAGAACCGCAGAGCACGCTACAAAGAATGGCTGAAGGTGCTCTTTTGTTCAAAAATTTATACGGCAGTGATGCGCTCTCAAAGCAGCATGTGGTCATTTTGGCCGCAGTTTACATCGTTGGTCTTGTAAATCTGCAGTTGGACCGGAAATTTGCCTTTGAAAGTTACGTTGGCGAAACGTTTTTCGCCAAGAGCGCAAACACAAAAGTATACTGCGAGAAAATAGATAAAGTATCGGTAATACATGCAGTAGATGATCTTTTTAGGTTAGATGCTGTTGTGGATTTGACACTTGATAAGAAGACCAAGAAAATTGCAGTGCACAACAGGAGCAGGTGCACGCTCAGAATGGGTGATGATGTAATCAATTTTGGCTTGCCCAACGCAAAAATGAGAAGAAAACTTGAGTTTTACGGCGAGTGCACGGTAGAAAGTAAAGGAGTGACCACCAAGCTGCTCATTCGTGACAATAATGTTACATGCACCTGCAAGGCAGATGACAAACGGTGGCAGATACTTGGCCATGTGACCAATATTTCTGTTTTCTGCAACGAACGGACCGTTGCAAGCTTCAGCTCAGAAGATTTCAGGAAAATGAGGGTCTGCGATTATGAGGATGCGCAGGAATGTGCACAGAGTGATAGCCGCATGCGTGCTGATATACGGGCATTGAAGGAGGGGCGTGTTCAAGAGGCTAATATGTATAGACAAAAGTTCAAAGACCAGGCCAATCTGCGCAAATCACACGAAATGAAATATTTTGATTTGGTAGATAAGAAATACGTTTTTAAAGAAAGGAATCATGGCAAAGAGTCAAAATGAATTATAGATGACGGTAAATAAAGTATATATCACCTTACATTGCAGTTCAATGGTAGATATGGTAACAGCACCGTAACGAGCGTGTCCCAAGTTTAGCACAAAATCGTGCCATTTCTTTTCTTTTGTTCTTGGTACGCACAAAAAGATAATTCGAATATAATTTTGGTCTATTACACGTTGGTAAACGATTTCAGTTTCTTTAAAATAACTCCTTCTTGTCAAAAAAAAGATCTCTTCATATGGTAGTGCTGCTACACCGAGCACTCCTCGTGCCAATAAAACACGGCGTATCGTTCTTAACCAGCAATGTTTAACTTTGTAGAACAATGGCCGCCTTCATGCCAATGCAAGTTTCCTACAATAAATTTAATAAATCGAAGTAGTACAAACTCCTGCTGTGAATTAATGCACCACCGTGATTCATTTATACGAGGTGCAAACGAAAGAGTGTGTAAATCTATTTGTTCAAATTATTATTTTTTCGTAAATTAAGTAATGTGTTTTCTTTGGATACCATTATTTATCACTGCCAGAACATTTAGGCCCTTAACAACTTGCAGTCTGCAAAATGAGAAGCCCTAAATTTGTAAGTAAAGGGGATGGTAATCACAACCACACCAACTTCCGTTAAGGTACTGTTTCGTTTTGATCGGCGATAAGCAGCGCTTTTATTGGCACTTTCTGTAAAAAACATAAATAACGAAGTGATTGCATGAATAATGGAGGAGCAAATGAAATGTGAATCTGCCGTAACAATAATTTACAACAAAAACATCCTTGGATGTACGTTGTTCTTCCCAGACAACAACAGCATCGTGCTGTGCAGGGATGTCTATGATTCGTATGAATCTGAGCAGGTCAAAAGCATAATTTACAGATACAACGTTGATTACGGGATCATTACGACTGAGATGGACGTGCAAAGGTACGATTTTATAGCAGAGACTGGCATTCGAATGCATTTTGGCCTCAAAAAAAGGAAATATGGCATAATGGTCTCTCGGTTCAAAGAATGCCTGGCCGGAAAAGGATTCGAATGTGCAATGGAAAGTGTTTACCTGCTCCTCAACCACATAAAGATTGACTATGATCCCCTGCCGCTCCGCTTCTTCGGCACCGTTGAGAACGTGGCGGAGGGCCCGTCCAACAAGTTCGGCACGCTTATTGCAGAGCTAGATTTTTACTCCATTTACGCTAATGATACGTGCCAGAGATTGTACATGAGTATCGAAACGATCAACTCGTTGAAACTGATCAATTACATCGGCCATCCGAACAATTTGATAAAATCAAAGAAGGAATGCAATTCGCTGCTTACACGCCTCAATTTCACCAGAACATGCATGGGGTACCAGCTGCTCAAGAACAACATCCTATTTCCCTTCACACAGATTGATGAGATAGCACAGCGACATGCTGCGGTTGAGCATCTAATCGATAAGAAATTAACAAGCAGAATATCGCACGCGTTGAAGAATTGCATCAACATCGATGCAAACGAGTTCATTTTTTTCAGAGAAAACAAGTCAGAATACTTCGTTAAGATGTATAAAATGCTTTCAAGTGTACTTGAAATAATCGGTTTGATGAATGGCAACAACGAAATGAGCGAAGTGCCTGGTACGCTTAAATGTTACGGTGATGTGTGCACATACAACGATTTAATGAAGACCATCGCAGGTCAAATTGATTTTAAGAATGGTAGGTTCCGCGTAAAATGCGGTGTTTCGAAAGAATTGGACCTTCTTAAAAATTTGTACGGTGATTTGGAAAACTACCTGTGTGAGACGGTAGACCAAGTACGAACAAAGTACAATTTGGGAAACGCAGTCAATTCACAGCTAAACATCACAAAACGAACAAGGGATTCACAGGAGAACACAGAACATCTTTCGATCGTGTATTTTCCGCAGCTGGGATACCTGTTGGAATCAAACGCACAGAATGACAAATGGGAGTTGAAATTTAAAGAGGACATGCAAAGGAACGGAAAGACGGAGAGCTCCTTTTTTTACAAAAATGAGGTTATGTATGGATTAGATGATGAGATAGGCGACATAGAAAATGAAATTAACGATTTGGAACTAGAAATAATGAATGAGCTCAAGATTTACACAGAAAAGCACACGTCACAGATTAAAATTGCAGTTGACTACATCAGCAGAATTGATGTTATCAATTCTCTTGCACTTGCAGCACTCGAGAACGGCTTTGTTAGGCCGATTGTCTCTGACACGCTACAGAACGAAAACCTACGAAGGGTTGCGAGTTGGGAAGTAACGGAGTGCCAAAACGAAGCAGAAAACGCTGAACATAACACAAATGATGCATATATTGCTATATTTTCAGAAAACGATCAAGTGTTGTGTGATAAAACGAAAAGAACTCGTGAAAATGAGGACCAAAATTATGATACCGACTCAAACAGAGCGGGTGATCAGCAGAACAATGGTGCACAGATATTCTTAACAGAATACAATCGCTTGATTGAGATGGGACAAACCATTGTAATGCACCAAATAGGCAGTTATGTGCCCCTTAACACACATTTACCAATATTTGACAAAATGTACAGCAAAATAACGACCAACGACAGTCTAAAGGCACATAAGAGCGCCTTTCTTAGCGATATTCTGCAAATAAGTGAGGTGTACAAATTTGATGGTGGCAGCACCGTGCTGTTGATGGATGAGTTTGGACGAGGAACAAATATTTACGAGGGACGAGCTCTCTATCAAGGCATTCTCATGCACACCGATGTTACGGCCATAGTTTGTGCAACACCAGCTCGTAGAAATAAAATGGCACAAGAACAACGAACAGAAACGCAAATAAGTACAGCAATCATAGACACAGCGCTACAACACGAATTAAGTCCTGTTGAGCATTTTTATCTGCGATATGAGCAGATAAAGAAGGGTGAGTATCAAATCGTGACCGATACCAGCGAAAGTGAATGGGCAACGAAGATAATTAACGATTATTTGTTTAAGCAGCCTTAACCATGGATGTAGCAGAGGCATCCTTTTTCTTTGCGTACCCCATGTATGGTTAGGTCAACAGTTTATGTTCAAAACATCCTTCAACCTGAACATCAAATAACAAATTCTCTGTAAGTAACAATAATAAATTTGTGATTGCTGCTCTAAAAGATACTTTATTCGATGTTTACATCAGTAATTCGTAATTTTAGTTCGTGATTGTTGTTTAGGAGTATTCTTCGTCTGTTGTTAACACAAAGGATGGTTCATCAAATCAGCAGTCGGTCCCTGCGGACCTGAAAAGTACGTTTTTTAGGTGTCCTGGCACAAAAAAGTAAATAAAGGAACTTTTAATGAAAAAGCTATTTACAGCTATAATGTTTATCTTCCTCTTCTTGTTCATGAAGATACATTTGCTCATCACTACAGTGCAATATTATTCACAAGCACACTTTCTTGATCTGCCGAAACAAACCATGGCTACGTCTTCTATCTGCAGAAATAAATTGTTACAAACTGATAAAACCTCTTTACACACAAATTTAAACTGTTTAAAGAAGAATTTACCAGAGATTGAATATTAATAAAAACCAAGAGAATAAATGTAATACTTTCGTTGAAGTTGTTACTTCTTCGTATTAACATTAAATAAAGCATCTTTGCACAAGAACAGCTGTATCAGAAATAGCACGGGCAACGGGGTCGTCTTAGCCAATCGTATTTTTGGCCTGTTCTACAGACAACGTGACACAACCCGGTTTGTACAATTTGTCTATATTGGGACCGTTGCCTTGTACTGTTAACCTTGCACAAGCTGTAAACAGCGCTTTAACCAAAAAGAATAAAATAGCATTTGTGTGGAACTGTTACAAACCAAAAATATTGATTGTGCTATCGCTTTCTCTCTTGTTTTATATCACGCCATACGGTTAAACTAATAAAACCGTGTTCTGGCACCATTTCAATTCAGTATCGTTAAAAAGACCGAACAATTCAAACTGACCATTAGAACATTCACCACCACATTAAAACCATCAACTAGCTTTTCATTGGTGAATCGTACATTCAAAACTGGCAGCAAATCTGGCGAATACACTCTCCGAATGTAAATTACGCGGTTTATCGTGGCACAGACCGTAACATATTTAAGAGATTGATGGTACACATTCGATATGATGCGTTATCAATTGATAGCACGCATGTCTTTGCACACTTTTATCACAAATGTATTTAAAACCTTTTATCTACGCACTGTGATGAAAGAATTGGGTGCAAAAGTAAGGTCCTATGGCGAATGTCTAGTTTCAGCAGTGATATACATCTTGTTCCTGGTGGTTGACTTCTATGTGACTATTTTGATTTCTGATGATACGTGGATGCGTGTACCTGCGGGTAAACACGATTTTAGCATTGCTGTACGTGGAGTAAGTGCCGGTATGATGGGAATGCGAATGCTGAGGGGCAAGCATCGGATTGTACCGCTACACGTAGAGCGTGAATATCGTGATCGTGTACTACAAATTTATTTCCTCGGCGTGATTACATGGCGTGTTTTAGCGGTTTATTCCAATGGTTTGTGTCTCTTCGCATGTACAAAAGTGTCATATGATAGCATCGCTGTGTTGTTGATTTGTGTTCATGATCGTTGTTTGGCATGGCCATCGATGCTCTGGGCGTTGATTTTGGTCCAGAATGGATCTTTGGGCTGGTCGCGTTTTGCTCTGGCCTCTTTGCAAATGAGGAGCTTAGACGGATTGCCTTGTGACGAGTGTATTATTGGAAGCGATTTGATGTACCGATATTACTGCTTCGGGAGTAGGTGCACAACGAGAGTAGCTGATTGGCACGTACGTAGTCATCTGCCACGGAATGTGCGGATAGGCCAAAAAATTGACGGAAGACATCATATTTCAACACATAGCGGCATGACAAGCAAAACAAAACGTGCAAAATTCCGCGTAATCATCGTAGCAAGAAACGTTGCCAAATTTTATTGTAATTTGAAAACACGCAGTGCAATTTTGGCTGAATCAATGACGAGTAATAGGTACGGTGATAAGTGCGTGTACACACGGAAACCACAATTAAAACCGAAACGGGATGAATTTGAGGCATGTGGCGGGCATGGTACAAAGACGAGCGGTAAAGTGAGGCATTACGTTAATTTATTCGAACAATGGTGCAAAAGTAAAGCAAAATTTGGATATCCAAGTGGTAACAGCAAAAGAATTGTGGCTATGGGAAGATCAAAATTCAGAGCACTTCTTAGGTACTGGCAGAAGCGCTGCCTTCTCGTTAATTAATTGTTGCTCGGTTAAATGTCTTTTATTGCTTATTTGTTTGAACTGTACTTCTATGTTTGATCACTTTACAGCATATTGGCAAGGTGCCAATGCTCGGTGTGTCATTTTGACGCAGATTATAGCGTAGACCAATTATCAAATGAATCTGTGATCCTTGTACATCGGTTTAATAATGAAAACAGGTAGTTTTGCTCATTTTCTGTTTCTTATAGGCAGTAACTCCCTAAATCATGTTTCAAACTTTTTTTCATGGAACCGCTGCCCCTTTCGCCGTGTTACTATGCCATTTTATAGACCAAATCAGTAAACTGATCCTATTGCTATGCTAGTTTCAAATATTTAACTCGTTTAAGATATTTATATCGATAATGTAAGTACATAGAGTAACTCATTCCGCAGAGATTTTGACTTGATGGCGTGTTTAATCTAACATGACGCGAAGGACTGTAATCCGTGCCTAAAACGAACTTATTGCCCATCATTTTCTTTACAAACATTTAATTGGATAATAGCAATGATTGAACTTAGCTACAAAATGCGGTGCTTGCCGTTTCATCGTGTACTACGTCTTTTAATACCCAGGCCTGCTACGAATAAAATATAAATCAAACATTCTTAGCAAAAACTAAAATTTAACCATTTTCACAGCCTAAAATTGAAATTTTACGATGTATCTAAGGTGTTATTAATCATTTAACGTGGAAAACAAGAACAAATGCTATCCCAATCATAAATCGTGCGCCTCATTTATTAATTAAAGGCTACTCTACCCCATCGATGGACATAACACTTCATGAGCGTGAAATACGGTATGGAATGGCCATGCTACTGCAAATACTGTTTAGTTATACGTTCAGAAGGACGCATAAGTATAATTTTGTGCTCTCAAGTACCGTTTTATTGGTTGCCTTCGGATTGATGTCCTACATTGCATGCTTGGCATTCATCCTGTTCAACACATCGGTTCTCCTCAGCACCATTGGGCTCAAACACAAGCGAGTTATCATCCTGGTGCTGAATTTGCTTGTCCTACAGTACATTTACCATCTATTCGGGGATGGAATAAGCATTTGTAGTCCTATCATGATGTTGTCCGTTAGGTTTTTCTTCTTGGTAGCAGAGATCGATTGGCGTGGCGATAGCATTGATGATGCCGTTGCGTATTTATTTCTCATTCCGTGCATTCTGGTAGGACCGGCCATAGGCTTTGTTCATTACAAGAATTTGTTAAAAGGCGTTGAGCGCCCCGGGTTGAAGAATGAAGCGGGCGATAAATATTTTGAAAAGCCTTTGAACAGCTTGGTATGCTATGTGAAGAGCATATTTCAAGGACAAATTGGCATCATTCGGGATATTTATTTGCTTTTGCAAATGGTGTTCTATTTGTGGGTCTACCTGGTACTTTCGAAGCATTTTGCTGTGTACGATGTTGTTAACCAAAGGGCATGGTGGAGGATCTCGCACATGTTCATAGCACATTTTTGTTTTAAATCAAAGTTTTATTTCGTATGGACGGTCTCTCAGCTGTGCAGCCGTCTACAGGGCCATGCAAATCTGAGGAACATTAGTAAAACTGGAGTAGAGTTGGCACAGGATTTTAAAGAACTTACGGATAGTTGGAACATATACGTGAATAGATGGCTCAAAATTGCTATTTTTGAACCACTCAAGCCATACGGCTACTTCTTCGCATGTTTCATGACATTTTTGTACTCGTCATTATGGCACGGAACGAGTGTATGTTATTTTGCGCTGTTCATGTCCGTTCCACTGATAATGAACCCGATCAGACGAGCAAAAACATTTATGTTCCGGTGCTTTTCGCCAACGACGGCAAAGATCCTTAACCATCTGTTGTTTCGGTTCATACTGGCGTACTACGGTACACCGTTTATGATACTCGACATGTCCAAAACACTTGAAGTCTGGAGCAGCCTGTGTTTTTCAGGGCACCTGCTGGTCATTCCGTTCCTGTTCATTGGTGACAGAAAAAGAGGCTGACGTACATCGCTCTGGCCTCGTCACCGTTTTCATGTCCAAGAAATCACACTATCAATTCAGTACGTTTTTTATAAAAAGCAGGTTTAATAAGCGTATTGCTCTTCGAACACCTGTTCTACCGAATTTTATCTTGCTATCGTATGGTTTTGCTCTGCTTATGTGAGCTAAGCTATCCATTTCATAAGCTGATTTACACATTCCGGTTCAGAATCACTTATCATTACTTACTTCCATCAGCAACCGTTTTGCATTCCTTTATGGCCGTGAAAAAAATTTGTACACTAAACCGTGCCTGGTGAATAAACGTACTTTTATTAAAAAGATCGTACTCGGTAGACGAGAATGCTCTGCGATCTGCTGCTTAATGTTGAGATGCAAATTAAATATTTCTAACAACACTGCAAGCTATCATCATGCGCTCAATCACCTATCAAACACTATTCACGCCATATAAAGCTCTCTTAGTAATCCCTACAAATGAACGAGTATTGATACCTTTAATACCTGCTATTTGATAAATTCGCAGCATTGCTTGGTCGATACAATTAGGATGCATAGCGGGATGATAACGATATTTAAATACTTTTACGGTTTCTGTTTCTAACTAGTTTGAAGATCTTTACCTGTTTGGAGTCTTTTGCCAGGAAATGATGTACATGATCGATTTATCCTTAATTAAAATTAAAAGTTTTATCAAAGTAAAGAAAATTTGTTTAATTTTTGAGCTCTCTGCTTTCCTACAGATTGAAAAGCGTAGATTTATTTCATGATTTGTTGCCGAAGAAAACGGTTTAATGCCTGTTTATAATTTATTTTAATAATGTTATTTATCACAAATATTTGAAAACTGATCCACGTGCTGCATATCGGATACGATTAGGCACATTGGTCCAACAGTATCGTTTAAAAATAAGCACAAAACACTTACGTTTGATGACATGCGTTTGTACATGATTTGTTGTTTTTGCAACAGCCATCCTCATACCACAATATTTTCAAAGCCCTCAGAAATCTTATGCCGCAGATCCGATTTGTATCTTCTCTGCTGCTATCACTACTATTTAGCATCACTATCAAGCGTCACCAATACAACTATCTATTCGGGATTATTTTGCTGTGTATTGCGTACGGGTTTATTGCTGTGTGTATTTATTTCTACGTGTTCTTTTTTAATTTGCTGGTGATTTATTTCCTGAGAAACTACAAGCACAAGAGGCATGTTGTACTCATCGTGAGCATCATGTCACTGTTGCTCTGCAGCTACTATTATAAGGTTATCACCTGTACCAAGTCGCATAACATCTGTGGACCGATTATGGTTTTGGTCATAAAACTGTACTATCTGGCTAAGGAATTGGACTGCGACAACGCCTTTTACACAGATATTTTTAACTACGTATTTTGTATTCCCGGTGTGATAGCCGGACCAGCTTGCTCATTGCTAGACTTCGAAAAAAACAAAGCCAAGAAAATAAACAATAGAATGGCGCTTAAAAAGCTTGCTGAGAGCTTGCTCTATCTTGCACTGCATGTTCTAATAACAAGAAACACAAATTACAACATACTGCTTGACAAAGATCTTTTGTTCCCCCACAAGATTTTTTATCTGGTGTTGATAGGCTTTGGATTCAAGTGCCGGTACTATTTCATATGGAATTTTACAGATGCCTGCTATATATTTAACGGATTCCAGAATATGACCAACATAAAAGCGATAGAATCAGAGTTAAGCTCAGATATGAAGGAACTGGCGCAATCCTGGAATATTTACACGAACAAATGGCTGAAAGAGTCTGTTTTCGATGAGTTGAAGAATCGTTCGGTATTTCTTGCAGCAACATGCACCTTTATCGTTTCAGCGCTATGGCACGGTCCAAAATTGGGCTATTTTTTTATGTTCCTAGGCTTTCTGTTCGGAACAACTGTGATAAAATCAAACCACAAGATCTTCAGTTCGTTCTTCTCCGTAACAACTCTCCGTATACTGGGCATAGTGCAAACTAATTTGATTGTCAATTACCTAATTATACCATTTTCACTGCTTGACACGTCCATTGTCTATGAAACATGGAGTAATTTGTACTACTTCGTACATTTTTGGTATGTAATTTCTCTTATAGGGTTCTTGTGGACTAAGGGGAAGAGTTCCGGTGAAATGAAAAAGCAGCAGATGAAAAGACAGCGAAGAAAATCGGTTTAATAAAACGGTTATTTTTGTACAGCAAAATCGTTTTTAAAGCACAATCTACCGACCATTTCTGTGGAGTATCGATTGTTGATCCCGAGAAACATATTAATATGTCCGAGGCACAGTCAGGGCGGTGAATGCGACTTAATTGAACATCCTTTTTAAAACAATTGTATAGGCGATAACTGCCGGTAGTCTCTTCTTTGTCAATCAAATCTAAACAATCGCAGCGTTTATTTTAGTGCGATTCCTGATGCAATTTCTTTACATTACCCGGCCGATTGGCAACTCAACAAAGGGCAGATTCATCAATCCTAGGGCAAGAACATATTTCCAAGGAATGTTGGTTTGATAAATATGCTTCGTTAACCATTATTATACAAATTAGCACGGACCAGAAAGGATCCTGCGTGAAACAGATGACAACAGAATCAACTTGGACAAAATAATAAGTGCATTTGAATTACACGATCGACACGGAAATGTACAGAAGATTTTTTCACATCATTAATTTAGTTAATAATCCTCACCCCGTGTGAGTATTTCCTTTGTTTCCTCATTTAGGTACACGGTGTGCTCAAATTGACTCACAAATGAGCCTTTGATATCGTGCAACGGCGGGTAAGGCTCGAGCAAGCCCAGCATGGCAAGGTTCTTGAGCGATATCAGAGAGGATGTTTTGAAATCGTAGTGTCGGTCGATAAACCTGGCAGAAAAAGGCAACGTTTTTATGTGCTTTTTGATGATTTGAAGGACCTTTACATTCTTTGGATTGCTTACCATAAACTTATTAGGATTTGTGAGCATGAAGTGCGAGCAATTTGGACCGTCCTTCACCATCCCGTTTCCAGTGGTGGCAAATGTCTCCAGCGCGTAGAAACCATCGGCTTCGAGCCGATCTGGATCGTCATTTTCCACCAGCGGAATCGACACACCGCCATGAATTTTGTACGGTTTTATCGAGTGACCATTCAAATTCATTACCGGTTTGATCGGAACTCGTTTACCATCCAGCATCAATTCGTAGCTATTGATAACCTCCGATATTTCTCTTCCTATTTCACCCACACATACATCCACGCCCATCGTCTTGATGCCCTTCTCGGTAGCCTCCTTGGACGCTTCAAGCAACTTGTTCATTTTTGGATCCCATGTCACAGTAAAAGCCGAGTCCATTATCACACCATTCACATGCGTTCCAAAATCTACCTTTAGCACGTCTGTTTCCTTGAGAAAGATCTCCTCGTCACCAGGATTCACGCTGTAATGCGCCGCACAATCATTCAGAGACACGCCCGTCGGAAATCCCAAGCCATCGTTCAACTCGCCCTTGAGAAGAGTGGTCGTTGAATTTTCGACCAAACTGCAGATCTCACTAAGCGTCATCCCAGGTCGCAGATTATTTTGCAGGTGGTAACGAACACGCCTGTGTGCCTCTGCTGCTCTACGAGCATTTGCAAGCACATCAGTTTGAAGTGTCTTGCCGATCACTTCTCCCGGTTTATGACCCACTTTCTCGAGCAGTTCAATTGGTAGTTCGCTGAGTTTTTGTTTCTCGGACATTAAGGGATTGTTTGTTAAATATTTTTTATTATCGATAAAAAGGCATCAAATATCTGTGATTATGGATTATAATTCCGTTGGTAAACATGTGGATGTGGTGATACCCCGCTGATAAATCTCTTCTGTGTCATGCTTTAATGATTGAATACATTTCAGAAAAACATTTACGAAATGAACCAATCATAAATTCGCAACTTGGCGTACGGTGCGAAACCTTTAAAATTAACTACGTAATTTTATTCAATGCAGGCACCTGTGCATTTTATGATTTTTGACGGCTAAATCAGTGATTTTATTAGACAGGAAAATTTTAAAGCTTCATTCATACGGCCTGGTCACCAGCTGAGAACCTGCCTCGCAACTCGATAAAAAAATGTTGTAGAACGAAAATTAACGTAATCAAAACAAGAATGAAATTGTTATAGATAAAACGAACAGTATGGCCCATGTAAAATGATGAATACACTCTTTTTGCTACTTTGTTCATGCTCTTGAGTTCAAAGCCGTCTCTTATCCAGAATTGTGCCATGACTGGCTTGTGATCGCTTGTAGCGATGAGCGTATCGCTCCTGTATAACATGCATTCCAGCTCATTCACGGTTTTAAACAGAATCCTGTCGCACCATGAAGGAGTCTGCCTCAGGTTATATGCATCGGTTGCCGTGTGATACTTGTATGACGGCAAAAACCTGACATCAAATTCATCGAGACAAAAAATCAACTTAAATGCATTCATCTGATCAGCCTTTTTGAACTTTTCCATGCATGTGTTGTACGTGTTCATCCACTCCTTGTCAGCAGTGACATTGCGAGATCGTTTCTGACATATTTTGGTGTACAAATTTGACAGCATGCCAAACTCATCTAAGTCAAAGCTTGTGCGAATTTTTTTGACATCCACACGCGTGTTAAAGTCACCGCAAACAAAAATATAGCTGAAATGGCCCTCCACAGACCTGACAATCCTTTTCATCTGATTTATTCTCAAGGCTTCGTGTCCAACACCATGTTGCAAGTGTAGATTGACCAATAAAATATTTGTATAGTTTATCGTTAAGTTGGTTACGATAGCTCCCTTGCTGAAGTACAAATTAGGCAAGGGCACGAATGTATTTGATGTCCATATTCTGTATTTTGATAAAATTATCGTGACCAATCCACAAAAACGTTCTGTCTCCCTGTATTTGTACGCTTTGAAAAAAAAATTTAGAAATAGCTTTTGAATGGCCCATGGAATTATAAAATTGTGTGCCTCCTGCAATGCGATGTAAACCGTGTCGGCCTTGTTCTCTCTCAGGATACGATGCAGATCGATCAGGTAATTTCTACCTTTCTGTACGTTCCATGTCAAAATAAAAATGTCCATCACCCTGGTCTCTACGGATTAAAAGTTTTTATCAGTGAATCACACAACATTTCGCCAGTGTAAACACTGCAATTTAATAAAACGAGCATCACTATAAAAAAATTAAGCTGTGTTCAGCTTTGCGGTTATACTAACAGCTACTGTTGGTTTCATGACCATAATTTTGCGTTATAGAAGGGCCATGATCTTTTGTTCGACAATTACACCGATCAACAATTCAGTCTTTTTGCTCCTCACCTCTAACACTTTTAAATTAGTTCTGTTCTAAAGCGAATTAAACAGATATATTCCGCTTGTTATTGCATCAAAAATATATGGTAGTGATAAATAGGATTGCTTGCTCCTCCTGTCCAAAATTATTGATTAATGACGGCATTTCTTCGTTAAAATCCATCTTTCACACTCATTTGATCAGCCCGTGACCAAAAAACGCAAATTGTGATCATAGGCTGTCATAAAGTTTATCTAACAGGATACGGATGTGTAACACACCAATTATACTGATGAGTACAGAACTGCTTATTCTTTAACATGCTGGCCTACCAAAGCTGTGCAAGCAAGTCAATGCCTTACTTTTTAGAGTGATGTAAGATGTACATAAGTTTGTTATTCACCAACTATATATCGTATGGGAATGATAAATCGCATTATATTGCAAAACGTCATTTTAATGTCTTTTTTTATGAATCGTTCATTTATTTCTTACATGGCAGTACGGCTTCGTTTCAAATCACTCATTTTTTCTTTTATTGATTTATTGATGGTGCGCCAAACTTAATCCTCAAAGCGGTGGTTTTTGTGGCCAATTTGAGCTGCTTACTTGACATGTCTCCATAGATGATGATAATTTTTGTAAAAAAATCACAGAGATGCAGATTTAGGAGACAGGCAGTTCTGATGCGAGTGAACGTTCTAGACGAACATAACCACAATCAATCGGTATGCCATTGAATGGTTGGTATGAGTGGTTTATTTGTTATGTTTATCTATATCATCGTTTGGAAGATTTGTATATTTTCTTGAATGCACGTCTGCGTTCTTTACCAATCAAACGAGGTAGTTAACAAAGTTAATACACAGATGAACGTTTCCGCGTTCAACACATCGCCTTTAATACCGTATTAGGTAGCTACACGAAATTGTACCTCAAAATTGTGAAGTTCTGCTAAGATCGGACCTGCAACAACACTGGTGATGAGCGGTGCCTAATTCATGTTTGATCACAAAAAGTCATGCGCTAACCTGGTAAAGTAGGTCTAAGAAGGGAATATAAGGAACAGCAATGTTGCTTAACAGACAGACAAATGTCTTAATAGATCAAAGATTAAATTTTATTTCTATCCATAAATTTTGAAACGTTTTTCTTGATCAGCATCTGAACTTGATCTTTCGTTATATCTAATTCCTTAGAAATCGTGTTCACGCTTTTCATCTGGCAGCCGGCCGCCAATAGAATCAATTCCTGTGCTACAGACAGAAAATTTCTTGCGTTATTAAAGTAATCTCTTGCAATTACCGGGATCAGATCATAGACTACGTTTAACTCCGAATACCCATTCACATAGCTTTCCAACCGTTTTATATCAAATGGCCCAAGATTAGCACCATACTTTGTCTCTGTCTGCTTGTTATAACTGTTCTCCTTTTCTGTATCTATTTGATCCTTTTGCTTGACTTTGATTAACATCATACACAGTTCGATGGAAAAATCGCTCCACAGAAAATTAATCATGTTAAGAAATCGCTCTCTGAAAATGAAGTAAAACCTGTCAAAATTTTGATTCATGTTTTTCAATAAAATGCTGGTATAATCACCCGTATTAAAATTGAGAGTCTGCTTAATGTAGACGGGGTAAAACCCGTTGCGACCCCAGAACTTAAATATTTGTGTGTTCAGACCCATGGACACTCCTAGCCAATCTATTTTTGGCAATAGCAACTCCTCGCCCGGCAGTAGCAATGCATCCGTGCATTTAACCTCGAATATGTCACCACATCCTCTGCTAAATGTTTCTACAAGCATTTCAACCATTTTTGTTCCATATCTCATGTTTTGGTAGTCGGGATGCACTGCAATACGCACAACTCTGCAACCTCGCTGCTTCAAAAAATCCTTTTCGAGGAACTGCTCAGAAAGCGTCCACGGTATTAGATTGCCATCCCTTCTCTCACCCTTCACGTTACCCTCTAGTGCTATGTGCGCAGCGCAAATAATTCGTGGTAATTTCTTCTCTTTTTCAGGTGCCAGCAGCACAAAAACGTGATGATCTGGTTCATCTGCAATAATTTTAAGATCGTCCGGTGTGTTTTTGTAGTGGCTACTTACGAAAATAGACATCATCTGTTTTAAGAAAAGCTCACTCACTTTGTGGTAGGAGAACAGCGTTTTCTTGTTGACAAAAAAGAATTGACACGTGTCGGGCGATGGACAGAGCTTGTTCTTGTAGTCGGTTGGTTTCAAAATCAGAACGGCATTCAGCCACTCCTCGACAGGATCATTTATTCCGTAGCGTATCGACTCGCTGAGTTCTATCTCACTGAAAATGTATGGATTTTTCTTATCTTTCCTTTTCAATTTTTCAATGAACCTCATCGACAGAGACCGGCCTGTCCCTTCGTATCCGTCCATTGTGGACGCCATAAGCACAATGTTTGCACGGATTAGTTCTTTAAGAATGGGCAAAGGAATAGCTGCTGCTTCATCAACCACCAAGAGATCGGGATATCGGTCCATTCTATCCAAAAATCCGTGATACTCGATGATCTGCCTATGATGTTTCTTGATCACGATTTTCTGCACATAACTCCGGCCTTTGAAGACCCTCGTGATCTCAAAGTCGGCGTTTTCCTTGTAACCTTTCCCTCTCAGGCCACGGAGCACAAACTCAAAAAGCATCTTCACGTTTTCTATGTGTGGTGCAACGACGTAAATTATCGAGTATTTTAGCTCAATAGCATCAGATACAGCCAGTCCCAGCGCGGCAGACTTTCCTCGTCCCCTGGAGGCCTTAAGTAGAGCAATGTTTTTGTTGCTCCTGTCCATCATGATTTGTCCGAGTTGTGTGACCGCATTGTCCTGATCAGCGGTGACACACAGTTCATTTTTCAGCACCGCCGTGTTTTTGTTTTCACCCTGAACCTTCCAACCTGTGAGACAGAATTTCGATGTTAATTTCATATCTTGGTCTAAAAACACAACATGGCCAGACTCGCAGAGTGATTTGTATATCCTAGTGTTGAACGTGCTACAATCTTTGTTATCCATCAGTACAGCGATTAATCCTCCACCTTTCACCGTTTCTATCGTTTTTGCAAGCGTATTCGGTGATATTTTCTCAAAATTTTCCAAGACTAACATTTCATACGTGTTTCCCATAACAATGTCCGCCTCCTGATAGGATACTTTCTTTATGTCATCATCGTTTATACGACACCTTGTATCGTCCTTCTTGATCTTCTTCCTCTTTTCCTCGCTATTTTTGCTCTTTTTGCTCTTTTTGCAGTAACACCACAGAACAGATGGTAAAAACGAGCACCGCTCAGAGAGCAAGTTGTACAGAACATGCACGTTATTTTTTGAGTTATCGCCAGTCAAAACAAAAAACGATCTGTGATTTTGATCTACTGCCTGTTTTATCGTATCAACGACCCTTCTGTCTGTTTGCATCTCATCCATCGGGGTTAACCAAAATAATTTTTACGACACCAACGAATAAAACGTGCGTTAGAGAAGAAATGATGCTTTGTGGGATAACTGAGGTAACAGGCAAATTTAGTTTTCGCATCAGAAAGGAAAAAACGAAAAAATTGTCCCATTGGCGGTGTTCATGCCAAACAGGCCATCTATCTGCATTGGCAAAGGGAGAATAGCTCAGTAACACTACACGAGTTAAACAACAATTTTAATTACCACAAGACATTAGGTCAATTCACCAAGTACTCTGCAATCAACCATAAATAATAATATGACCGCAAAAGTGCACTGAAACACAATTAATATGCCATTTATCATAATTCTAAAACAAAATCATGATATTGATGCTTTAAACCGATAATTGCGTTGTTCCCCGCTAGTAAATTAGCTGACATGTAATAGAAAACGAATTTATCTCAATTTTATTTGCAGACACGTGCAGAGCTATCTATTCATTTGTAAATATCTTCAACATATTCCTTTAAAATGTTGTGTTGTAGTTTTATCATCTTCAATTCATTTTCGTGATTACTATTCCTGCGCGCTTTTATACGCTGCCTCAACTCATCAATTGCTTTTTTAAGTCGCAGATTTTCGGTATTATCCTTTTCTTTGATACGAGAAGCAATTTTCTCATCAAGTTCTTCTAATTTATTTTCGATATTTCGCCTTTTCCCAAGCAATTCATTATATTTACGCTTAACTGCCCACCCTTTCTCGCCCACCAACCTAGATTTATCTGCAAAGCTCTTATTAAGGCTGTCCAGTTCTATGTAAATAGACTTAAGGCCATCAATTATTTTTGTCTTGTATTCTTCTACTGTGCAGTTCGGCTGGAAAACAATTTTGGAAAAAAGCTCAGCTGTTCTATCGCTGGGATTTCTTTCTTTGAGCAACTCCGATGCCTTTGTTTCTCCTTCATATTGTTTGTTATAACTGCTCAGCAAATAAACGTTCGTCTCTCCGATAGCCTTGTCCTCTAGCATTGTATGGATTCGCTCCTCGGCAAGTAAATAAGGAATCCGGTCCAAAAGAACAAGCTGGTCGCCGTAGCAGAATACGCCTTCAAAACAATGCAGCGCCTTTATGTTCGCATTTTTATACATGTATAGCATCTCCAAGCAACGCTCTCTTACCTTAAATACGTGAACTCCATTTCTATCAAGGATATAAAGCCGCTCTCCATGTAATTCCACACCAAAAGGTTCGTAAAAGGCACATTTCGACAGTATTTTTTCAGAATCGTTCATAAATATTCTGTTAGTCGCTGTAAAGTCCTTTGATCTAAACACTTCACCGTTTTTTCCTAAAATAAAGCTCAATACACCATTAGAGCAAAAATCTGCGATCTCCACTTCTTCGCTCTTTGTATATATGCGTATATTAGTAAGTCTCTCATTTTCAATTACGTGCATAGACCCATTGGCGCACAAAAGCGCAACAAGGCCGTGCATCTTCTTTGTCTTGGTGGGTAAGCTCTTCATAGCTAATGTTCCTTTTATTTCTTTGTACGTCATACTGAAAATATCACACTTATTTCCTCTAAAAACGTAAACATTTCGTTTTAGTACCTTAATATCATCAATTTTGCTATCAAAGCTATAAATACCATCTTTGTAGTTTGTATAGATATCGTACACTGACAACCTGCCATCTCTCGCGTAGTAGATCTTTTCTCTATACGCATCCGAGACCACCAGATTATCGTCGTTCTCTCGCAGAACATACGAAACATCCATCAGAGGGGCACGAAATTTTTTTCATATTTGCGGTAGTAAAGCGCTACATACACACGAAGAAGAAGATGGTAATACAGTATAATTATTTCTGCCCACAAGGATAAAACTTAGATAGTAAAATGTAAGGAAGAACGTGCTTATTATTACCAAACTGGAGAATTTAATGAAATATTTTGGGATATTCATCTGCAACACTCTGATCAATAACTTTAAACAACAGCAATTTCTTACCAATATGCTCAAGGTACGAGAACTTGTTCTCATTTATTTGGTAGAAGATGTTCAAAAATGCTCTTTGTTCCTCTTGGCTCAGGTTAAAATATATAGCAAATGTTTCTAAATAAATGAGGAAATGCGATACAGAAGGATATGAAATTTTACAGAATTGCTCAAAAAAATCGTTTTTGCTCATCTTTTTGACACTCTCCATGTCATCGTCATCAGCCATTCGCTTCAGCCTAATATTTTCAAAATTCTTCTCTTCAGGCATCAAATGAAAGCAATTCTCTGGCAGAAAGTTTCTCAGAAACTGCAAATTGCTGTACTTTATCATCTCAATAGCAAGGCTTTCGTCAATAAATGACTTGAAAGTATCAATTTCTGCTTCGTTAAGCTGTGGTTGGTAATGATAGCTGGTGTAGGATTGATTTTTCGGCGGCACCGCGTAGTAAGTCTCATAAATTAAGGCAAGCACCGAGTACAAAAACTTGTTTTTGTTTATAGATAACAGAAATTTGTAGAATACAGAAAGAAATCCCCTATGTTTACCCAATGAGACGAGAACAAATCTGAAAAAAATAGAATTGTCCGGTGTTGCCTCTCTGGCGGACAGTATGCCGATTATCAGCTCGTGATAGTTATTTTCATCAAAGTAGCAGTTAATCTGCATGCAACACTCATGTTTGTCAAAATTAATACTCTCTACCAAATACCGAGCCATAAATACGTCTCCAATCGAGTCATTATCAATCATCCCCACCTTCTTCGCTGTTTGCGCAAAAGTTTCAATGTATTTACCTACCTCCGCAATAAAAAGACTGTCTACTTTTATCTGAACACCCATTTCAATGCTTTCATCTTCCTTTTTCACCAGCAACTTGTTTCTATCGATACCCTTGCAATCAAAAATAATGCTCCTTACGCTCTCATTTACCAGGTCAATAGCCGTGGTAATATTGCTTTCAAAGACATTAAGATACTCAAGAACATACAACAATCTCAAAAATGACAGGTAAGCAACGATTTTTTTCTGTTCAACACTTTCACATATCTGTTTCTCCAATTCTTGACCCAACATTTTTACAATTTCCCCATCTATTTTGATTAGCTTTATCAATCTGGCGAACAACAGTACATTCCACGGCATTATACCTACTATGGTCACCAACGAATTTATGAGCTTTTCCTTTTTGATTTCTTCTGAGGTTAAAATCTCGTCAGCAACATCTTCCAGGTTTCGTTCGCTCAGTCTCACAAACAACTCGTGCATCCCAAGGGTGTTTGCTAATTTTTGTTGATGATAGATTTTTAAACCGCTGTTTTCATGGAAAAGAACTTCGATCAGCTTATTCTCCATTGTAATGCGTAATATCCAATATTAGAAAAATAAACGGTTTTCAGTAAAGAAAGAGATGAGTGTTCAGACCTGTTATCATTTAATTGAGTCTTACAGGTATAAATCAGTATTGTTCACGAAATGAGAAGTGTTAATTTGTAGGTGGTGATATGAAAATAGTGACATTTATAGAAAATATTATACACAGTACTTCATGATTGTATACGACATTATTATGAGAGGATCCTCAACTATCGGCATATCTTAATGTCATTAAGAAAAATACACTGCTGTAAACAGGGCGCCTCGCGGCTGTGATAGGAGCTACCCCTCAAAATTGACAAGTTCAGAAAAGGTAAATCACGCTGACACTCGATGCTACGATGTATTGGATGAATAACACACTGAAACGTTGATAAAACATCTCATTGCGATGAGACTAAGGTTATATTGCACAGGAACACTTTTCTAGCCATTGTCATACCAAGTAATCATACCTAACAGTTCTCCATCACAGATGAAGTAATTAGCAGTGTTGCAAAATATTTTTTATCAAGTTTTTACTGCCAACTCCATGAACCAAACGACAGTGGTCACGGTCTATCCAGCCGGAACAGAAAGATGTGTTTGTTTGTTATGAATACATGAGATGATAGAACGTAATTTTAGTAAAAAATTTAAATTACAATTTATCTTAATGCCTGGTATGATTGCATTCTATACAAAGCTAAATAGGATGTGTGATTCTGTTAGCACACGAGAGAAGGCAATGTGCAATTCTGTGCCAAGCAGTTTTATCACCTGCTGCTTTGATAAACTTGATGCAATATATTGCTGTCTATTTAAGGTTAATTTGCGAGATTTAAATAATTGCAATATTCGTAGCAAGCAGTTATGGACAGTACAAGTGAAATAACCTGCAGTAACATTTATAAATTTTGTCCCAGTGCAAAAAAAGGCATATGCTCACTTATCTCAGAGTATAAAGGAGACGAGAAAATGAAAATAGCTAGCCGTGACAACCACGCGGGCGATAAGATTATCTCAGTGCAAACATTAAGTAGTAATGAGATCCATGATTGTTTTCATCGTTTAAAATCCGGTTTATCAGACGAATTCCCTGAGTGCATCTCCGGATATGATCGATGGGCAGTTGCATTTTTCGTTCTTCTGTTTCTTTCTGTGTTGCTGTTCATGTTAAAGCGATGGATAAACCATAAAAGGCCTATTTCAAAGTTTATTACAGAGGGAACGAGACGATTAGTGAGGTTTGTGATCCCAAAAAAATGGTCAGGTCTTGAATCGTTCAGACGTGGCAAAGTTCGCGTGAACAAGAAAAAGAAGATCAGAATAAGCAGATATAACGATAAGATAAAGATTCTGAAACTGGAGATGTTTGCTGATGTTCACAGGTTCGAAGACCTTGAAAGATTGTTTCCGGATTTTTCATACGATGCGCTCAACCGTACGTATAGTGAAGTGCAAAAGATCAGAAAATGGCAAAAAGCGAAAGGAATAAAGATAGGGAAATCGCGAAATTACGTTTTCGTACTGCCGAAACGGCATGGGCAACGCTTCAGCAGCAACTTTGAAGACTCATGTCCTGGTGATTAAAATTTTTGGTAAGGATAGACGAATTATTTACAGCATTTGCAAGAAATTTAAGGTAACTGATTGTGGTGCGGTCGTTTGTATTATTTCAATTTTTATTTATATGTGCTGCTATCCACCACACCATTCCTTGCGGAACATCATGGCAAAGACGTGTGGCATGGTATCAAAAAGTTGGTTTTAATTATCCGGTTTCATTGCTGGGAAAAACAGAACATCCTTTATATTGGCAGCATTTGTCAGGAACATTGCGAGTCTATCCAACCCTATTCCCCATCCAGCAGTCGGTGCAAGTCCATATTCTAGCGCTACACAGAAGCTTTCATCCATCAACATCGCTTCGCTATCTCCTGCATCGTGCTCCTCCACCTGCTTCTGGAACCGCTCTCTTTGATCAAACGGATCGTTTAGCTCCGTGTATGCATTCACAATCTCTTTTCCATTGATGAACAGCTCAAACCTTTCCGTTAGCCCAGGCTTTGATCGGTGCTTTTTCGCCAGAGGAGACATTACTATAGGATGGTTAATTATGAACGTGGGATTGATGCATTCGGGCTCGATGAAGTGTCCCACCAACTTATCAAGTACCCGTGAAAGCGTTCGCGGCTCATCCACCTTGATGCCATTCTTTTCACATATTTCAATCAATTCCTTCTCTTTCGATTCCAGATTTTCACCGTTCAATTCAATGCCCAGCTTTGCGCTCAATTCTTCAAGCATGTCTATCCTTCTGAACGGCCTCGCAAAATCAATTACCACCTTGTCAGGCCTACACTCCCTCTTCATCGGATGGTACTCCACCTTTACACCATTGTTTACGGACTTGACCATCTCATGCAGAAGCTCTTCTGTCATCACGATCAAGTCGTTGTAATCGGCGTATGCCATGTAAAATTCGCAAGAGGTAAATTCCGGGTTATGCGTAAGATCGATTCCTTCATTCCTAAAAACACGGCCAATCTCGTACACCCTGTCCATGCCACCAACAACCAGCTTCTTCAGATAGAGCTCAGGGCTTATTCGCAGATACAGATCCATCTTCAGTTCATTGTGATGCGTGATGAAGGGATTGGCAGCGGCTCCGCCCGGTATCAAATTCATCATTGGTGTTTCGACCTCAAGGAATTGCCTGTCATCAAGGAATCGTCTTAAAAATTGTATAATCCTCGTCCTGGTAATAAATCTGTTCCTGGATTCTTCGTTCATGAGCAGATCGAGGTATCGGTTCCGGTAAATCAGCTCACTGTCCTTTATACCGAAGTACTCGACGGGCAAGGTGCGGACACAAGGCGCCAGCACTTCAATATTATAGGCAAAGATGCTCAATTCCCCTGTCTTACTGCATCCAATCTTGCCAGAAACCCCCAGAATATCACCACGCCTCAGATTTGAGAAGAGCGTCTTCTTTTCCTCTGAGTCCGCAACGTACACTATTTGTATTTGCTCACCATCCGATAGCATTTTCAGAAAGTTCATTCTTCCCTGTCCGCGTATTCCTATCAGTCTACCAGCAACATGCACATCATCGCTGGTCATATCACCGCTCGCCAAGTCTGCATATTTCTTGCTTACTTCCCCAATCGAATGCGTCACGTTGAATTTGTGCGGATAGATTTCTTTGCCTTGCTTCCTAAGCATGCTTAGCTTCTCCGAGCGCTGAACATAGAATTCTTCCTCTGTGATAGTACGGTTTTCCTTCTTTGTCATCAGAGGGGTTGGCGCAATTATTTTTTATAATGTAGTATAATAGCACTAAATTTAATTATTCTTGCAATTTAATTATCATCGTTCTGTGAGCACAGTAAATTATTCAGCAAGCGCGATTTATTTTTGTAAGAAGCCATGCTTAAACACATACCAAGTTTATTTTATGTTGGTTACCCACAGTATTTTGCCTTCAAAGCGCGTTGAATGGTAGTTCCACAAATATTTGTTGAGAACCGGCTGAGAATTAAAAACGTAATTATTACCAAAAATGTTTTTTAAATGAATTGAATACCGGATAAATCACGGATACAAATATAAGAAGCAAATATCAACTGGTACTGGACGCATTTACCACATCAAATGCGGGTTGCATGGAGTAAAATTTGTAAGTACCTCCACGATATAATCAGCTGTTTATAATAAATATGCCATAAGACAGTATAATGATGTTTGCTTGTATAGAATGTAGCACAGAAAATATGAAATAATAGATCGTTTGTTGTAAGAATAGAGCGAACCGATCAATAGCTTTTGCGTTTATTTATGAGATAATGGTGCTGTAGTCATTTTCAACCGTATTGTTGATACATTTGGTGAACAAATTGCTGATTTAGCGGAATGCTTGCTGTTTTATGTCAAATATTGTTTTTATAGCAACGCAGGGCGCATATTTGTGCTGAACAGTACTGATGTATAAATATTAGGAGCGAATTTTTGTATTCATTTGTATGGGCAGATTGAACCGTGTAATCCATACATTTTGTTGTTCAGTGCTCTAAAAATGGAACGATTTATGAATGTTTAGCCTGTGATATATTTTGATATAGCTGTGGCACTCCAATATGTGTTATGCATTGTAATACATGCTGTGTTGGTGTGGCTGCAAAGCTCTTGATCGCTTCAATTGATTAAAGTTGTGTGATTTTTTACCAGGCCAAACCCCGATAGTTCAGACAATGCTTCGGCTTGTCAGAGCTTCAACCGCAAAAAGTATTTTTACGGTGTATAGCAATACTGCTATCAACAGCATGTACAATATACGGTGAGTGCCTGGATATATAAATAAAGATTCGTGTTACCATGAGGAGATGCTAAAAATTATGCTGCTGACGTGTCTGTAAGAATTTGTTTTCGTCAAAAGCACGTTTAATTGCCACCTCGCGAGCAACAACGCTCAAATAAAAACATGCTCTAGTGCACTAAGACCAGGCGTGGCAGAAGTCAACGGGAAACATGGGAAAAACTGATATGTGTTATACCAAAAGGAGTTATCGCGAGATAATATCAAATTTAATTGGGTTTTGCAGTGAATACCATTTATACCAATCAACTGCGCTTCATTATCTATCAACAGAGCCCACAGCAAAATATTTTCTTGAACCAGTTCGGCTGCTCCTTCATTCTCTTCTTGAATGCCGTTATGTGTTTTGCAGACTCTAAAAACACCCTATCAACATTTTCACCTGTCTTGGCCGAGCACTCAATAAATGCCTTTGCACCAATTTCATTGGCCATATTTTGTCCATCTTCGTATGAGACGATGCCCTGCACATTGCTTGTTTTCTCATCCCTAATATCTTTTTTCAATCCTATCAGGAAAAAGTTGGCCGAAGGACAGTAGTTTTTGATTTCGAACAACCACTTCTTAGGGATGTTACTCAGCACTTGGCAATTTTCGATGGTATAGCAAAGCAGCACAAGATCGGTGTCTTTATAGGAAAGTGGTCGCACAGAATCGTAGTCCTCCTGTCCAGCGGTATCCCAAAGTGTTAGGTTAACGCTCTCCGTTTCGTTGATTTTTACCTCTTTCACGAAGTTGTCCACTACGGTAGGAATGTATTCATCGGGAAATTTATTTCTCTTGAAAACCTCGAGTAAGCACGTTTTCCCGCATGCTCCGTCACCGACAACCACTATTTTTCCACTAACGCTATGTTGTGCTTCATACATGACACACAATCCATATGCTACATTTATAATAATTTAGATTCACGGTACACTAATCAAAATGTGTATCTCCTTTCTTTTCATAAAGGATTCTTCATTTTTACGACAATGAACCAATCATGTTTTGGAAATTTATCGGACAACGTGCTCGGGATTAGCTGGAACATTCTTGTGGGAATACACAGAGTTGCACACTTGGCAAAAACGTATCTTGTGGTTTGCACACTGTTTCTGGTACTATTCGTGTATCGCGCGAGGATTTCTTGCGAAATCAAATTCTAGATTGAAGCCTAAAACAAAAAGGTTTTGATGCTCCAATCACCATGTGATCGATTGAACTTCCTTATCGCGTGAGAAAATAGCTGATAAGTACTGTGGATTACATTCCAGATCAATTAAAAAGCACATTTTTACACCAAATATGCGTTTACCACCATAGAAATGCTTACGCGGTCCATTTATCTCAGAAATGGTAGTGGAGTGGAAGCATTTTGTTGCGCGAATACCGCTTGCTATTTTAGTATCTTCTAGAAGGAGAGCTAAAGGTATTGCGGTAAGGTGATAAATACGCCAAGGAACCTAGGACCTGCGGCAAAATAATACTGGTAGATGAGGTCGATATACATTTAAAAATATACAACTATCTGGAATATATGATCGACTAAGTGTATAAATCATATAAACAAACACTTTGCCACTCTTTACACTACGAAATTGATCGAAAAAGGGGATATACCGCAATGCATACCGGGTAAATGTGTCAGAAGAATCAAAACATTACGTTGATATTACGATAGTTTTGCACAGATTCTCCTGTTCCGTTCCATTGCCTTTTTTTCTGGTTGGAGTGTTTTACAATTATTTACTAACAAATCCTACAATCATTCTTAACCTCATCATATTGCTTTGCAAACGGCACCAACGTTTTGATAGTTTGATGCTCAGCAAAAATATATTTTTTAGTCGTGCAGACCTCGTAAAGCATTTTATAATAAAAAGAATGTAAAATGCACACCAACACGTAGATATGGCGCACAAAAGTATGTTAAATAGACTTAACCTAACAAATTTGTTGGATGAATGGTATTTATGTTTAAAAATAAATAAACGTACATAATCACGGAATATCCTATTTACCACACTCCAGCTTCTGTATAAATTCATCGTATGTTTCATCATAAACACTTTCCATGCCAAGTACCTCAAAAACCTTCTTAATGTCACTATTTCGTATGAACTCAGATCCTTCTTCCTCACTAAAGTTTTTCGATGCTGTGGCAAGGAAAGCAGCAGTGTAAAATGCTATCTCGGTAAGTGTGTGCAGGGCGTCACCGTTAAGTCTTCTTTTCTTTGTTAATTTCTTCAGAAGTATTTTGATTGATTCGGGTGATATGTCGTTGTCCTTCTGAATTTGAGTCATGCTGAATGGGCCCTAGGAAATATGAATTTTAAATCAATGTTATACCGGCATTTTGCGACCTTCATATTTAGGCACCGATTACCGTAATAATATTGATAAGGAGTATATAATGGCATTACTGGACTGTTCCGGCAGAACAAAGGATAAAACAAACACATTATGATTTAGCAGCATTTATCTGCGGTAACCGATCGTTTTTCTCCTTATACTGGTGATTACACTACTCATGTACCAAGCATATGATGATCAACCGTATTTACTTGCATCTCTCCTGAAACACACATTTACACACTTGAATCAATTCTGAAACATCCAGCTGTTCCATAATTTGACGCTTGATGTTTTACAATTGAATTAAAAGATCGTACATTAAAAATTTTATGATGAAAAAAGCGAATACCCTTAAAATGTCTGTATATGGCCGAAAAGCTGTTGGGAGCAAGTATTCAGCGCAATATCAAGTTTACATTACGCTGGACGGCAAGGTGGTTTCACCGTTCCATGATATACCGGTTTATGCTGATCAGGATCACATCAACGTGGTCAATGAGATCCCCCGGTTTGAGAATGCGAAGTTTGAGATCAACAAGGAAAGAAAGATGAATCCTATCATACAAGACCTGAAAAAAGGGAAACCAAGGTTCGTGGCCAACATATTTCCTTGTAAGGGGTATCCCTGGAATTATGGTGCTATACCACAAACGTGGGAAGATCCTGGAGTGAAGGACACGAGCACCAACTCATTCGGTGATGATGATCCCCTAGATGTAATTGAGATAGGAAATGTAAAGAAAGAGATTGGCGAGGTGTACGTTGCCAGGATCATAGGCTGTCTCGGATTGATCGATTCCGGAGAATGTGACTGGAAAATTATCGTAATCGATGTGCGTGATGAGAATGCAAAGCATATAAATGATGTCAACGATTTGAAGATAAAGTTTCCCGGTCTGCAAAACGTGACCTACAACTGGTTCATGAACTACAAATTGGCCGACAACAAGCCAAAAAATTCGTTTTTGGATTACGGCGAGCTAAAGAACAAGGAGTTTGCCAAAAATATCATCAAGGAGTGCCATGAGAGCTGGAAGAAAATGATGAAGACAGAGTCCGAGACTAGCATATCACGTGCCAATGCTTTTCAGAAAGAGCATCGTGATACCGAAGATGTGACGATTAATGGCACGGAAGGATCAGATGAAGCGGTACCAGACCATTTAAACGGGTACTTCTATGTGAAGGATGATTAATGGCCTTGTGTTCTTGATTAAAAGTTATTTTCATACTTTCAGTCTGCTTTTTCAAATAATTGGATATGGATTTGGGTAACGAGATAAAGAACGGGTGAGATGTGTTCAACAGGCATTCAACACCTAGATTAATGTTTGATCATATATTAGAATGAAGAATGAACACACGTTTTTTAGCGAATACTGCCCTGATATATCACCTCTAGTCCGGAAAGTTGGTGCTTAAAGATCGAAAACCTAAACAATAATTTATAAAACATCGATAAACATGCTTTCGGCAAAAAATACGGGATAAAGGCTTTAGATCCCTGATGATGGGAAATGACAGCATTTGTTTTGAAGTATCCGAAACAAAGCCAGACCGGCACGCATGGTAATAAACCAAGGATGTAGTCGTTGGCGTTAAAAATGAGGATCATCTATTGTTACACTAGCTAGATAACGAATTTTCCACAAAAGCCAAAAAATGTAAGCTCATCGCCTAAAACCACGAGATCCACAGCGGTAAGAGACACCATCGCACATGGGTAAAACGATGAGGAATAAAAGCACCGTTCAAGAAATAAACAAACACTATATTTACCGCCACTTTCACCGTAAAATCACGAACTTTACGTATCATAACCGTAACAATGTGCACATTGCTGTTACAACTCTGAATTTGTTTGATACATCTGCAATTTCTATTCCGATCTATGTTTCTCACTAATATTGGGAGATGTCCTAAAACTAAAGCAAAATTCACCAATTCTCTTAGCAACTGTCAACTCGCTGTTGTACACTCTTAACCTACCCTTGAAAAAAGTAGCATAGGCGTAATTTACCATGATAATGTCTCCCAAGTGTAATGACTGGTTGAATATCGAATATTCAACAGATCCTGTATCATCAGCAACTAGGTACGAGTAAACCATATCGTTATCTTTCGTTTTTATGTGGCCCAAACTTTTTATCACCATGAACGTCAGCTCAAAGTTTTTGTTGTATGCACTTATGTCAGAGATTTTCATAATGGGTGCGAATTTGTTTGGTGTTATAAAACACATAGAATGTGGAGAATGAGGTCATTTAAAGTGATGCTGATGTTGTTAAGCGGTTGAATTGCTTTATTTGTGAAGAAATCAAATATTTATGTTCGATTGGTTTGATACGACAAACTTAATCATTGTGACGATTATACTTGGAAATAAACAGCCATAGTTCACATATTTGGTTTTGTATTGTTGTTTCATTCTTTACTGTGGCATTCGATCATTGTGTGTTGTGCATCGTTATCTGATCGGTTGGATGAAGACGTGATGCTAATATTTGTTTCTGTGCCGCTAAGAAGTTTTAGCAATTCTTTTCTCACTGATATTACTGTTCCAGCAACTTATTGATCACAATCACGGCGTTCAGCAACACCAGTTACGAAATGATCACGGGAATGTTCTGCTCTAAAGATCTTTGTTGCCACTGGTCCAAAAGCAATAAATTTATTCTTCATTTCGCCATAAAAGTCAAAGCGATCTCAATCACTTAACTACCATGTTTCAGTACGTTTTCTATTCCAAGGTTGTACAATAACACGGTATCAAAGATTAAATAAGCAAACATATGGAAAGCATCGGTGTTTACAATAAATGTGGTGTAATTTATATGTGCTTTTGCTGTATATACACCGCAGCTCGTACATGGTACATGATTAACTGTTCTATCCATCTGTACAACGTACCTACAAGCAGCATGGTAGGTCGTTATCTGGTATTAATACCTTTAAATTGCTACAATAAAAATGCTCATTATAAGAATTACAATTAGTTTATCATTTTGCTATTCTTCTTCCTAATTTGTGCTGGTTGCACAATGCATACGATTCGAACCAAAATTCTTAATTGTACCTCTGGAACAAAATTTAGCAGTTTTAGAGGATTATACTAATATCTGAGAATAATTCTTTCTGCTAGCAATAACCAACTATCTCTCTACAATCATGTAAATGATACCTCGTATTTACATTTACACGGTATTATTACTGGTTAAGTTATTGCTTTAGTCCCTTCGTGTGTAAAATTTGTAAATAATTCAATTATACACAATTTGTACCCAAAATAAGTGCTGGATAACCGTAGCATTCAATACAAGAGCTGTCAAAAACGCACATTATACCAATATTTCTTTGTATTATTCTCTTACCGTATCAAATATAAGAAACATAACATTTTCACAGTTCTATATTTTATTTTCTCTTTATGTGTTGATCATATTACGACATTACTATTGGCAATTCGGCTTATACACTGTGAGTATCAAAATTCTGTAAGTCTTAGCAGACTTACAATAGCACAATTTCCCGTTTTTGGCGAAATATAATTAAAAAGTGTCTACCGTGCTATAAATTTCTGGGTTCATGACAGGTCGATAGCTATGTTTTTCACTTAAAGTCATTTATACATCTCATCAAGCCATATTAAAAGTCACAGCTTACGATATATATTGCGAAAACTTGCACACAAATAAAATTTAGTGAGCCATACTAATCACAGAGAGCATAACAAAGGGAATTTGCTAAAGCAGGTAAATTTTAATTATAGGTATTAAAGGACAGTAGTGGATAAACAAAATATAATACATACTCTGTAGCTGGTATGGTACTATTGGAAATAACTTGGTAAACACATAATCATATCACACCACTTCAACTCTCTGTACACTTTTTCCTTCAACACTTGGTGCATTCATCTGTTTGTATTTATTGCTGTCAATCAATATAAATTTGCTGCATTTAATATTAAATTAGCTGGTAATTTTTTGGAATTTTAAAATTTTTATCGGAAGATAAGCCTAAATGGTAGAAGCGTCTATTTTTATTTCATTGGTATTTGTTGCACTGCTGGTTCTCGTTCTGTTCTTTATATTGGTCTGTTACATGTACATCAAACATCGGAGTGACCTGCTGCTGAGAGAGATAGAGATGATAGACGATAAGTGCATATTCATGAATGAAGATTGCTATCTTGTGGTCGAGAATTACAACAACAACCTATGCGATATATTTATCATTTCTATATATTTAAAGTGTGGAATCAAGGAAAAATCAACATTGAGTGACCATAGTTGCTATCATGAAAAGCGAAGTGTTCAGGATGTGCTAGAGATGATTGACGAGGACAGTTATTTACATGTAACTGCGATAGACAGGAAGGACACGGACAGTTTTATGTATGACAATGTTCTTTCGAAATGCGCTCGAGTTATATTTCCGAATTTCTTGATATTTGATGTGCAAAGACTTGTGCGATTTGTTTTTCATCTAAAATTAGGTTACCATGTTGCTTGGTTGATAGAGTTTAGCGAGCAGAATATCGTTGCAAGTGCACACTCGTATAACGGGTTAAAGAACGTGCATCATAGTGAGGTATTACACGTGAACAATCTAAATAATATGATGGGAAAGTTTTTTGGTTTTATCATCGGTAAATTTAGCTTAAGAAACCGATTAAAACAAAAGAAATGAAGCAACGATAAAATGCGAATGTTCCTTTGGTTATGAGGAAGATACATTGTTTAATGCTGGTTTGGTGATTGAAATGAAGGAATATAAACATATAAATAAAAATGGAAATGCAATACAATACTACAGCCAAATGTGTTTTTAAAGTTTGTTAGATGAGTTTAAAGAGTATTTACACGCTGGTATGTATGTAAATGAGCTGCTATAACAGTAAATCGATAGATTTTTTGATGTACATCTGAATCAAACAGAACTGGTTTATAGTACGAGATAAGTGCGTTTTAGTCCATTCGCACTGTAAACTTGTGATCTCTGTAAGTAGCATCGAAACGCAGAAATATTAGTTTGAAACTTTTTGGTAAGGCAGCTGTATATTTACAAATATCGTTTTGGTTCAACGATAATCGAGTTCTAAGATCCATGGTAAAACGAATTGCTTCGTATAGTATGATAAAAACATTGGTACCGTTTTTATTGCATTTCACAGCACGGCACTGCTATGAATTTCAAATCAAATGTTATTAACCTAAGTCTACTAAAAGCGAAAAACAATCGGTCTTAATTTACGATTCTCCTCAATTGGTTCACATACAGGTCCGAAGACGGTCAAAAAGATGGAAAGATGTTTCTTTGTACAACTACTTGCCCTAGAGCTATGCTCACAAATTTAAATCTCAATACTTTGAATATGAATTTAATTGATAACAATAAATAGGGAACCACGATACACTGTCTTATAGCTTTCATTATGATGTCCATTCTGAACTGGTACTTAATGTACCATAACATCATACTTATTCCATTTCATACCTTATTTGATATATTTGTTCGTTTTTAGCATCATATAAACTTAATAGAGATGTAACAACACGCTATTTAGATGTAACTTGTGCTAAAATTGGTAGTTTACTAATATTTGAATTTATTGTGCATCTTCATTGGTAATACCTTTTATCTGCCTGTGTTATGATGAATTTGGATTGTACTGTATATAACATCGCGTATTTGATCGGCTTTAAAAACTTGGTTGTCCTTTAACTAATGAAACAAAAAAGATCTGATCGTAGAAAAGATGCACCCTTTTCTACAAGCGCGAACACCTTTCAAAAAGTCCAAGCTCCAACATCAATTTAGCCTTTGTCTGGTACTAAAAATGCATTTACTCTCCTCACACCACATATCTGAACAACGCGCTCTCCGATCCTTAGCCTTTTCTATTGCCTTTGAAGTACTCATAAATAGCACTAAATCGTTCAAATTCTTTTTCTATTGCGGTGAACTGTAAAATTTACGAACCAATTGATATTTATTTGCTTTTTACATCCACTTCACCCGTGCTCTTTCTTATCACAGCAAGTGTTAACCGAGCACGGAAATTTTATTTTGTCTCAAGATGAATTTCCACAAATGAACGTGTAAAATACAAATCATAGAATTTAATCGGTTAGTTCGATCTTACGGATGTGCTAGTTAAGTACGATATACCATTCAGTAGATGAAAGGTTTTAAAGTAAATTAAACACTGCATCTCAGTTAAAAATGACCGTGGATGATGTCATTTTAATAAAATATATTTAGCAGATCTTTGACGAATCGTGCACAAGGTGTCAGAAATGCAGCTTTAGAAATGATTTTACCTTGTATCAACAACGAGTACCTCACAGAATACTTTGTTGTAATTATGTAACAGCATTTCATCTTCTGTATAAAAGTTTACTTTACATTATATCGCTGCTTAAATAGCTAAAAAATGCCAATTTTTCATGATCACCTCTGCTTATCTGTTCAATTTGTATGTGTTCATCTGCTTCAGTGTATGAAACAATGTTGTGTGCTGATATCCCGTTTAACCAGAAGAGGTAGCATTTGGTAACTGTTTCGTGTGTTTATGGCTGCTAATAATTGTAATAATCACTGACTTGAATATATCAAGTGCCGGTAATAACTGGTTGTTAATAGACGCGGTCTGAACAGATTCATATGCCATTATCAGTAATATTTACCGTATTTAGATCGTTATACCTACTCTTCGTTATTCGTCGATTAAATAGCTGCAATATGAACCATTTAACCTATTACCTGCCATTTTTGTAGCTTTCAATTCAAATTAACTCGTTTCAAAATTTTTGTTCCTTGAAATCTTTGATTTTGGTGAGTGCTCTTTTCCATATACCCAGAGTTCAACGTGTCGTTACACAAATAAAGGTAGGAAAGGGTTGTATTTGACCGCACAAGCATGTGCTAACCCGATAAATACATTCATAAAGTTTATCTGTGCCCATAAACGCGTTGTACCTCCGTACCTGTGTGTATAATTCTTATTTAATGTTGTAAAAAATTACCCCTCAATGGTGGAAGCAGTACCTAAGAGGATGCACGGTGTTTATGATCAAATCACTAAGGTAAATAGACGAGAATCTACATATGTGATATTCCATGTACCGAACGTTAGGGACGTGCAGTTTCAGCTGCTGTCGATGGGCGGCTCAATCAGCACAGATGCGACTAAATTGCCTTCTCTTGAGGATATTAAGAAGACATTCGACGAATGCAAGGAAGAGGTCATGAAGTACGACAGCTGTTACATAGCGTACGATTTTTACTTCAATAATGCCAACGGCGCGTTCAGAAATATTTTCATACTCATTTCGTTCATAAACGATGATACATGTCCAGCAAATAAAAGGTTCTTTTACTCGTCTTATTCGCTAGAACTGGTAAAGAAAATCAACGCTGCCAAGCACATTCCTGTTAATTCGACAAAAGACTTTACCTACGATTACTTTGAAGAGGTGTGCCGCTGTCATAAGAAAAATTAAAGCACTGAGCGATCATTTCTGACTTATTTGAAAAATGTGTTGATTTTGTTTGAAGCCCGTTGTTTGCTGAAAAGGTTTTTGTTTTTTTAGCCGAGACGAAAAATAAAAAGTATTTAACGAACCTCATTTTATAACATTCTTGGTTTACCAGTTTGGTAAGATTTCTTGCTTGGGTACATCCCTTCGGCAAAAAAACCGCGCTTAATCCAGATTATCACACGAATATGGAATGTACTGCACATATTGTCCCAGTTTTTGCCTAATCCTAAGTTTGCTTGTGCTAAGAAAACTGCCATAGTACCTTAAATACTGCCAAGATGTGGTATGCTAGGGGAATTCGTATAGTTTTTATCGCTTACGACAAAGAGAGTAGCGGGCACTGTCCAATTGTTTTCTCCTCGTTTGTTGCGGTAGCGCTGAACAAAACGGGCAGTTTATTGAAAGTTGTTGCAGATGTTAATTGCTTTATTACCAGGCTCTGGGACAGGTACAACACGGTGTCTTTGGTAGTACCGTGAAACTGTACTCAACATAATATGCCATTCACAGATCTATTCTTGCGAGTGCGTTGGTCAATCATAACCTACAAATGTGCATTTAACGTTCAATACGTATCGTAAGGTTAAAATGAATGTCTCTCCATTACCATTTGGTGCGATGCACTTTTTATCTTTTTACAAATTTATGTTTCACAGCAATTCAAATAAAAATTATTTACACTGCGGATTCAACCGTGTTGCGGTACAAAATTAACCAAGTAACAAATTTATCGGCTACGAACTGCAATTTACGTTTCTTTAACATTTCGATGTCCTTGCCCTTCATGATACGAAAGAAAAGAAAGACCAAGCTGTTTCAAGTGATGCCTTCCCTCATCACCGAGATAAAAAAGAACAACGCATATAGGAACGTTGCGATGAGCAAGGTTAAGTTCATGCAGGAGAGAATTGTTGAGCTTGGTGCGTATAAAAAGAAGGCATTTCTACCGTTTAAGGAGGGACTGAAGAAAAGCGCTGATGAAAAGGAAGCCGTTCAGAAAGAGAAGCAAATGAGGGTGAACGTGGGATTACTAACAAAAAATACGCTAAAAAGGCGCAAAAAATAGCACACAGCATTAAAGAATTGTTTTTATTACATGGGCACGACCTATCTGCCATTCATCTTTTGGAAAACAATAACACGGTACAACTCCATTACTTTTACCTCGTCAGTGTTAAGCCGCATCGGTAGCATTTTTCTTCTCAACCCTGCAAATTTGCCGCTGTTCGCGTTATAAAAACTCATGAAATTGGTGTTTTCTACCACGAGCAAGTTGATTTTTTTCATTTCCTGCACCAAATAACGTATATCAATCAAAAATTCTACACATTCGTTTACCGCCTCCTGCAAATGAAAATAATACTGATTGCCAAATACCCTGTCGCTAGGATTAGCCGGAAACTCGATCGTGTAGTATTCGTTTCCAAAGCTTATATTTGATTTTGTCTGCTGTTCGCTATTGTTTTTCTCTGTGACATCGTTTTCGGCCTTGGACCGGTGATACCTTCTCAGAATCACATCCCTGTCAGGCACCGTTAGCAACAGATAACCATTTTCAAGCAAATGTTCGTTTATGTTATGCTTGGTTGCTGCAAACGAATCTTCTGATTCGAATGAGTAGTGAAAACTAAACTGTATGGATATTACATCGAACTGTCTTCCGAGGTTTAACGTGCTATGATACACATCGCACACGTCAAAATCAGCCTTGAATGGGCACCTGTGCCTGTTGTACCGCAGTGTACATTCATCGATGCTCTTATCGGCAATATCCAGTCCATAATAGTAGCTTATCCCTATTTTTTTGTACTTCAGCAGGTCTCCGCCTTTTCCACAACCCAGGTCCAGAACACGATCGTTTTTCGCTATGTACAAGTTGAACAGCACCGATTTGATAAAGTTGTTCATATTTCTGATGCTGATTATACTTGATTTTTTTCGCTCTACGTATGACTTGGTGGTGATCCTGTTGTAATGTTCGGCGATCTCACTGGCATACGAACCGGTCGTAGCAACATTTCCGTCTTTACCAGAATTTTTGCAGTTATCACTCGCTACGAATCTACTTCCTTCCGCCGCTGTCACACCTTTCGTGCTGAACTCGCGATTAGAGGTAACTTCCCCTTTATGTCCCGAACACGACATATATTTCGTCTTGGCTGACCCTTTATCTTCTTCTTTGGTACGATCCGATTCACTGCTCCCCTTGTTAGAGTGTGCGTCACCGACTTTCGCACTTTTGTCCCGGTTGTTTCCTACATTTTCTGTTCCGTGATTCCCATCCATTTAACAGGGCAGCAACCATCAACCAGCATTTAATCAATCAATAATCGCATACGCAGTGGACAAGTCATTCACACCAAAAGGAGATATTTGGTACTTCAGCCCTTATTAGCGGTGCCTTGGTGCGCCATTTACCGACCGAATGCGAGCACCGCACCGTATCAAAGAAAATATTTTACAAAAATTTTTACCCCATCAGAAACAGGAATGTCGGGAATAAACTCAGCAAGGAAATTAAGACGTAACAGACACGCCCGTCTATACGCAATAAAGTACTATCGCCGCAAGAAAAGAGGAACTGCTTATCACGAAGCACCGATAGGTAAGGCTCCTTTTGCGCGTGGCATAGTGCTAGACAAAACGTAAGTGATTTCTAATTTAGATAGGGACATCTGAGGATGATGAATCTATGGTATGATACTAACTTATAGCGGAGTAGAGGCGAAACAGCCAAACTCGGCCGTCCGTAAGGCGGTCAGGATACAGCTCTGTGGTTCAGGCAAGAAGATAATTGCGTTCGTGCCGTACGATGGCGGGTTAAACTATATTGAGCATAATGATGAGGTAACGGTGATGGGATGCGGTAAGAAAGGACGATCGGTGGGAGATATCCCAGGAATAAGGTACAAGGTATGTAAAGTGCAGGGAGTTGCGATCAAGTCACTGGTGACCAAGAAGAAGCAGAAACCATCGCGATAATTAAAAGTTTTTTAACTACGTGGTGTGTCAGTTCTTTTACTGGGACAAGCTGGTCGTAATGAGCATTTGTGCGCTGCGTTGATGTTTAACACGGTTGTGCATCGGTGCCTCAGTTCTGATTCTCGTAGGACGTTGTGCCAGATTTAATCGTTTGTTGCAATATGTTACGGATTACCATCATTTGAGATGAAATGGTTGGCATATTTGCTGCCTCTTCGTCTGGGCAATAAATCAGCATCCTAAATAGCAGCAACAAATGGATTTAATGCTCTTGCACTACGATGTGAATGCTATTTTCACTGCCATAGCTGCTCAAGAATAATGCTTTATTTGATATCTGTACGGGAGAGAAACATCGCAATTATCCTTGCAATCCCTGTTTTTTGTTCATCAACAGCAGAAATAAACGATGATTTTGCTCCTGTTTTATGATACGTAGCGTGTTTCTGCTCTATCGTGCTTACAAAAAAATGAGAATTCGTGTTTTAGCCGTTCATACGCTGCATTTGCCGTACAAATAATGGCAACGTTAAAGAACGCAATATTTGAAATAAATGGGTAATGCGGAACAAAACGCTTTCGTTCGCCCCATGATAGAGCTTAGATGGTAAATAGCATCTTTAATCAGACACATGCTGCCCTTCTCCACATAAACAATGTGAGGAAGCAGTTTTATATTCTGTACTACTCCTTTCTGTTCCATCCGTGTAGTTTTCAACGAATTTTATCCATTCCTCTACCAAGCACAAAGTACAAAGAGTGCGTCCATCATCGATTGCAACGTACAAACGAGAAGTCGTGAACAACAAACCACATGAACAGTATCTTAACATGTAGTGCACCTGATAGCCTTTAATAAACATTTCCACGATCTTATTCAAAAAAGCGATGTTTTCGTTTATAGAACTCAATATGAAATACTTCACATCAAGGTATAACGCACTATCTTTATCAAAATAATGTAAGAGCGTGTAATTGCAGATGTTTGCCAAATATTCGGATGATATGCTCAGAATCTTCAAATTTGGATAGTTGCCCGAATCTGTCAAACAATATTTGTTTAAAACATATTTGACACTCCTGCTGGTCCTCAAATATAATTTACAGTAGGTTTTGAACATTGACTTGACCATTTCATCTGCTGGCTTATATTCTTCATATCCAACATTAAAAAGTATTAATTGAACGTATTGTATAGTTTCTATGACCAATTTAACATCATCGTTCTCATTCATAGCAGCAATAGTCGTCATATAGTATAAAAATGCGATAAGGTTCCTGTTCATGGCCCGCTGTTCGTTCCTTGTATTTGTTGCAATTTCATACTGTTCTTCATACTTTTCCCTTATCAATTTCAATTTCGGTTTTATTTCCGTGTTTACACGTTCTTTTACGCTGATGAGCAACAACGCTCCGTCGACAAAATTTTTTGTTTTTGAAGGATTTGAAGCGGCTGAAGATGGCAGTTCATCGGTTGTTGATACAAATACTGTGAAGTATACGAGGTATAGGGCAAAGTACATGTTGTTGAAATAGGTTTTGCTTTTATATATCAGAAAGTTGACGTATTTACCAAAATGGTAAAAGTCAAAATTTTTTCCGATCATCGCTATTTTGTGGTGCAAAACGATTATATGCCAATATTTTATTTTTAGTAAAAACGTGTTCGTTTATCTCCTCACTAAATTTTATTCTTATACTCAATGAGCATTCTTTCTCTTAAAAGTGTAACATACTTATTCTACAAACAGCAGTGTAACGAATCGACAATGGCATACACTCAAAATAATCAAGCTGGTTCGTAAACTAAACATCGCTAAGGCTGTGGTATGTACCCAATATGGCAGGAGAATCTGTGTGTAAGATAGAAATCAGTCAGATTTTCAAAAATAGATTGGTATTATCGCGCTACAATTTATCACATTCATGGTTCTCATCTATATGGGATAAAATATTGTGCTAATAACCTCACTGTGCCATGAAAGAACAAAATACCTTTACATCAAACCGATATGTTCGCTCTGCAGGGCAAATAATGTAAAGGAAACTGCCATTGTTGATTGTATAACATATCAAATGAATTGGTACACTGCATTCGTGGCTGAAGTGTCAATGTGGTAAATATTTTGAATATATCAAATTCGGAAAGAAACTACGCAGGTATTTCGCAGTGTGTAGAACGACTAAGCACGTTTAAAGGATGAGCAGCCCTATCAAGTCGTATAAAAAGGCTAATCAGATAAAAATTTGTTAAAATATACTGTAGAGACTTACGATGTGTACATTATGTGGCAGAGCTGTACCGTTGCTTAATACAATTTTGTAAGTAAACCGATGAAATTGAGAATATAAAAGGTTAAAATGCCTTTACAAGGACTAAAAGACTGAACAGGATGTATGCGTGTTACTTTGTGCGGATATGTTTTTTACAAATCTGGAAAGTGTGCATTCCAATACTGAAGATTACGATTTTAGCACATTCAATTTACGTGAAATGGATGAATAGTAAAAATGAGTAATGGTATGCCTAAAAATGGGTTGTATCACCACCATTAACGCTTTAGTGAGGTAATATTTGCGCTAATTTTGTAATAAAATAGGCAACACGATGAATTATAGTTCGGTCTCGGAGGATCAGAAAAACTTTTTTGTCTGGACGCTGTGAGGAGATAAATAAACGATTGAGATAAAAAGATGAGTTGAAATGTCCAAATAAGGAACGAAATAGCGTTGTTCTACAAGTAAATTTATGGTGCACAGATCATAAACAACCGTTCATTTGTGTTTTCAACCGTTTCTGACCCGAGGTGTTTAACTAGCTCTAAAATCGGAGCCCTTAATGAAATTACACACAAAAGACAATGGCATCTTCGAATTGGATGCCCTACCCGATGATATGACGTTGCTCAAGGATTTTATCACCGAGTACCAGCTTACAACATCTTCACAACAAAAGCTGGCTCTGCTGTACTACGAGAACAATGAATTTGAAAACTGCTTAGAACTGCTAAGGTTTTGTGTATCGCAGAGCTTGTTTTCTGCCAGTGATTTGGAAAGGCTGAATCTTACACTTCTGGCCTTTTATATTGAGCAGGGGCAGGGAGACAAGTACTTGGACGAGTGCACAAAGCTGTTTTTGCAGCTAGAGAACACGAAGTACAAGGATGAATTGAACTGTATAAAAGGATATTTCTTCCTGTACAAGGAAAAATATGATACTGCACTGTTTTTGCTTGCCAATGATGTGTTAGGTAGGAATTTGATTCATCTGTCGATGAGGTGCCCAGAAAAAGTGGAAACTAGCGATCCGCTTCTCCAGGGATACAAAGCTTATCTTGAGAACGAAGTAGAAACAGCGGTGAAATATTTTACAGAAGAGTATAAAAGAAATAAAAAGGTGTTTCCCTATCTCTTGAGACTGGCACCGAACAAGTTCAGCTACAAGGACTCGGATGAGTGGACCAAGGGAACACCAGAGTATAAGTTATGTGCGAAAGAGCAAGACGGCGTGTATACCGAAGAAGAACTGTTGGAAACTTTCGGTGATATCGTAAAGGACGAGTTTCTGTACCAACGAGCCAAACAATTGCATCTCAAGGGGCAGTACGAGGATGCGCTAGAATATTATATCCAGTGCAGCGGCAGACGAACCGCTGATTATCAATCAAAGAGAATATTAGGGCTGCCATTTGAAGACAAGAAAGAGTTGAGCGATCTTTACCAGCTTAGAAAGACCAATGAGGGAGCGAGCAACCCCGTGGAAGGATTTTCCAGCCTAAAAAGAATCAAACAATATTTGGATGATGCGACTTATTACAGTAACCGAGGGTATTACGTGTACTTTGTCGATTATTACACGGACAAAATTAAAAAAGAAATAAAAGATGATTTGGAGATTGAGGACTTTTCTAAAGCTGCGCTTTTATACTTCAAAAAAGCCCTTGAGACGGCAGATTCGGAGCAGGAACGGGGCATTGTGTATAACATTCAAATGTTGGAGCGAGAAAAGGAGTACGAAGACGTGGAGAATGACTTAAGGTACGCGATTGACAACGTAAAGAACAATCCTGATAGATCGCTTGCCACGTTTATCAAATATGTGGAGAGTGAAAACAGCCTGATTGCAGCGAGGGGAGTTGGTGTTGTGTTAGCGATGAGAAATGACCCTTTTTGCATCAAAATTTTTAAATATCTTCATGATGACCATAACCTGAACATTTTTCTTGAAAGTCAACAGAACAAAGAGAACAGTGAAAAATAGCACTAAGTTGTTGTTACAGCGTATTAAAATAAATATTACTGATTTGTACACGTTTTACGGATAGTTTACCAAGATGTTGGAGAGCCAACGTATAAGAGATCAGTGACGTGCCAATTATTCATAGTGCTGCATCAAAATCTTTTATTCGTTGAGATAGCATCAACTTATCAATCTTTGTGCCGCCATGAAGCGACAAATGCCTTTTTATAGATACCGCCTTTCTGATAACTATCGTTGCGAACAGCGGTCCAAACTATCACAGCTTTAGAGCGCACGAATATAAAATAAATGGATGTAGCAATTTTATTCGTATCATCCATAATTTCCGATCTTTTGCAGAGCATGACCGTATCAAGACCTACAATTGAGTAGCACAACCTTAAATGTTCATATTAGTGTAAGGGACGTTCCACTTAGTTCGAATCGATGAATGAAAGTCTTCTACAACAGTCTCTAAGAGTTTTTAAGTGACGCGTTTGCACATTTTGCTATCAGTCTGTTTTTATGGTGTTGGTCCATTCAAATGTATTTGCTCAGATGACAACCGTGTTAACACCTCATGTCCTATTCGCTTATTCGATTCGGCTGTAGCTTCCTGGCTCAACGCAATCGAAAGTGCCCTTAAGAATTTCTCATCAACCATGAAGAATGGCACAAAATTTTTTATTAATCATAAAATTCTGATCCCTCGATGTTAACACCGTACAACCATTTCTACCAGCAAAGACAAAATTACCATTCGTCTGTAATCGATCACTTTGAAAATCCGAGGAACGTTGGTTCGTACGATAAATCAGCAATAGATGTGGGCACCGGACTGGTTGGAGCTCCCGCATGTGGTGACGTGATGAAATTACAGATAAAGGTGGAAAACGATATCATTAAGGATGCAAAGTTCAGAACATTTGGATGCGGGAGTGCCATTGCAAGCTCATCGCTTGCCACCGAGTGGATAAAGGGGAAAAGCATCAGTGACAGTCTTAAAATTAGCAACAAGGACATTGCAAAGAAACTGAGTTTGCCACCGGTTAAACTGCACTGTTCAATGCTTGCGGAGGATGCCATCAAGGCTGCAATATCAGATTATCAGAAAAAGAACAGTTTGTAGTAGCGGTAGAATAGTTAACTGTTGTTTGCTGTGGTACGCAGTTCTTGCGTAACATCTGCTCGTTATGGCGGAGCATCTCTTTTATTAAAGCTGGTTTAACGTAACTGTCCCACTTTCAAGACTTAGTATGCGAAAAGGACCAATTCTTGTGTTTTATTCTTTTCACCGTGCGGAAGGTGTGTGCACGATCATATTCTTTCCCACAGGAACAAAACCCTAGACCAGTATTTCTACATCATGATCAGTGCTACCGTAAACTCATCGAAAATAGAACGCGTAATGACCTATAAACAGACATTTTTGTGCTCCGATGTATTATTCAACTGCTGATACTCGCTTTCTTTCGGTACGCTGTTTCTGGTAATGCTCAGAATGCCATGCAATCCCTTTTTTACGATACAATTCCCATAATTCCCCTTTTTCACGTTCATATAGGCACCCCCATGAGCGATCAAACATACATAAACCAACAATGGCTTGAAACAAACCCTTTAACCACGGAAACTGTGCTCACCTACTTCGCTCTCTCTCCGTTCTACGATCGCTCGTCCCTCAACGAAATCTTAAAGATGCAAACACAATTCACCAACTTTCTTGATTTCAGCAAGAAATTAACCGAGCTCAACGGCGTAAAATACCTCGTTGACCAAAGAAACGATGTTTTTTTCATATACAAGATACACAAACAGAAGGATAACGAGGATCTGCTCGATTTTTATTACGTGCTCTTCGGGACAATCTATAAGGGGGCAACGACCAACGGCATTTTCAGGACACGCGTGTTCAACCTCCTGTTTTTTATCAATGAAAGTTTGCCAAAGTATTTGAAACGAAGGAGGTTTAGTGCGGTTGAAGGCTTCAAAATGAAAAGTGATGAGGAAATCGGTGCGAAAGAGAGTGAGGAGACAGTTGAGGACAAGGAGATTGCTGAACATGTTATAAGAGACATTTACACTGGTTGAATCAGCAGATATGGCCTGTTGATCATATCTCAGTTTCACATTGTCATTAAAAGCTTTTGAATGTAAGACTGTGCTAGCACTCATCCGCTGCAATTGGTGATGTGTGCCGTTTTGTAACCGTAGAACCGTATCTGCACTATATCATGTTGTTCATCGGTCTGTAGCATGTTATTTTCGGATGTGCTGTGTAATTCAACAGGTAACACAACCGTTTAGATTAACCCGCCGCTGTCGCGCGAATAAAATTTTGGTAGTCCGTTTCCGCACCCCAATGGACCAGTTTAACGGAGAAATCGCACAAGTACTGCGCAAAAACAAAATAACAGCACTAACACCGATACAAGCACTCACAGCACCATATTCGAAGCGGAAGAACAATATAGTAGGGATATCACGCACGGGTACAGGCAAAACTCTTGCATACATTCTTCCAGCACTGCACCGTTTACTAAAACACAAGAAACGTAACTATGTGCTGATAATAGCGCCAACAAAGGATCTTGTTGTGCAGATTGTGGCACTGCTGAAAATGTTTGGTCCGCTGGGACTGAGAACCGCCTCACTTACTGGCCAGAACGAAGTAAGCGATTCACACTTTATTGTTGGCACACCGGGAGCGGTGAGAAAGGTGATAAAGAATGTAAAGGGCATCAAAGTACTGGTGATGGATGAGGTTGACAAGCTGTTTGGCAAGGATTATGAGAGGGACATGACAAAAATTTTAAAGTCAATTGGCGTGTTGAGTATTAAAGCAGGTGCTGAGTTAGAGGGAAGGACCGATGACGAGCGAAAGACTGTGAAACGTAAGAAAGGCACAGAGAGTGCTGATAACAAGGAAAACATTGCAAGAATAAAAGAAAACTGCACAACAACGAAAAAAAGCGAAGTGCAGATGATGCTGTTCACAGCAACGTACGATGAAACACTCGTGAAGCAGTATTTGGATGTTACCTCTTTTGAGGTGCTTGAGGTGAAGGACAGGAACGATAAAATAGTGCACCACTACGTCTTTACACCGTACAAGCATAGAATACACCATCTCTACGAGCTGTGCACAAACCTTTCCAAGTGCATCATCTTCGTGTCGCGGATATTCTACACGTATTTATTGTCGAACCTTCTCAAGGAACTGAACTTCAACGTATGCTTCATAAACGGAAGAATCCCACAAAAAGAGAAGAACGCGGTTATCGAAGGCTTCAAAAACAACGATTACAGCATCCTGGTCACCACGGATATGCTGTCCCGTGGTATAGACATACCCGCGGTGGACAACATAATCAACTTTGATTTGCCGGTGAGCAGGAAGGAATACATCCACAGAGTAGGAAGAACGGCACGTATGAGCGCAAATGGTCGATCTTTTAGCGTGGTAACGCAGTACGATCTTGAGAAGTTGCAAAGAATTGAACAAATGATTGGTGGCAGGATGGTAGAGTATGGGGTTGATGAGAATCGGATGGATATCAATAGGAGCAAGGTGGAAGCTGCGTTTGAAAAGGTGCACAAGCAGAGTAAAATGGAAATGGCAGAGATGGATGCGCGCACAAAACGAGATAGTTAAAACATATAGTGATTTATAACTAACGTTGTTCGGATCAGAACTGTTTACTCAGCTGTATTTGTGACTTTTTGTCCTTGACAAAGCGATTTTCTACGTCATCTTTAGTGCGAGAGCGTTTGGGCAGCATGCTAGGTATGAGGGTCTCATGGTTTGTTCAAAGTAGGTAAAAAATTAAATTTTTGGCGTTTTGTTGCAAGGAGCTGGTCATGCCGTAAATGCAGGTCATTTAACATTAGCATTGAGCAGAAATGCTTCGTTCAACAGCAGGAACAGCACAGCATGGTGTCTTTGAATGTGCTCCCTCATTAACGTCTTGATTACAACTGTGATCACACAGCATGGTGTCTTTGAATGTGCTCCCTCATTAACGTCTTGATTACAACTGTGATCACACAGCATGGCGCTCAATGAACATACAAATATTTTACAAATCTGCTCACTTTCATGCGTGTCTGCAGTCACGACCTGTAAAAATAAATTTAATAATCCTATCGGTTGCATCCTACACCATCACAGCCGCTCCCACTGCGATTTATCCATCCATTAACTTTTAAACCAAATTTAGTATGTGGAATGCCTCGAAAATGGAAGTGTATTAGTTCAAAACAAAAATTTTGCTTTTTTCGACCCCATGGTGTCCAACTTCGATCTCATTTACGGGGCTGTTTTTGGAAAAGACTGTAAAGAAGAATTTAGCAGGATATACTGCAAGGAAGAAATGTACAAAGTGCAACTTGATGGAGATGTTGGAGGAATAAACGATCTGCCCTTCTTAAAGCGAACGCTTAGGAAGAAGTGAAACACGAAAGATAATTGCCTTGTAACAGATACCACGCAATGCGTGCAGGGCTGCACTCGTTTTTTCATAAGAAGCTTTTTGGCATGCTAACTGTTGTATGAGATTATGTACCGGTTCGCATGCCCATGCTATTTCAATAAATGACGTTCACCGCCTCAAAGTTCTTCAGACTGCACACCCCGTATTCGTTCTCGTTAATAACGTTCCAATTTATTGCGCTGTGCTCCGCTGAAAGACCTGTAACTGACCAGCTGTTTGGTAATTATACGATTTATCGTGTACGAACGTGCCTGCAGCGTGATTAACGGATTATTTAACCAGCATTACGATGTAAATACGGTTAGTTATTACTTACACCACTGCACCAAGCCGGTGCATTCTCCCGAACAGGCTGTGAGTGACTTTTCTGGGACCATGATCCGTCCGCTACAAAACAAACACCCATCGTTGGCCTGAGCCGTTCAACGGTAAAATACGCACCACCCGCCGAAAATCCAAGAATAAGACGTGCCATGGCAAATAAACGATTTTTAGTAAAAAAGACACCGCATCTCAAACACCAGGTACATCGATAGGGAAGACTAAGACGGGAACACTTCGCATGTGCACGCAGAACGAGAATGTTTAACACTTACCCATTTCTAATGGTGGCACGGTCAATACCCCATCAAACGCAGCATTCGCACGCTCTCATCCAGATAATTTATCTTTTTGATGCTCAGTCCTCTCCATCTCACCCGCATCTCGCCGTTGTACACCTCCTCACTCCTTTTCATCCTGATCACGTACTCCTTGTACAACAGCGTTTTCAAGTAGTTCTGCAGCTGTGTGGCGTTCTCCTCGCCCATTTTCTTCAGCTCATACGCTGTCATCCCGAAGAACTCAGTGCAAAAATCATCGAAAACGTTCAACCACACTTGCTGTGTGAAATCTGCCACGTGCAACGTGGTCAGATAACGTATGCTGCATGTTTCCTTTGTCTGGTTGCACCTCTCGCAGTAGTACCCCTCGTCTGTCAGGCTGACCTTCTTGTTGCAGTTATTGGCGCACGCATTGTAAAAAAGGTTGTCCTCGCGGATGAAGAGCACAGTAGCAGCACAAGTGCCGTAGCTCTGAATCTCCTCAATGAACGTGTATTCGTTCCTCTGCGGCCTTTCAACGACCACAGACTGCTTGTGCTCGTCGTACCATCCGCGCAGCGAGTACGCCTCGTCCATCTCCGGGTCAACCTTTACTGCACTGCCAAAGGCCGTGCTCAGAACAACGGCGTTGTTAAACTCGCCCACCCTCACATCCTTGAGAAGCAGCACCGGATGTTCATCCAGCTCAATTTCGCTCTTGTCACCCCACAGCGTAGCCCTCACGGTGCCTGTCTGGTCCACTAGGATCAAATCGCGTTTTTTGATCTCTCGCTGGCTTGCCTTTGCAAGGACCACGCTCACCGGAAAGGCCTCGTGAACCACACCGATCACGTCACAGTTAGCCTTGTTCACACGTCCTACCAGATCGCTGATCTTGCACAGATCAAATGACATGGCGAGCCCTTCCTCGTTTACCAAGCTGACCACGCTGTTCTTCTCCAGGTGTATTTCATAATCACTGCTTGTGTTTGCGAACTTTTTATTGCACATTTTTACCACAGCTTTGCTTATTTCAACAACGGAGCCCTCGGCAACTATGCCATGGAAGAGATCCGCACCATCGTTGAACGCCACACATTTGATATTTCCTGTTTTATCGAGCAGTTCAAAGCTGAAGAACTTTCCGTCCTTCTTCTTGAACTCTCTCAGCTCAGATTTTTTCTGCACCGTGCCCTTTACGATCCACTTCGTTTGGAACGGATTGAGTGCTGCAATGGGCGTATATGCCTTCTTATCGCCATCCGCATCATGATTAGCACTCCTAACACACCCAGCATTTTCCTTCTCCGCTTTCCCATTGCTGCTACCAACCTGCATTCTCTTACTGCTGTTCTCGTTCACTGCTCTTTTCTCGTTCTCACCCTTTTCGTTGTGTTTGATCTTACTGCTGTCCATTTCCACGCTGCTATCCACCTTGTCCGTGCTATTCGCGTTTTTCGGCGATCCCATTCTTTCACAGTCCTTGATCTTCTCGCATCCCTTGATATAAATGAAGCAGTTGCCGTTCTTCTCCAGTATCACAAAATCGCTGATTTTTATCAGGGTGTTAACTCTCAGATCCCCAACATCTTTGCTCACCTGTGACGAGAATATCCCTTTCATGTACAATTTGCTGTCACTTATGGTTATGTGGTACCGCACCGTTTTATCGCTCTTTCCCTCTATTTTCTTCAGCGAAAGCAGCTGAACCACCGGAGCAACGTACAGAGGAGAATCTTTGTTGTTGTTGTAGAGCGCTTCCACCGTTCCCGGTTTTAACATGGGTGCGAAAAAAGGAAAAAATAAAAACACAGGCACCAACCAAAACAGTACCCTGCGGGTGAGCCGGTTTAGTGCTGCTGCCAACACGGCCATTAATGTGCACATTCTGTGATACAAAGACTGCAGCACCCGCAGGGTAAAGACATCAGGCACGGTAAACACTTTTTACAATCTCTGTTTACGGGTCGCAACAGCTCCTACGATATTCATGAGAAGAAGACGGTATGGGCCTTCTTCATCGTAGGGTGTGCATGATAAGAATCTCAAAAGGCGAACAGCTGGTGCATCCTAATGTCTAGGACGGGAGTGCAGCCGTTGCTCCAACAACCTTACGGTAAGGCACCATGGAACCGGTGCATCATGCAATGCCAGTTCAAAAAGATAAATCAACACAAATCGTTCACGCAAGCCATAAAAGATTATTTAACCGTGCAGAAGAATCCTGGTCGCAAACATTTACCGTGTAATATCGTTAATTTGCACCGCTGTTAGATTAGCAATTACAAATAATTAAAATTGCCAGCATGTGAACTGCTACCATGTCCATTCAAGGATCACACGCAGCATGTGTTGTGATGCGTACCAAGCCTTTTGATTTGAATGGCTTGCACTACACCCCAACCGCGTTTCTTACAAAACGCACAAATAACACGATCTGTGATTCATTGCCATGGCTCATCTATCGCTGCGGTTCGCCATGCTACGAATGCAATTTATTGGTGCTGCAAACTTCAGTGTATTACATCAGGGATTATTCGATTTAAACCATGAAACGGTGTGCAATCAGAGCACTGAACAAATTCATTGTTTCTGCTGCGAATGTCTACGAAATGTGCTACATTACATAATGAAAGTATGTTTGCTGGGATATAATGCTTTTAGCAAATAGTTTATTTAGCACTACCTCGCACCTCTTGTTCTGCAAAATATACCTTTTGGACCTATCCCTGCCATGGCCTTCAGACCATTTTGTACAGCTCTGTGCTGAGATGGATGTAGAACAACCTGTGGGTTCCCCTGAGAGTGCCAACGCGGTATTTACAGCAGACCCCTGCTCAAGGCCACTCTCAACATTTCAAGTCCTAGCACCTCTGATCTACGCCACCGTTTCGCACCCACCACAGAATTAGCACTCCTCAACTCCTGGATGACAGCTTCGGCTCAACACAATACGGACAGCATAATTTTCTCGAAATCTGCCTTAATCAAGCTCAGCAACCACCTCATATGGGCTGATCTGTCGTTATTGCTCGCTTTTACGCACTGCGGCCCATGTTTGATTCTCCATGGGCGTGATTTATCAAATTCTCTTTTTGCACTAGCAGATTCGAGCACCTGGGATGGTGCATGTTAGTCTGTTCACTCAACCGTTCAAACCCTTTTTACTCAGAACATCTGAGCGAGCGGTTTCTTGGCATCATCCTGCATTCTCGCCAAAGTATGAAAATTAACACAGAGCGTGAATGGTACCGGCATACACTAGTGAAGAACAATCAGGTTTGATGACAACGACTCTCATATGTGCAACTTTAAGAGCTGCTACCAGCGCTCTCCTAATACCGCTCACTCAGGCATTTTACACGCGCGAATCTCCCTTCACGACCGCTTTGAGTGCAACCTTGCATTTTACGCTAGCAGCCACTTCAAATTATGGTATTTTACCGATCCTGAGAATCCTGCATGGACCACAACCCCGGTTGAATACACCACGATGACCGTTTCCCGATAAATTCTCATCATTGCAGAAAACAAAAATTTTTGCACCGTACTACCAACACATACACCATGATAACATTGAGTGACCCTCTGTTAAGCTATCATGAGTGCTGTACCAACTACTAAGTTGCCCATTAACATCTATTCATCCAGTGTAACCGCACTCAACGGGATTCTGTCCAAAAATTAGCAAATACTCATGGACGGAAAATGACCTTCCCCGTTAGAACAAATTTGCGGTGTGTGACCGGCTAAAATCAAAGAACATTTATTAAAGTGAACATAAAGCTGCGAACAACCGTTTTACAGGCCGCACTACCTCCAACGCATCCACACATTGACCTTACACCAATGATCGTACATAGAGCGCGTACCTCTTACTCGTCAGTACCAGCAAACCATCAGTAAACAATTTCTCTCCTTATACTGTTGCTGGCAAGGTTATACTCGCGCACAAACACGTCCTCCTTGTAAAACTTGTAGTTGAACTTGATGCCGAACCCGCGCACCCTCTTCTCAAATTCGTTCTTGTCTACAACCACGTTGCTAGGCACCTGCCTGAGCGACCTGATCTTGTCGTTGAACATTTCGTTCAATATGAACAGATACACGAAGAAATCATCGTTCTCATTAATATACTTCGCAAATTTCTTACGGAGTGCCTTAACCACAGAGTACTTCTGTGCTGAAATGAAGCTGTCGAGCGTTATCTTTATAGCCGTATCGATGTCCTCCTTACACACGTATTCACATAGCTTTATCCGGGCTAGGGCCTCGCTGATCCTCACAATGCTCTCAATATGTCTTGCAGTGATCGGCATGCTGTTATCGCTTTCTTTGCGCAGATCAGCATACAATTTGCTGATCTTGTCCTTGTCTATCTCCTTAATCTGCGGGTGTATCCGCTTAGCGTAGATAAGGTACTTCTTGAATAAATCATCATCAATAACTGGTCGATTTTGCCCGATGCTCTGAGCTGAGGTATGTTCGGCTTTGATGCCTGGATTCCCCTGCTCGTCGTTTTCATCGAGTGCTCCGCCTCGATCCCCCAACGATTCATCCGCTACCGTGCTCTTTTCGCGTATTCTCTTCAGAAGAAACGAGGCGATCCGCTCATCTTCAACCTGATCAGTCACATCCCTGACAACACACAAAATGTCAAACCTGCTCAAAATGGGTTCGCTCAGGTTGACATTTGCATTTAAGCTGAGCGCACTGTTATATCGTCCTTTTCGTGGATTAGCTGCCGCAACAACCGCACACCGTGCATTCAGCGATGCAACAATTCCCGCCTTGCTCACCGAAATGCTCTGCTGCTCCATTGCCTCATGAATCGCACTCCGATCATTTTCCTGCATCTTATCAAACTCATCTATAAGCACAATGCCATTGTCGGCGAGAACTAGTGCCCCACCCTCAAGCATCCACTCATTGTTTGAATCTTTTCTGACACTTGCTGTGAGACCAACCGAGCTTGCGCCGTGACCTGTAGCCAGCACGGCACGGGGTGCAACACGCTCAAGACTTCTTAAAAGCTGTGACTTGGCGGTGCCAGGGTCACCCATGATAAGCACGTTGATATCTCCTCGTATTCTGTGCGCCGAGCTGTTCTTAACGTTTTCATTCTCTCGGCCCTTCGGCTGTCCGCCAAAAAGCGCCAACAGACACGCCCTTTTTACGCTGGGATGACCACAAATCTCCGGTGCCAATGCATCGCTCAAAACTTCCACAATTCGAGGATTCCTTGCCAGCCTCTTTATCTCTTTTTCATCCTCTCTTGTCAGCACGCAGCTGCTTTCTTTCCTAATAATGGCATTGGCAATGATGTGTGTCGTAAAAACGGTGTCGTTCAGCACCCCGTTCTTGTAAATGCCGGTAAGTTCGATCTCATCGCCAGGCTTTGCCACATCGATTAGATCGTGGAACACAAGAACATCTTTGCTACGCGGCAACGTGCCTGCAGGTACCGTGCCCGGTATTTCCTGTATTGCCATCTTCTGAAAATCTCTGTACACGGTTTCTTCGTCATTTATCAGGAAAGGTCCCCTGTTTTGGCACTCAAGACAGTTTTGCGGACGGAATCCCACATCGTCTTCGAGAAGAAACGGACCAAAGGTGCACCGACACTTCACACAGATAAATTTTGCCAGAAACAAACGCGGAAAAACGCCGCTGCGCCTCGTTACAATACCGCGTATACGCACCAAGCAGCCCAAGTTCTCATTGCGCAGCTCTCTCAGTTCCTCAACCACAGGCACATCGACCACACGAACATGCACCTGCACGCGGATCATGAAGTAATTGGGGAACAGGCCTAACACGACTACGCGGAGTGCATCATCGAACACCTCAATTGCAGGCTCGGCACATACAACAAGCACCCTCACCAGCAGGTCATCAAAACTCTCCATGTCTGTGTAGCTGACCATCAAGCTTTCGCTATTCTCAGCACACATCGTTTTAATCAGCTTTATGTACTTTCTTCCGCCATAATTGCTGAGAAACTTAACGAACAAGTTTTTGATCTTCAGCTTGTAGCCCTCGTTTTCCATCACCTCTTTGTTGACCGGCAGGTCTCCGTTTTCTTCATTTTCAGGCGCTTCCACATCGTTGTAATTTTCTGGCATCGAGCTCTCCAGATAAATGTCTGCAGCTGATGGAAGATCAATGGGAACGTCAGAATGCATGTCCGATATCGTAGACTGCGGGTATGAGAGTGCCTCGCTCTCTGTGGATGACTGATCAGAGGTAAATTCCTCATATTTTCTTTTTGTCATGAAGGGCGAGTATTTTTCGGTGAATAACACAATTAGCAGGATTTAAAACAGAACAAGCTCCGGATTGTGGCACCAAAGAATTTCTGGCCACGCAATTACAGCGAATTAAGTCTGTCCAACACACTTACGATCTTGTAGATGAATTTCAATCAAGCTACGGATATAAGGCGTGTTCTTGTCATTATTTACGATTACATCACGGTGCAGTGATATAACACCGATTAAAAGTCATGCATTGTACATGGTACGGATGATTCCTCACGGTCAGCCAGCTGAAAGGTAACATTGGCCAGATTGGAATTGAAAACCGTGGTCACAGAGACTACCTGAAGATAGCGGAATTGACCCGGCCTTATTCACGTGCATTCGGCAAAAGGATTTTTTTATTTCCGGGAACGCTCTTCGGTATTGGGATGAATCGTTGAAATAATGGTGCAATACCAAGCATCCGTACCATCAATCAGTGCGGTATCTTTTTCAAGTGCTGTGCATGTTCTATACCGGAAGGTATTGTTACTAAATATGAATTAATGCCGGATTTTCTGCATCCACTTCCAGCTGGCATGCAATGTAGCGGCAAAAATGCCGATATTTCAAAATTTTACCATTTTTGATAGAAAATGGTCTCAGCATGCATGATCGAATGATTCTGATCACAGGTACAACTTTTTATACCTCAAGATGACATGACATAGGTAAAATGATTTAATAACACCTGTAATGATGAAGGTGGTTGCTGGCAGAGAGGGAAACATTAAAGGAGAACAGACGCTTTTGGAAAGGATAAACCGGCTGTTATGTTGCAATTTACCGAATTGATAAAATTGTTGATTTGTTGCTCATAGGAATGAAACTTACACTGCTTCCTAGATTTTACCTGGTAGATTACGAGAGTAGCGTGTTAACAGGACCGAGCGAAAAGATGCGTACTGTTGCCCTTATGCTAATTCATTTACACGTGCTGACACGGTCTCATATAGAAACATACCCCATATTTACAGATAGAACGCACATATGCACAATACGGTGAGTTACTCGGTAATATTCCAATTATGATGTGGAGTGTAGAAACAAATCCGCAAGTATTTAACATATATTTACTTAAAAGGTGCTTAGTATGTAAAATGCGGTATGTAGGAACAGTTCCGTAATTGTTCATGTATTGCGTAGCAGACCACAGTTCAAACAACGCTCTATAAAAGCTCTTTTCATTCCATAACATGGTATTTTGGTACTCTGTACGTGTATCGGTGAGCACAGGACAGATCAATCTCAAGTAGCTCTTTTCATTCTATAACATGGTATTTTGGTACTCTATACGTGTATCGGTGAGCACAGGACAGATCAATCTCAAGTAGCTTTTTTACGTATTTCATCGAATGCAAATATTTTCCTGATTCTGCTGCTCCTCAAAACAGTAAACAAAATTATGAGAGCAATTGCAATTACGGCAATTACTCACAACCATGTGGTGCTTGATTACAGGCGAGTTACATCTATCATGTGTATAAAGCACATACAGTTAATATAACGTATCAAATTTGTGTTTAAAAATGAAATAGTACCATTTTAGGAGAACGAATATCTTTGTAGGAAGATGCACTTATGTAAATACCAAGATTGGACGTACATCACTTGAGAACCGCGAAGAATATCGTTTAGATCGTTGTCTATAGAGTGATATTCTATTTTTGACAAAATATTTAAATTAATTTAATACGTTCATTACATTCTCAACATACGGTCCATAAGAACATTTATCACGTGTTCCATGGGAAATGCAATAAATCATAGACACATGATAAATATTTGGCACACCAAACGGTGGTATTTTACTCTTTTAGCCAAATTGTAAAAATATAGATTTGCAATTCTCAGTAAAAAGTCAAATTGTAAAATACCAAATATGAACAACAAAAATAGCGTATTTCACAACGAAACAAAAATAAAGCACTAGTGTTGCAACTTTGACCTGTGGATCCTTTTTCCGTCACATGATTCTTTTCCTTCCATTCCATCTGTCTTGAATATCTACGAAGACATTCCATATTTTTAACTGGTACTGCATTTAATAGAAAATCTTGTCAAAAGCGGTAAGCAACACCACAATTTGCGCTGCCATATTAAACAATCAAAACGTGCGAACAGCACGATCAAATGTCAGTCTGCTTATTTTACGTTTTTATGTGCCATGAAATCAAAGGATTCGAAGAAAATAAAAATTTTTGCTATCAAAATCCTCGAGAATTCATCGATGAACAGATGGCCTAAGCCACATTTGAATGCACAGTTGCCCTATTCAATGTCTGCTTACCCGCCGAATTCCTATTTTGCACCGGTACTATAAAAGGAATCGATGGCGCAGGCCCCCATATGTCCAAACCATTCCAAATCTTTCTTTTCATCATCAAAGAAATGCTTAGTCCTCCCCTAAAACCATGTCTTGTTATATTCTCCATCATCGCGATTATTTTTCTAACTGAGCTGCTTCAGTACAAAATACGTACTGAAAATCTGAGGAGCCTGTCAAGCTGCCGGGACTACCAAACCTTGCGTTCTTTCTTGTTCTTCACAACCATATGCGGCATCATTTATCCTACAAAATTTTTGGTATACCAAATCATTTACAGTGATTACATGGAACGATTGTCGTGCAGAGCATTTTATACCGTGCTGTCGCGCAAATGGGAGATGACAGTGCTGGAGGAAGGTCTGAACAACCGCTTCAGAAACATGGGCTCGTTTGAGAACGTGACCGATAACGGCATATTCCAGTCCTTCGTGCACCGCGGTGTCAAAGGAATGACAAATCTGATAAAACAGCTGGTACTGTCTCTGCTCGCGCGTGTATTCTCGTATCTATTCATAATGAAGGAGACAAGTGATCAGTTGGGCACCACGATCCTTCTGGCCATCATCTTCATGGTCTCGGTCACACTGATGACAAACATCGTAATCATCTACGTCCTGATTTACTACCGCAGGCGGTACAACATCCTACGGGCACAGTTGGACAATCATGTCTCGGAGTGTCTCAGCAACCACCTGCTCGTCACGTACTGCCACAAGGAAATGGATGAGTTCCAGCGCTACAAAATGCGAGTTAGGAACTACAAGAACGCGGTTATAGTCTTGGAAGGTGTCGAGCACGTCTTAGAGATCCTTCTATACCTGATCACCAATCTGACCAAATACTTCGTGTACTACATCATTTACAGGAATAACAAGGCGTATCCCACGCATTTGGTGATGTTCGTGATGCAGAAGATCGATGTGATCGAGAGGAACACGAAGTGGGCAGGCTCATTTTACGAGAAACTGCGCACGGCCGTACTAGATGCCGAGTTTGCGTACGACTTTGTGAGCAGCACAAAGGGACCGGTGAGAAACGAGGACAACCTCCTGCACCACGCCGTTGCATTGGAAGGAGCGGACCGCTCGTATGACACGGGCTCAACTCAATGCTTTAGTGACAGCCACAGCGATGAAAAGAGGTGGATCAGCGATGAAAGCGGTGATGAGAAGCGAGATGCCGATACAAAATGGTATTTGGAGGCGACCGCTGCATCACAGCCGAACGCAGAACCAAATGAAGTTTACCACGATGAGAATGCCATGAACACCGTCCAGCAAGCCAAGGCCCAAGGCCCCGTAATAATACAGTTCAGAGATTTTACCATCATTTTGAACCAAAGACTGCTCTTCAAACCGCTTAACCTTTCGATACGAAAAAACGATAAAGTGCTCATAAAAGGGCCAAACGGCATCGGTAAAAGTTCCATACTCAGGTCGCTGTTTGGCATGGTTGAGTACATAGGCGATATCATCATAAATGACGTGCCGTTGCAAAACCTTAAAAAGTCTAAACTATGTTCCATGATGGCGATTTGTCCGCAGTCTCCACTGGTCTTCAAGAACACGGTCAGGTTCAATCTTGGCTACGGCAATGTCTCAACGGATGAAGAGATGATTAGGATGTGCAAGCGGACGAATCTCTTCGATAAGATCAGTGAAATGGAGGACGGCCTTGACAGCCTCATTCTGAGCGCAGGCGAGAACTTCAGTGGCGGTGAGAAGAAACGGCTGTGTGTTACGAGAACGGCCCTCAAGAAATGCGCGATTTACTGGTTTGATGAGCCTACAGCAGGACTTGACACCGTAAACATGCACACGGTGGTCGATTTGCTGACGAAAATGAAGGGAACTGTGATTGTCATCATGCATGCAGACGAGTATGATCGATGTTTTGACCAGATAATCAATCTTGAAAGGTTATAGATGAGCGATCTGTCACAAGAAATTAAAATGTTCCTTTTATCTGCAACATGAAGACCTTCGTGCTACCATGCCTGTTGAAACATTCTCAACCACCTTAATATCCGTATAAGGCAGTTTCGTTCCTTTTCCACGCTGCTCGGGACCGTGCGGTAAAGGAAGAGGTGTTTAAGTCGCTGGCACAGTGCTGTTCGTGTGGCACATCTTGAAAAGTTCTGAGCACTGCCAGTTACGCCATTCATAGTGCAAGCTTGCCGCTCAGAGCTACACTACGAAATGAACGAAAGAAGCGCTGCCCAACTGCCACACACTGCCCTAGTGCCGATATAATGTGATCTCATCACAAAAATGATGAGTACGTGCACATGTGCTGCTCATATTCATTAATCTCTCCTTCTTCTATTCGTTCGGTACTATTAAAAGGGGTCGTTTTCTCATTGGTTCGATGAGGTGTTTTAATGGGAAATTGAACAGGGCAGAATGGCAGGAGATAGCAAGAAAGAAAAGGAAACTAAAAAAGGTGACAGCAAAGACAAGGCGACAGCCAAGGACAAAAAAGATGCAGCAGAAAAGAAAACGGATGAGCAAAAGAGTCGTGATGGGGACAAGGAAAACATAGAGCAGCAGGAGAATCGTGGTGAGGAGGACAATGAAGAACAGGTAAATGGTGATGAAGGCAACGAAGAAGGAAAAAGCGGTGATGAAAACAAGGAAAATGTTGAGGGAGCAGATGGGCAGAGAGAAGGTAGCAAGAAAGAAGATGAGGCTGATAGCGGAGTAATGGTGGATCTAGAAAATCAAGAGGTGGTGGAGAACGCCAAAAAGGAAATTATACAGGAATTTATTGCACCTATGGAGAAGGAGGAGAGCAACGTTGAGTCAGAAATCAACCAACAGATCCCTGACCAGCCCATTCGCAAATTTAAGAAGAAGCGCATGATGCGCAAAAGAACGTTCTCGATCGCAAATCTGGACGAATACCTGCACTACAAGTACCGTAAAGTGGACCGAAACTTACGGTTGCTGGTGGAGGTGCTCGTCGTATGCTTCCTGTTCATGCTATTTCCCACAATTTTGATAATCTGGCGCAGGCCCCGGGACTACAACATTTTCAAGACTCTGAATCAGGAGGGCAAGACGAATGCAGTCCTAGAGTTCTTCAGACAGAATCTGTTCCTTTCGCTCACGTACGTCATCTTCACGGCATCAACGGTGCTTATGGACTATTCGCTGCAGATGATTGCATCGGTGCTCTCCTCGTTTGACGTGAAGGTTGAGGGATACGTTGCCGATTTCCTCGAGGTGCTCAAGCTCTACTCGCACTATCTGCGCAACTTCCTCGCGTTCTCGCTCGTATTTCTGCTATCGAACGTGCTCATCATGCGCTACCGCTTCGGAAGAAAATCCTTCACAACCACGTACCTGAGTGTCACGTTCATCTTCTGGTTTTCGTGCCTCTCTGCCGTTCTGTTCTTCGAGAAGCTGCTCGTGAACATCCTCACGTCAGAGATGAAGAAGAGCTCGTTCAGGAACCGCATTTGGGATGCAAACTACAAGACGTACGTGTTTAAGAAGCTGGCCGCGATTGCTGAGGCGGTACCGCGCGGTCAGTACGAGATGCAGCTCGCCATGCACAGTGTGCAGAACGACTACGACACGGGGTACTTCCTGCGCCATAACGATCTGGACATCACGACCGAGGACAAGGCTGAGGGCGTTGCCGAGAGCATCTTCGCTTATCTCGACATTGACACGCTCGATTACGATCAGATCACCACGTACTTCCAGAACAGACCCGAAGAGGTGATTCAGTACCTCGGGAACACAAACAAACCGCCTGAGGAGATTTCGATCGACTTCGAAAAGCTCAGGCAGCGTGCGGTTGAGCTGTGCCGCGAGCGCAACGATATAAAGCGTTCGCTGTTCGATCGCGACAGCATCATCCGCAAGCTTGATCTGATACTGCTCGGCGGTGTGCTGTTCGCATCTGCGCTCGGTTTTCTGTTCCTGATCAACGTGGACTACAAGTTCTATCTCACGAGCGTAGGTCCCTTTCTGTTCGCGTTCAGCTGGATCTTCCAGGACAGCATCAAAGACCTGTACAAATGCTTTGTGTTTCACCTGATCTCTCATCCGTACGATGTGGGTGACCGCGTGATTATCGATGACCAGGAAAACATCGTGGTGCGCATCGATCTGCTGTACACCACCTTTACGAACAATAACAACCGCCTCGCGTACATTCCCAACACGTCCCTGTTCGCCAAGAAGATTGACAATGTGCGGCGTAGCCGCAACCAGTACGAGCAGCTTACCGTGTTTGTGGACCAAAATGTGCGGTACAAAACGCTTGATGATCTCAAGCACAAGCTTGAAGACCTGTGCAAGGAGAAGGAGACGGTGTTTACCGGCCATGCGTACATCAGGGAGGTGAGCAAGGCTGAAGACAAGCTGCAGGTAACTCTTGCGCTTGAGCACAATTCCAATTTCCAGGATATAAATGAGAAGTACAAGAGGAGGAAGGAGAGCATCGACGTTGTTGAACAGGCCTTGAGCGAAACGGGCATCCGATACGACGAGTACTACCAGTTTGCGGAGTAGAGAGATTTAAATAAATTTGATTGTGATACACGGAGAGCGGTGGCATGGAGTGAAATGGGCGTGCCGCGGATCATCGTATCCTGTTTACGATACTGCTGTACGGCATGCCCCGATAAAACGGTCCATTGCAGATGAAATAGCTGTGTTCTTATCACAGTGAAGTTCAATAATTGCCATCACGGGTAGAAAGAGCGAGCGCTCGCACTATGACGTACTCTTCGCTCGTAAAATGCACAAATTTATTCGAAATACTTCCATCACCGTACGTGTATCCAAGCGCTCATCCCACACACCAAAAGACAAACCCTTCTTCCTCGGTCCTTGCCATCCCAACGAATCATCGCTGCTACTGCGCATGCACCAAAAGGTACGTCCCAATTTGCTGCCCCTCAAATACCTGCCCAAATTCGCTGCCCTTCCATGTCGGCATTCTTCAACTTCACCTCGCTCATCCGACTCACAGTTCTTTCAATATGCACGATAACATACATCAAGAGACACTTTCCATCGCTTATTGGACGGTCTAACAAGGGAATGAGCAGCATATTCTACAAGGCCACGGTGATTGGCGAAAGGCTGTCGCCGTATGTTGCACTTATGTGCCTTTTTTTCGCTGTTGAGATGTTTTTGTCGTTTTTTTATTGAGCACGGGTTCGATTGATGTGGAGGTGGCGTAGAAATAAAAGTGCGTGTGATTTAGCGGGCAGTACGTTGCATGGCAGGTGCTTAGTTTTTGTTGTTTTTATGACGTGTTCTTCGTTGTGTGCACCTTACAGCACTCGCTTCGGTTTGTTCAAAGGAATGGGTACGTAATTTCTTCAGCACCACCTGAAGAATGGCCCACAGCTCATGGCAATGCTTTTTTATTCAATCAAGATCTCAGGATTGCACCACTCCTCAAAATACTTACCAGGTGCAATCGCGTGGTGCATGGTAGTAAACATAGCATAACGCAATCTTCCGTATTGTACAGTGCCCTCCTACAGAATATCCCGTTCCTTCTCACTATCCGTGATAAAATCGTACGTCCCCCTTCATCACACTCAACCGCCATGTCATTCGCTAAAAGTACCGGAAAGGGCGTTCTCCTCAACCTAGTGATACGTCCGGGCAGCAACTGCACAGGACTGACACGAATACAAGACGGTCAGTTGCACGTTGATGTAAACGCTGTTCCTGAAAAGAACAAGGCTAACAAGGAGGTAATACGTTTTATAAGCACCCTGTTAAAGGTAGACAAGAGTAGCGTAAGCATTGTGAGCGGGTTGAAGAGCAGGAACAAGATTGTGATGGTGAGGGATGAGACGGACGGGGAGCGTATTGAAAAGGTGGTATTACAGGATTTGGATGGTAGGTAAAGGAATTATACGTTTTGATAGTGAAATGTTACTGTTTAGGTGATGATATGCTTAGTACTACCGGTTTGCAGTATTTACTTGTGTTATGGTTGTGTTCGATCTATTGCACGGCCCAGCACACAACAAGTTTAATTTAAAAACATTTTTTTCTGTCCTGTTCTGCTGCTTAGGTGCAAGTCAAACAAACGTATTTAAAACGGAGACGTGTTCTGTTTTACTTATCTGCCTCAACGAACAGCGGTACAAAGATTTTGCAAAGGGCAAGAAAAGGACGTTCTGCACGATACGCCCGTATGACTTTGCTTACGAATTGGTGTGGTGTAACGGTACAGTTCATTTATATTTTGCGCCCGTCGGTAGGTGCTAGTGAGCAGGTAAATTTAATTGATGGCAAGCTGTACCGATCTTTTCATATTTACCACTATGAGAATGGTTTGTGCGCATTACCGGTCACTATGTGATGGCTATCAAATGCACAGTGGTGCAGCACCGTACCATTCCGTATTATCGCAGTTCATTAGCCTGTATAATATGACAAGGCAGCCTTCATGGCGCAATCGGTTAGCGCGTTCGGCTGTTAACCGGAAGGTTACCGGTTCGAGTCCGGTTGAAGGCGCATTTTTGCTCTTTTGTGACAAGGGTTCATTACACGCACCAGTGCATTATAGAACATCACGCGAACAATTGCTGTTTAAACATCGTTTTTCACTTTCCTCACCATAAACGATCATAAACCTTTGCACAATGTTAGAACGACTGTTCCGCAACAAAAACAGCCTGTTCAACATGATTGCACAGTTTATCGTACCAATCCGTACTTTCCTGCTTGATCAACGAGAGACTGCTGTGAACCATCCGTACTACCAATCATTTCTTCAGCACATACTATAGGTTGTTCCTTTCCACAGCATACTGCCTTGAACAGAATGCGTTACTCCTTGCTTATAAATCACGGACCATAAATGCTATTGTAGAGGGCGTGCTCGTTTTAAATGACCAAAATGCCATTTTAGCATACGCGCTTGCACAAAAACACCTCTTTATGGTTAACCGTACCATAATTTTTACTTTCTACCCGTGCTATACAACAAACCGTTCATTTCCCCATTAACACTCCCTCATCCCTCCCACACTCCACGAATAAAAACGCGGTTCATCCCCAGGCCCTAATGACAAACCAGCCAAGAGAAGAGGTAGAGTACACCAAAATATACCCCGATCTGAACGTACACACCAACCTGCACATAACCAACGAACTATCCCTAACCGGTCCACCACCACCCACAAAATGTGCCACACCCGTGTTCGCCACAGAATACACGCACCACAGCGTTAATTTCACCAACATCGACTACAACGCCGATTCATACGACCTTGCATTCCTCGCCGAGTACGGCATAAAAATGCCCGTCTCACTGTTCGAGCTGATAATCGATCGCTTGGAAAAGGAGTGGTACTTTTTCAAGCACACACTCGTAAAGAACACGTTTATACCGTTTGAATCGAGTGCGGGTGTATGCAACGTATGCTCATATTCGAGCGTGCGCACGGGCAACAATCTGGTGTACTGCGACGGATGCAACCTGTGTGTGCACCAGGAGTGCTATGGTGTGCCCATCATACCGCACGGCTCGTGGTTCTGCAAGCCTTGTCTTTATCAGCTTGGGCCGTTGTACTGCCGGTTCTGTGTTAAGACGGGCGGAGCGTACAAAATGACGAGCACGATGAAATGGGGCCATGTGGTATGCGTGATGTGGAACAAGGACCTGTATTTTGGTAACGAAGTGTTTATGGAGCCTATTGAGGACCCGAACAGAACGAATGCGCACAGGCTTAAGCACAGCTGTTCTATCTGCGCAAGTACTAAGGGTGTGCACATACGCTGTGCGTACACGGAGTGTGAGACACGGTACCACGTAACGTGTGCGATAGAGAACGACTTGTACATGGACCAGAATAACATGCTCACGTACTGCATCGTGCACGATCCTAGGCGTGATATACGGTACGATGACGACTTTGAGTACTATCCCGTGATCGGGAAGGTGCCACGTATAAGAAGGCCTGTCAAGTTGGCACAGCCACAGAAGAGCCTTCTGCTGCAAGTCAAGAATATGAGGCCGTTCGCGTGCACGTATCTCATGGACAGGCTATATTGCAATGATCTGTGCAATTTTTTGGTTGAAAAGGACGTTCTCGCGTGCGTGATGAAGTACTGGTGCAAGAAGACACGGGTTTTAAATTTAGGGCCTTTGATCCCGTACCTGTGCTTTGATGTGAACGGTGGGATAGGATGGGACTGGTATGAAAAAAGGGGCCTGTTCTGTTACGGACAAGGAGCAGATCACGGTACTACTGGGAGTGATGGGATCAAAAACGATGATTGTGAGGATGGGGTTGGAAACGGAGATGCCACTAGCAGCTCCAAAAATAGTAAAGGCACGGTAACCGCTGATTGTGAAAACCTGAATATGAAAATTGTTCATAGTGAGGAACGTAGCAGCAGGGAAACAAACACAATTGATCCTTTCAAACACGTAAGTGCCTGCAACGTGTACAGTCCATCAGCACACGAACAGAAAAAGAGAAAACTATCGGTTGCCCATGAATCGAGTACTTCGGGTGATCCGCACCAAGAAACAAAGAAACGCGTAAAAGGTGACGAACAATTAAATACGGCAGTGGCGTTGAACAATCCGACCACATCAGTGTTCAAAAAGGGAGATGATACCACTCTCAGCCCGTGTTACAGCGGCGAACAGCGCGCAGAATACCAGAAATGGCTTGAGAGCGTGAAGGAAGGGTGCATGCACAGAAAGATGAGCAAACCAAGCAGAGATGACGTGCTGTACATGTACGCACCGTTGTACGATCTGAAACGGGTCATAAAGGCGTTGATAGAGCACAGCGAGGTACGGCTGGAATTGATCAGGACCAACAGAGAAATATACGAGATAATGTACGATAGAAAGCGATACGTTCTAAAGAACGTGATGGGTGTGCTTGACAGGGAGGAGTACGTGCTCTTTAAAGACCCTGTAACGGAGGACATAGCACCAAATTACTTCAGCGTGATCAGCGAGCCCATGGACTTTGAGGGGGTGTACCGTAAGATTGGTCAGTACGACAGCGTGCACCGTTTTTTTGATGATCTGAGATTGATCGGCACGAATTGCGCCACCTACAACGAACACGTGCCGTACTTCGTAACACTGGCCAACAAATTCTTGAGAGAGGTCGAGCAGCTGGAGCAGCACGCACTTCAGATGCTTGATGAGAACGTTGAGTGTGAGAACGGCAGTGCCACCAATGGTCTGCTGTAGTCGCACATATTAAATTAAAGAACAGTGCAATGCCATCATTTCTGGTCATTGGTAGACCGTGTAGCACGTCCTTCTTCATTTAAAAGCCCGTTAACTAAGCCTTCCATCTATTTCGGCACGTCAATCGGTCAATTCATACAAATCATGCTATCACTACATTTAGCGGTTCTCAACAGCACATCCAAGCGATAAATCGTGTTTTCTTGCCGTTGCGGTGCATGGTGCATGCCCGCTGACCGTAGCACAGCCTAATTGTCCCTTAATCCAAAACAAGCGTAGCACAGTAAAACTATGCACTCCACAATTCAAATAATGTTTCGTAGGTACGGTGTTTCAACCGTAGGTGCCTGTGACAGTATAAGCGATGTAAATGGTGGTACGGTACTATGCCATGATGTAGAGCATTTCATCATGAAGGCACATACTACGCCATCCTAAAAGATACTGCTTTGTTCGTATGCTGTTCTCAGAAAAGAGAACAATTTATGCATTAATACGTATTTATATAAATAATAATAAAATGCATTAATACGGATAGTGATGCATAAATACGCCCTGCACAATAATTCAGCAGAACTCTATTCTCCTACCCATCACCGTGCACTACTACAATCTCTAACATAATCACTCGCTCTGTTTTATCCCTGCTGTCAAATCACAATGCTTTGTTATTATTGTTTCATATTTCTTTATAAACAGTAATTGTTTGTAATGGCATGTCTAACACGTACAATTTCCTGAAGATAGACGTAAGTACGTTCAGTGCTATTGCAGAGAGTGATGATATAACGCATGGAGGAGCATTCAAAAATATTGAAGATATTGGTAGAGCATTGCATAGAGACATACGGAATGGAGGACTTTTGGAAATAGAATGGAGTGATAAGAAAGATATGAAGAACGGGAAGGAGGAGAGAAAAAAAGATATGAAGGACGGGAAGGAGGAGAGAAAAAAAGATATGAAGGACGGGAAGGAGGAGAAGAAAAAAAGATATGAAGGACGGGAAGGAGGAGAGAAAAAAGATATGAAGGACGGGAAGGAGGAGAGAAAAAAAGATATGAAGGACGGGAAGGATGTAAAACAACAAACTAATAAACAGGTAACGGAGAGCACTGCTCAAGCAAATGCAAAGCAAATCTATGCTGATGAGAGTAGAAGAATCTACGGCATGAACGAAATAATGGTAGGAGACCCTCAATCATTCACAAGCATACTACGCAAAAATACACATGATAGAATGCTCATGCTGCTGTTCATCGCTGCAATCATATCTCTAACCGTTGGCATTTACAACACGTTGTACGAGAATGAACGGTACAGCTACATCGAGGGTCTCTCAATTCTACTAGCTGTAGTTATCATCGTGGTTGTGAGCTCGGTTACGGAGTACACACAGGAACGGCTGTTCAAGAGCTTGGAAAATAAAAAATCGGATCTTATGGTAAAGTACGTTGAGAATGACGTGTTCATGACAAAGAAAATATCGGAGATATTGGTCGGTGACATGCTGTACGTTGAACCGGGCGATATACTGCCTGCTGATGCGGTGCTTGTCTCTTGCGACACGGTGTTTGTTGATGAATCGATGCTTACGGGCGAATCACATGCTGTGGAGAAGAACTTGCACGCGCCGGTGCTCCGTGCCGGCAGCTACATGTTAGAGGGGGCTGCGCGCTGCCTGGTAATAGCAGTTGGTTACAACTCAACGAAGGGCAGGCTGCTGCGCAGCATGGTGCGGCCGGTCAGGAAGACTGCGCTGGAGAAAAAGAGCGAGAACCTGGCCAATAAGCTTGCCACAAGGGCACTCATCGTGTGCATGCTCTTCTTCTGCTTGCATATCGTAAAGATATACGTGTTTGAGGGACCGTACACGGTCACGTATTTCGTAAAAAAGGCTATCGAGACCATCGCACTGGCAGTGATGATAATACCTGAAGGATTGCCTATGGCAACCACCATGGCACTCTCTTTCGGTACCAAGCGTATGCTCAAGGACAACAACCTTGTCAGAGACATCTCGGCATGCGAAAAGATGAACAATGTGCGGTATCTTTGCACCGATAAGACGGGCACACTCACGTACAATAGGCTTAAGCTCAGAAATGCGTACGTAAAACGGAAGAGCCTGGTCGACTCAGCACTCGTAAAAAGCATCTTTGATGTGAAAGATGCTGATAATTACCAATACATCGTAAAGAACGTTGTTTTTAACTCATCTGCATTTATGAACCAGGACGGTGTGTACGTAGGCTCACGGCTTGAGAGCACGCTGCTCACGCTTCTGGAGAAAATCGGTGTGGACGTTCTTTCCATGAGGAAGAAGGGCCGGGTGCTGAGAAGGCTTTGTTTTAGCTCTGAGCGGAAGTACATGGCAACGATTATTGAGGATGAATGCGATGAGCACGGTGCTGTGACGGGGAACAGGACCGGTGGGGATGAGTGCGATGTTGTAAGCCATGAAAATCGTAACACTAACTGCGCTGGTGATCGTGATGTGTGCTCTAGTGCAGATCCCAGCAACAGCACCGTTACTCATCCTGGTACTGCTGTGCATCCCGATGCTCACAATAATGTCATCGCTTATCGAAGAGTAATAAGCACAAATCGGAACAACGAACGGCGAAATGAACGAAAATACGTTGTGCTGCTCAAAGGAGCTACCGAGCAGATCGTAAAACACTGCCAATACGAGGTGATAAACGGTACAAAAACACAAATAGACCGCTCTAAAATAGCAAAGTACCTGAAGAAACAGGAGAAGCTGTGCAAAAGAACAATTGCTATGGCGTACACACATGTACCGGGGTACGACAGCACGTTCCTAGAGATCGAGCAGCTGCCTGATTTGGTGTTTCTTGGCTGTTTCTCCTTTGAGGATCCGCTGCGTGAGAGCATCGATAGCAAAATCGATCTGATGAAGGACGCGGGCCTTAACATCGTAATGCTCACCGGTGACAGTCTTGAGTGTGCACTGTACATTGCAGAGGAGATCGGCATACTGGACGGGAAGCACGAGGCTATCACGGGCAAGTGCTTTAAAGGGATGTGCGATGGTGAGTTGATGAACAGAATTGAGAACATACGGGTGATTGCCCGTGCTACACCGGCAGATAAACAGCGTTTCGTGGAAATTCTGCAGAAGAAGGGCGAAAGCGTGGCAGTCACCGGAGACGGTGCGAATGACGGTCCTGCGCTCAAACTTGCAGATGTAGGCTTTTCGATGGGAATGACCTGCACAGACATCGCCAAGGAGGCATCTTCCATTATAATCCTAGACGAGAGCTTTGAGGCGATCATACGGGCAATTGCCTGGGGACGGTGCATCAACGACTCAATACGGAAGTTTTTGCAGCTGCAGCTCACGGTCACGGTGTGCACGGTTGTGTTAATGGTGGTGTCCTCGCTATTTACCTTCGAGAACGGAGCACTGTTCACACCGCTGCAGCTGCTCTGGATCAACCTGTACATGGACGCATTCTCGGCAATTTCTCTGTCAACCGATAAGCCAACACTCATGCACCTGAAGAGAAAGCCTGAGCATCCTGACAATCCGCTCATAACCAGCCACATGAAAAACTTTGTGTTCTTCTCCACGTTCTACATTCTCATGGTCACCCTGTTCATGTACTACGCCAATTTTACGTATTCGCTCATTTTCAACACGTTCTTTTTGATGGTCGTTGCCACGCAGATCAACGCACGCTCCCTTTCGTCACGGATCAGTCCGTTCCTGAACATCACACACAACCACTACTTCATCGGTGTAAACGTGGCTGTTCTAGTGTGCCAACTCTTTGTGATGCAGAAGTTTAACTTGGTATTTCATACGGAGGCGCTTACGATCAACGAGTGGGTCATTGCGGTCGTGCTGGCCGCGCTACTGCTGATGTACATGGCGGTGATCAGACGGCTTGAGAATTACTGGGAGGAACAGAGAATTGCACGCTGGAACAGCAGCTTGGCACACAGCCGTACGTCCGCAGCACAGGGCTGAGAGCATCACGCGATGCATTATAACTAAATTTGCACGCTGCCACGGTTGCCAACACGTGGTAACGAAGTGCCTCACCTATGCGCATGCATTGATCACAGATTGGAGAAATAAACGCACTTTGTTCGTACCATTCGTTGGGGAGCTGACCGGTGAGGTAAGGGGGTTTTACGAAAACAACTCGTAGCCGTGTCATGAATGCTTTACCTTGCGGGTTGGTACCGTGTGTAGGGGATGCCCTGTCAACCGCTGCCACTCACCTCACACCAAACAAAATTCTTCTACAAAGCAATTACACGTACACATCGTAATGCCCGTCACATTCTGATGGTAAAACAAAGACGTGTTCATACAAACAAAAAAATGCGTACTTTAACATTTTATACCATTAATTCCTCTGAGTGCTGTTCCTGTAAAATGATCATTTACTCGTACCTAACCTGTGGTACGAATTTATTGCCTTTAATACGTGCTAATAATGGCAGTGCAGCTTACGTTACGGTAGCTCTCACAGCACCGTAGCAATTCGGTAGAAAATACGTTTTGTTATTGTTGTTTAGGTAGACTGCTTTGGTGGATGTTGGTATGGAGAGAGTTAGCGGTTGTGGCGGGAAAAGAGAATTTGGCGGTTGTGGTGCTGCTCTCAGTCACGTACGTGTTAAAGGCTGTCAAAAAAATATTTGTGGTAAAGAAGTGTAGAAAAATTATTTGTACACAAGACCATGCCCAGATAAGATCGATGATCCGTAAAGGTTGCAAAACAAGGTAAATATTGAACACGAGGACCGTATGTACGTAAATAAAAAGTTTTTGGTAACAATCACTGAGATTCCTTTACGTTTCGATTGCACCGGTCCACAAAAACATTTTACCCGTCCCTAACAGGAACTTTTGTGTCTGCCTTCGCTTTCGTTTCCTTGGTTTGCATTTTTATTTTTGGATAAACCGCTGCCTTAGAAAACCGAGAATAACATGAAGAGAAGTTTGACGCTCTACAATTTTAAGAGAAAGAAGGTGGAAAGGAGTACAACACCGGATACAAACGATAAAACACTCAAATGCATGGTAAATAACACTTCAGATGAGAACGTGCACGCAAGCTGTAAATTGTGTAATTTACATCTGTTTATTTCGAGTAAATGGCTGCCTTATCTCAAGGAAGAGTGCCATAAGGAGTATTTCAAGAAGATTGTGATGATGCTTCACAATGAGGACATCTTCTATCCACCGGTACACAAAATATTCTACTTTTCACATTTCTTCCCCATTGCCAACACCAGAGTCGTTATAATAGGACAGGATCCCTACCACAACAGGGGAAGGGCTACCGGGCTGGCCTTTAGCGTTCCACCAAATGTTCCAAGGCCACCATCGCTGCGGAATATCATGGCAGAGGTAAAGAGAAATTATGGAAATGCAACGTGTGACTTGGAGAGTTGGGCAAAGCAGGGTGTGCTTCTTCTGAATGACACATTGACGGTGAGCGAAGCTAAACCAGGCTCACATTCTACGTATGGATGGAGCATTTTTACGGATAAAATTTTGAAATTGGTGAATGACGAGTGTAAGCACGTGGTTTTTATGTTATGGGGGTCTTTTGCTGGCAAGAAATGCGCATTGATAGATGGAAAGAAGCATTTGGTGCTCATGTCTACGCATCCCAGCCCGTTTAGTGCTGATAGAGGGTTTAACGGATGCAACCATTTTTTGAAGGCCAATGAGTACTTGAAAAAAAACGGGGAAGTGGAAATTAATTGGTAGTAAAAAAATGAAGTACGTTAATTTTTAAGGTTGGTCTAACTAGGAAAATATTTTACGTAACGTGTATTAATTGGCAGGTACTATGCGTACAGAAGGTAATGAATGTATTTAACATGGATCTTTTCTTCTATGTGCTAGGGAATCGGTAATAATACCATTTTTGGCAGCTACACTATTTTTATAGCAGATGTACTTTTGGTGAACAAAACGCGACTTTTACCTGTTAATAAAATTTAACTCGGTGCAGAGATGCGATGTAAAATTATAAAACACACGTTTTATAATTGGACCGGTTTGATCGTGTCATTCATTCATCTATGAGGACCTTGTGGTAAGACAGCATTTTAGTGGTACGTGCTCCCAGTGGTAAACCATAGCACTTCGTTTTGTTGAGGAGCCTTTGCATAAAAATCATTGTAAACGATCAATTTACTCTTCCGCATTGCTTTTACGCTGTTTTATCGGTAAAAACCGCTTCTTCCTGGCTTTAAAATCATAGCTCAATATTTTATACCCCTCAATGCCATCCAAGAGCTTTTACAGTCTACGATCCATTGCGAACATTGACAGCAACGTATTCTCGCAGCTTCTAGAAATTGACACGTACAAAATTTTGATCAACATAGGATCAGACCCGTTCCTGAAGGTAGACTACCTGGCAGAGCTGGAAAGGATTATCGATGACATTGATTGCATACTGATATGCCATGCCGAACTGAAGTACATCGGTGGATTGCCGTCTCTGGGCGAGCGGTTCAAGGGCAAACTCTACTGTTCCGTTCCGGTGCACACATTGGGCAGGCTCATGGTTTCTGAGGTAAATAGAAATATGGAGGTGTTCGGTGCGAAGAGGTACGAGGAGGACGATATTGAAGAGTGGTTTGCAAGGATAAGCGTTGTAAAGTACTCGCAGCCGATCGAATTGGGCGCGCTGCGGTTGACTGCACACAACTCGGGACACTCTCTTGGTGGGTGCCTGTGGCAAATTTCCAAGGACAATGAGAACGTGGTGGTAGCGTTTGACATCAACCATCGCAAGGAGAACCATGTGGACGGGCTCGAGATCAACAATTTGAGAAAAAACTTCATTTTTTTGATGAATTGCGAGTTTGTTGGGGAAGTGCCCGTGCAGAGGAAGAGCAGAGACTCGGAATTTATGTCCTTTCTGGCACAGAACCACGGTAACAAGATCGTAATACTGTGTACATTCAGCAGGTATCTGGAAATCTGCAGCATTCTGGACGAATTCTTGGAACGGAAGAACAAGCGGTGTACGTTCCTGTCATTCAACAGCAATACGCTGTATGAGAGCTTCAAAATTATGCTTGAATGGGCGGGTGACATCGCACTCAAGAAGTTCACCAATACAAAGGTCAACCCGTTTGCATTCAAGAATATCAGATTCAAGGATTTGTACAGCGAGGTAGACAAGAAGACAGATATATTTGTGATTCTCGATGAAAACCTGTGCTCTCCATTCACCAACAGAATTGTATATGATCTGAATGATGAGCGAAACGTGCTGGTGGTCTTTAATGACGAGCACGAGCGCACGATTACAAGACTGGATTACATGGACGTGCCAGAGTTTAAAGTGGAGAAGGAGAGTGACAAACAAGTTGATAAGAGTCAGCGTGCACAGCATAAAAGAAACGAGCCCAATCCAGAAAGTGTTGAGAGAGAAAAGATGCACATAGTGGTACGCAGTGGCGGCCCTGAGGATGATTCACCTACCTTTCCTGTGAGAAACAAGCAGAGACCGTGTGACAGTTACGGCGAGTTTTTTGACAAGAAATTGTTTTTGATAAAGGCAGAGGAGAAGGACAAGGAGGTGATCGTTGAGAAGCCGTCCGTTAAGAGAGTGCAAGAGACGATTTCTATGAATAAGTTGCCCTTTTCCTGCCGCATCCGCACCAAGTACTTCAATTTTAACGGTTTGAGCGATGGAAACTCTGTAAAAACTATTTTGGAATCCCTAGAGATTGAAAAGCTGATCCTGCTGGGGAAGAACAAAATGTTTGTCGACTTTTTTTACTACCTGTGCCATTACAACCATAATTTTGGAGAGATTTGCGTTTTAACAGACCAGGTTCTTAATCTTAGCACGGATATAACGACCACGAAGGTAAATCTTGAGGATAATTTCTTGCAAAAAGCCAATTTCCGCGAGATAAACGGCAAGCAAATGGCATCGTTCAAAGGCTGTATCAAAGATAATGTTCTTTACTACAAGGAACCGCTAAAAAGCAGCTTGTGCCTGGGCAGTGTCAAAATGACCGAACTGAAGAAGCAGCTTCTCGATAATAACCTGCGGATAAAGAAGGCCAACGAAAAGACACTGGTTGTAGAGGACCAGGTCAAGATTGTGTTCAACGATGGATCAGTTAGGATGGTTGGTGAAATGAACGGGGTGTATTTGTACGTTAGAAGGATCATCTACAACAATTTATACTTTATAAATTAGCAATGCGTGTAATTAATTATATTTTGCTGATTGGTTATGCAGTGTGATGAGCCGAGCACTTAAATATTTGTAACGCATGTTTTTTCTCTGCCCAGTGAATTATTGGGCCCTTAAAGGAGAGCGTTTTGCTGGAATAATTGCGCACTACAACCGTAAATAAAATATTTTCCTTGAGCAATGATTTGGTTTATTGTCGGTATAAAGAATCCTGTTTTGATAGTTGATTGCTGCATTCAATGAATAGATGTATCTTACGGAACGTCAGAAATAAATCTAAATACATAGATCGCTGTGAGTAGTTCGCTTCATTTATAACGGGTTCTTCACAGATATTACCATCTATTTCATCATTGCAGCTTTACATCATTTACCCTATTTTACAGTTCCATGTAACAGTTTTCGCGTCTTTTGCCACTTTTAAACATGAGCATTGCTTGAAACTGCCAGAATATACGACAAAATAGCATGTAGAAAAGAAGCATTTGACAAACATTGGTATTATGGCTATTGCTTCCTGTTATGAAGAGAGTATGGATGTAATTAAAACATAAGATCTGATCTAATAAATACCTTGCAAGAAATGGCTTACTACCCGTGTTATTACGCAGTTTCAATTTAGATTCATTCATTATCACCTAATACTTGAAGATAAAGCATAAAAACCGTTTGTGATACTAAGTGGCACCTTCTTTCTAAATTAATTAACAGAGCAACTAAATTTGTATCATGGTGCAGGGTACAACAGGAATTATGAGTAAATTTATTATTACCAAATTTTGCTCTCATAGTTCTAGAGAAGATGAATAGACGTTCTTTTAACAAAAAAAGCCTTAGTTCCGTGTTATTAACCAGCCCTTTTCATATTTGTAACCAAAATGTTTAAACTTTTTCTATTTTTACAAATATTATGGTCACCTATCCTCTCACACCATAACTTTTTTTTACAAATAGTGCTTATCTTCTCTTCTAGCGATGACATAAACACAAAGAATACGTTCACTAAAGTCGTTTATCAATCTCATTCAATCGAAAATTCGTTTATTATTTGATGTGATTGATAGAACTGCCTCATAAATGATCGGATTAATTTTGCATTTTCTACCACATTAATGAAATTGACGGTCGCGTCACCATAGCACCATCCCTCGAATATAGGTGATTTTACGGCAGAACACCTTGCAACAGAACAATGTGTTATCTGTTACTCACCATTCTACACGCGGAACAGCACAAATTCATTTATTTACATGTCCTCGTCTATTTGTACAATTCTTTAAATTTCTCTTCAACCTCCATGTCCATTTTGGAAAGCATCGTCTGCAGTTCCTCCTTAAATTGGCAGAACTTATCAAAATTCTCAACGATTTCGTTTTTTATTTCGTTCTCCAAACTTTTTTTTTGTTTCTCTGTTTCTAACAATTTATCATCTGCCATGGGGGAGGAGAGCACGTTAATTAAAAGGAGTTTGCTCGTTGAAATACGGCACTCTACATGATTATAAACACATTTACGGCCTGCAAGAGTGTAAATATGTAAGTGGACACGCCACATAGTATGCTATGCCTTGCAATGTTTGAGAAATGTTTCAACGTTCTCAATCAACCAATCAGTGTATTCATCCCGCGATACACGCTACATACGATGAGCTGAGAAATTGAACGCGTCTCTGTCAAAAATAATTTGGGCATATACGACGCTCTTTTTGATTTTTTTGACATTTACCTCTATTGTCATAGAAGAGTGCTGCTAACGTACACTAAGATAAAAATTGGTGTAAAACAGTCTATAAATCAACAATATACAACGAAACATCATGATGACACCTCATTATCCACCAATTATGTTGTTTCAGATATTCGCTGTAATGTTATTTGTGGTTGTTCGCACGTATTCTTGCGATAATTATGGCAACCAAAAAAGTAAACTTCTCTGCATCTACCAAAAATAGACACATCCTTATTAGGTACCGCTTTCCGTAGAGTGCATGTACAGCACAGTAAACATGCTGGTGCGCTATTTTCTGTGCCCAATCAGCACCTCATCATGTCATTTATTTCTTAAATTAAATTAACAAATTACGATTTGGGCATTTTTCCACGAACACCAAATCTGGAAGTTTTTAGTATTTAATACCGAATGTTCAAAATATCCTGTAATATGCGCAAATACGTGATTTTACGGTAAAAATAGAAAAATTTTACTATTTTTGGATTTGAACAATAAACAAGTCAGCAATGTGCTTGTAGGACATGAAACGGGCTGTTTATGCACCATACGATGCGTTCTGGTGTATATGATCACGCCTACAGCTTATTAGTGGATCAAAATGATGCATTATTTGATTATCTGTTAATTACACACGCTCAATATGCACTAACATGTCCTATTCCTCACGCAAATGATATGCATCTCCTATTCAGTGCCAAGTCTCCGTGCACGTCACCCACCATTGGCATTTCTTATCGGGCTTATCTCCACGTGCTCCTCTCTTTTGTATAAATAAAAATAAATGACGCACCCGTTATGAATGTCAGAGATACCGAGTTGAACAATTCTCATTTACCGAGCGAGGAAGAAATAGAAGAGACGGCAAAATCACGTTTTGGCGGCTTAGTTGGTATTTACAAGGTTGCACCCGCAGAGGACAGAAAGTTGCTGTGCATCAGCGGCATGTTCTTCCTTATAGTGTACATTTACTCTGTGTCCAAGGACTTGAAGGACGCGTTCGTGATTGGTCGGCAGGTTGCTGCCAGCATATCCGTGCTCAAGGTGTTTTGGGTGCCGCCCATTGCCACGTGCTTCTCGCTGCTGGTACAGAAAATGTCTGTGAGGATGAAAAACGAAACAATTTTGAAGGTGTTCCTGTACGGATACATCGTGTACTTCGTGCTCTACGCGGTTGCCCTCCCCTTCCGGGACTGGCTGGAGCCGAGTAAGTTTATCACTGTTGATCTTCTCAGCGATGACAAAATGAAGTACAAGGACTTCCTTGCATTTGCAGCATCAATCATGACGTTTACCTCGTACACGGCAACTCTGCATTTCGTAGCAAGCGAGGTGTGGGGCACAATCGTGCTGAGCCTGCTGTTCATGCAGTTATTTAACGAAATGTGCTCTGAGAAGCAGTTCAAACGATTTGTGCCGGTGGTGTACTTCATTTCGAATGCGGGCCTGCTCTTAAGCTCAGCCACATCGTTTAGCATGCACAAAATCACCAACATTCTGGAGTTTCATCACCGCTGCTATTTCTACATGGCAGTGTTCATCCTGCTCGGGTCTGGTACTGCCGGTTTGCTTTTCGTGCAGCGCTATCTAACGAACCGTGTTCTTCCCGTGCCGATCTGCAGGGACTCGGAGACAAAGCATAAGGTGCGCTCCAAAGCGACAGTAGGCTTTGTCGAGGGACTCAAGCTCGTCTTTAGCACAAGTGTAATCATAGCACTGTGCACGATGGTGCTTGGATACAACGTCATCATCATTATGAACGAGTCATCGTACAAGAGCTGTCAGAGCGAGCTGGCAAAGAGGGAGAAGAGGAGCACAGAGTCATCCGTACTTGCGAACAAATGTTTGGAAGAAGTCGTGACCGCTGTTCTTGTCATGTTGTTCTTCCTGCTTCCCACAAGAGAAGCCATCAAGTGGATCGGCTGGACAAAATACGCAATGATCACACCGATCGGTGCATGTGCCACATGTGTAACCGTTCTGGGCCTTGCCATGATCGCGACCGGTCTGTACGGCGAGAATATGTCGCCCATAAATGCATTCATGAGCAGGACGTTCTCAAACAAGGACGAGAACGCGCGCAAAATTATGCACTGGGAAGAGTACTGCGGTGTGCTGAGCACAGCAGGGATGAAGGTGCTCAAATACGTTGCGTTTGATATCTCCAAGGAGTATTTTGCGAAGCGAATCGATATCGCGTACCGTGCACGTTTCCGAGCTGTGTATGACGGCATATGTGCCAGGATGGGAAAGGCTGTCGGCTCAATACTTCAGCTGATATTCAACCAGATCTTCAACACGCTAGACATACGTACGTCTTCTTTCCCGTACCTTATCCTTGCGCTCGTGATTCTCAGCGTTTGGGTGCTCTCGGTGGTCTATCTTGGTAAGAAATACAATAAGAGTGTTGAAATGGACGATTGGGTGGATATGAAATTCAAGGAAAAGAGCAAATAAATCGTAATGAAAGCGTTTTAATCCTTTTTCGTGTCTTGGACACATCAAACTGATCACTCGTTTTTTGTTCCTCATGAGGGCTACACTGGCAGATAAATACGCTCTGGAAGAAATGGTTGTACGGTATTTCGGTCCCAGCACCATTTATACGTGTTTTTTGCTCTTTGGACGTGTTTGTGCTGTGTGGGCAGGCGCATCCCGCACGACACAGGATTTTAAATTATTACGGCCGTATTACCCCCATGATCCTGACCGAGAATCTTACAATAATGCCCCTAGGAGCGGGCAACGAAGTGGGCCGCTCGTGCATTCACATCACCTACAAATCGCTAAGCATTCTCCTGGACTGTGGAGTGCATCCTGCATACACGGGCACGTCCTCTCTTCCGTTCCTTGACCTCATCAATCTGTCGACAGTCGATGCCGTGTTCATCACACACTTTCATCTCGACCACGCAGGTGCGTTGCCGTATCTCACAGAAAAAACGAATTTCGCTGGCAAGGTATTCATGACACATCCTACCAAGGCGATTCTGAGGTGGCTGCTCAACGACTACATCCGAATTATCAACGCAAACACAGAAATTGATTTTTACAGCGAAAAGGACCTGAACAACTGCTACGACAAGATAATTGCAATCGATTATAATCAAACGGTTGTGGTCAAAGACTTTAAGGTCAGTGCGCTCAACGCCGGGCATGTGCTCGGTGCTGCAATGTTCATGATTGAGAACGACCGGGTCAAAATTTTGTACACGGGTGATTACTCAACGGAGGAGGACAGGCACTTAAAGGGTGCAGACACGGCATGGATCAGCAAGTACGGTAACATGGACGAGAAGGAGCACAGCAACGATGAGACTGTCCATCACTTGGATGTGTTGATCTGTGAGAGCACGTATGGAGTGCAGTGCCATCTGCCGCGTGAGGAACGTGAACGGCGGTTTACACAGGTCGTAAATGACATTGTCACAAGAGGTGGAAAATGTCTTCTTCCCGTATTTGCATTGGGACGTGCACAGGAGCTGCTGCTTATTCTGGAGGACTACTGGGATAGAAACCCTCACTTGCACAACATCCCGATTTACTACGCGAGTGCGCTTGCCAACCGTTGCCTGTCCATTTACCAGGCGTACACGCATATGATGAACCTAAAGATTAAAAAGGATGCGTTCAACTTCAAGCACATAAGGAACTTGAAGAGCGTGGACAATCACCTGATAAAAAACGCGTGCGTGGTGATGGCATCGCCAGGAATGCTGCAGAGCGGACTGTCGAGGGAGTTGTTTGAATCGTGGTGCGAAGACGCGAACAATGGCACTGTTATACCCGGATATTGTGTGCAGGGCACGCTTGCAAAGGAGATAATGACCGAGCCAAAAGAAATAGTTGCAATGAACGGGCATAGGCTCAGGCTGAATATGCGTGTGGAGTACATTTCGTTTTCTGCACACGTTGATTACGTGCAGAATACCTCGTTCATAGAGAAGTGCACGCCAAGACTGGTGATGCTGGTGCATGGGGAGGTGAACGAGATGATGCGGCTGAAGGCCGCGCTCGAGAAGAAGCACAGCGTACTTGCGCTTAAGAACGGAGAACAACACGAGATAAAGATTAGGAAGGAGAGCGTTGCGGTGGGAAAGAACCTTGTGGAGGGCGATATCGAGGGTGTGGTGGTGAATGAGCTGAGCGGCATACGTGTTTACAGGCGGGACGAGATGTCGTGCGATTTGTACCAGGAGGTGATGGTGCGTGATAGGACCGGTGAGCCAGACACACGGACCGGCAATTCAACGGGTAATAACGGCTCAGAAATGAGTGTAAGTCAGGTAACGATCAAGAACGCATTCAATGCCACACCTTCTCTCATCAAGCAGCACCTCCTCAATTTCTTTCCTTTCATACGGGGAAGCAACAATTCATTGTCTATCCAGGACATAAAACTGATCATTGAGGATGAGATAGTGCTGATTTACAGGAGCACGTACGTGAACGATTTGTTGGCATGCACCATAATACGACTTATTGAACGAATGGTGACCAAAGAAAGTGTTAAGATCAGTAAAATAAGCAAGAAGAGCGCAATTGTAAAGGTTCTGAAGAATTATTACGAGGTGATTGAGAACGAAGATGATGTGGAGATAAGCGATGAGGGAAGACGGGTGGTAATCAGTGAGAAGGGAATACGAGGAACGGAGTCGTTGATAGCAGAGGTGAGGAAGATAATCAAGAAGGTAGTTAGTATACTGTGAATTGATTGCTATGAGAAATGTATTCGTTCGGTGAGCTGGAATTGCAATTGGCCCTGTTATACGGGTAGATGAATTATCTGTGCGGATAACCTTCAGATTGGCAGGCCCGCTGGTAACGGGTCGGTGATATTTTCATTTCTTTGGCACAACAATGTACATATTTGAATACCGAAAGAGAACAGCACTGTGCACACACCCATTCATTGGCTAATCGCTTCACGTACTCCATCGTTTGCATCCGCCATTCCAAATGTACAAGCGGGTACCACCCGCTATGCAGCGGACCGCTCGCAAATTAAATGCTTTTTTCTACAAAGAAAATGCACTTTTAAGTCTTATTTCTATGAAATAATGAACTGTACTGCTATAAGAACACGATTATCTATCATTGATATCGAGAGCTCGTAATTTTAGCAGTAGCGCCTAATTTAACACCTGTTTGGTTCTTCCTCACGAATGAATTAAGTTAACAGACTTAAACTGTTGAAATGTTCCCTATGCTAATGAAAGATGAGCAATCTCCTAGCAACACGCAAACACACCCTGTAAAAAACTATTGGTAAATAAACAATATTTGAGAAAAACAGACCAAACAGTGAATACAAGCATCGTACACCCCTGTAAATCGGTGCTATTGCAGATACAACCGTTTCATAGTGTTCTGTACTGTTTGAAGTTTTTGGTCTACTTTGATCGCTTGGTAAAGATTGTGGCTGCCGATCAGTGGTAAAAATACAGAACACGTAAGAAATCGCAATTAGACCGTATTTTGACAGAAAGTACGTCCGTTTTGCCAAACGAACATATGTTTGGGCGCACAACACCGTGCTGGTACTGACGAGAGCGCACACCGTACCGAATTGAAATAAATTATCGTAGTATTTAATCAAATTGGTGCATTTTCAGTGGCACCTCTGGTGTGTACACCGGTCACAGACCACCTATTTTTGAAACTGATACAGCAATACGGTGAGAGTGTTCCTCGTCCGATACCAAAAAAAACATTTTTGTGGAAAAGTGCGGCCATAAACACTTAAATTGCTGTTGGCAGTGCCACACCGGTTCATATTTTCTTTATTTCAACATCAATATGATCCATGCCACTTTCACCTGCAACATACACCACATTACCATCAATTGCCATGTCATATACCAGGCCTACATCCGTGTCGTAGAGCGTAAAATGCTCTCCTCGGTAATCACCCACCCCAATTTGATCGTGTAATGTTGTAAATATCACGGTGCTGTCCCTCACCATTAATAAATTTACATCTTTTATTTCTGTTCTGTACTCTTTGCCTTGGCTTATTATCACAAGGAACTCTCCACCAATGACAAGGCCATCGTTGATCTTTGCAATGCACTCCGTTCCTTTGACGTTGATATTGTACAGATTGGTGAAGCAATCTGAAACATAGCCGCAGTATGGCGTATTGCCACCAAAATATTTGTCGTAATCATCCTCATTATACGCTCTAACACCACGGCACTCCTCATGCTCATTGTATTTTAATACGCTTATACCCTCTTCGTACACCAGGTACGCCCTTCCATCTATCATATGCATACCTTTTAACAGATCTGTTTTGTGATTGTAAACTACGAAATTATTCTTGTATACGATGAAATTGCCTGCCGAAGACGAAAATATGTAGTTGTTGAGAATGGATAGACCGTTAATCTCCGTCTTATGGCCTTCTAAATTAGTGTGGCACTGCAGATTTTTATAAAAAACATGAATACAGCCGTCCTCACATCCCAACAGCAGGATATTCCCGTGATGTGTCACGGAAGTGATGTCTTTGCGAATGTTTTGATGTGCCTTTTTGATGAGAAGATACCGATCTCCGTGCCTATACACTATATTTGGGCGTTGTCCGTGCTCCTGTCTGTTTTCACCAGTGAAATTGCCATTTTCAGAGCACGCATCCCCATCATGTACGGTCTCTTCACGACCACCATGTGTATTCATTTCACACACCAATGCATTCTCAGCAGTTATCACTCCGTTGCTTCCCATACTCACCAATTCCATGATGTCTATCGTGCCGTCCATTGTAACCACGTATAACTTGGATAAGTCAAAGAACTTGGTATAAACTATTGAATCGCTGTATGCACCATCAAAATAAGATACTTGATCGTTATGTGCTATGTTGAGCACCTGGCTGTTGCCACCAAAGATTACAAACGTGCCGTTGCTGTCAATCGAATATATCTCGGTCTCCATCGGGGTGATCAAAAACGGAGTTTCATAAAGTTTCCTGTTGCCGACCGCGGTAGTATCAGTGTAAACACACCACAACATCGCAGAAGTAGCCATTAAACATAGCCGAATTAGAAAATCGTAGCATTAAACCAAGTTTATCTACTACTGCGTTCAAAATACGAATGTTGTGTCCATCCACCGTGTATATCCGTACAAATTTTGAATTAGGACTGTTAACCGATCGCTACGAGGAAAGTATCGGTTGAACCAAGAAAGACGGGTTTATGGATCACACCACACGTATCACATCGATGTACCGTATTTCGAAACGTTTAGAATCACATTAGGACAGACTTTTGGTGACAAGCACAGCAAACCGCCATCAACGCAAAACAGCGTTCATAAATGTAGTGTAAAAATCAAATACAGCTTTTAATCTAAATCATTAAAGTTGAGCTCCTTAACATGCGTGTTTGTTATTTTAATCTTCCTCTTATACTTTTTAATTTTCGTTTTCTTTACCACAATGTTCCTTCGCTCCTCTTGCGCCTTTCTCTCTACCTTGATTCCTGCCGAGCTAAGCTCCTTGAGGACATCTTGGTAGTTTGGTATTTTTATTTTATTGTACAGTTCAACAATCTTATCATTGGCTGGCGGCAAGTACAATTTGTTATAAAAAACAATCTCAGAGTTATCGATGTCTTTCAAAACAAAAATCACCGCTTTTTTCTGCAAATTCTGCACAAACGGCTTTATATCGATTGGAGAGTCAAGCAGCTTCTCCAATTCTATGCCATACTCGCAATTTGTGGCAACCATAATATTTTCAAGGTCTTTTTCATTTCTTATATTGTATAGCGGCTTAAACAGCAATGTATTATCACCTATAACTATCTTAGGATTCTTTGTGAGTGTTTTTAGCAGTTTCTTATTGTCGGTTAGTTTCAAATTGGTGTTCTTCTCTATTTCATCAAATGTTAACGGGCGGTCATAGTTCTTTATGAACTGTATGATAGTGTGTATGTAACTGTTGATGTGACGTGCCCTGCTATTCTCTTTGTAAGATGGGAACGGAGAATATCTGTTGCTTGCCATGTTGTGTCAACAATAATGCTATTGCTTTAAAGATGGGTGAAACTGATTGTTTCAAATATACCCATTACGGAATGGGCTGGGGCTTGTGAGTCATAGCATATCAAGAGGTGTGGTTGCCTGCGCGGTGCTGTTCTTTTATACGCGCATTGTTCATTCCGCCTCATTATTTGTTATTCTGATCGAAATGTTGTGATCAGCGCAAGAAATGAAATAAATTGTGACTTGTTTACAATAAGGCAGGAGCGGTGAAATGGCTTTGGAGGGTTAGAGCTAGACAGTCACTTGTACCTGTAAAAGTAGAAGTACCAAGCGGTAGCATCAAATCATTCACCAGAGTTACTTTTGACAGCATGGATTAGCTGTGACGTTAATGGCATTGAATCAGTTTATCAGAACTATCCTCATAACAAGGATAGATTTACGCCAATTTGACTCACTAGCTGAAATATGAATACCTCTGTTGTACATGAGAGTGATTTGACAAGCAAATAATGTACAGGTTTATCTTTTTGCCTTAACTTGATGCTTTTTTTTGCTGATCAACATCTTAGACTGTATACAAACACCAAAGAGATTAAAGTGTGCCTTCAGAGACAAGGCCCTGAAAATTCCTAAATGTTCTTCTTTAGTGGTAAACCGAGATGCTATACATGATTAAAGCACACAAATACGCACCATTTTTATTATTCGTAGACAATCAATCGATCGGGACCTTCAATGGCTAAATATCATGTAAATCCCAGTTTTGCTGTCGAAGATGGCGTGCCAATCATGTTTTGTAGTTAAAAAATTTATAGGTCATACCTATGATTGAATTACTGTACTAGATATCAATATTACGCCTCAGATCACTATCAAAAGGTAATATTGAACATATAGCGCTTGAGTGAGAATATTAGTTTACACGTTGATCACAGATCATAGTTTATTTTGCTATGTACATATCATTGGCATACATCTACACTTCGAATGATCGCATTGTCGAAGTAGGTTGAACGGAATCAAAAAATAGTTTTAATGGCAAGTGGGTGTTGTCAAGAGAAGGCTTTTCATCGTTTCTCTGTTCATCTTCTTGATTTATTGAAAGTTCCTTTGTTAGATTGATTTACCGTGCTGTGATAAGCACCAGGTACACCATCGCACGGCAATTTTACCATTTGGCAACAACCTCAGGCAATGAGTCCTGAGAGGAAAGATGCGATGTCTAATTTCCTAATTGAGCTGATTGCTCCTTCATCAGAAAATCGATTAGCAGTACCGAGCGTGAATACCAGTTATATCTTATAGGTTTGTACAACCTGTTCTCTTGTGCGGTCTTATAGTATTTGTATCATGGTTATTGTATCAATGGCCCGGTGTAGTATGCTCCAAATATTGCACATCCTGATTAACTTTGTTATCTTCTCGTAGCCTGGTATGCACCTCCCAATCAGCTTTTATTTCTTTTTTGCCGATAGCATGTCGTGTTCTTGTCTATCTATTGAAGCGGATGCAAGGTAGCTAAGGAATAAGCTAGTATAACCTGTAAATGAATCATGAGGTTTGTTGGTGTTAGTACTGAGAAAGCGTGGTATTCCTTTTCACGTTAGCTCTCATACAAAACATATTTTTAGAGAAAGAGCGACCGGTAATTCTATATTGGTCAGAACAGGGAAACGAATGGAGAGGAAGTAGCAGTGTGTGATAAGATCTCTGCAATTTAATAATCTGTGGCACAAGAATTGATTAAAATTTTTGTGTTAAATCAATAAACCATGAAATTTGTGGAAATTAACCAAATGTTTATTTTTTATGCGTTCAGGCCGGCACCTATATAATTCAATGTTCCTTCCCGCGAAAGCTAAATGCCATCCATAGCTGTCCACGTTAAATAACGTGCCTATTCCCAAACAACTATTATGCTGGTACTACTTAGAATATCTGTCTGATCTTTCCTTTATACAAATATTTTATTTTATGAGATGTGCAATTTAAACTTTCCAGTAGAGCAACGTTTATTCAAAAAATTTTATTAGTATGTGTTGGCAACGATCGTTTCAGTCTGAAATATGAATGTATAGCGCTCTCTAGCCACCTCTTTGCACAAGCATTATTAGCAGCTTTCTAATTTTTATTTACAAACCTATCCGGATCGTTAATACTGAACAAACCAACTGCTATCACATACCTCTCCATCTTCGTATCCTCTCTTACCCAAACACCTTTTATTTCTTTACACACCTTCCTGAACATAACTATCTTTACATCACTTTCCAAAGCGAATTTTCTCACATTAAAGTTGTAGAACAAGCAAAAAAACGCGTGAGCGTACAACGAGAGCATAACATCATTGATATGGTTCAGTTTATCTATATGTGTGCACTTGATGGTATTGAAATTGGATAACAGCGTTGTCTCGTCTATCGAATCCTTTCTATATTTCTTGCAGAGCATTTTGATTGTATCCATAGCTTTTTTGGGGCAGTTGATCATTCCTACAAAAACGTTTTTTGAGCAATATCGTTGCAAAGACGTGGTCTTGCGTGATGTTCTTCACGTATATTTAGTGGTAAAAGATATATTTTGCTAAAAGTGACTGTATGATGTACTATTTATTTCTGTGAAAGAGCACCAAAAGCTTCACACCATATTACCACATTCGTTTCGAATACTACATCGTGGTAGTGTTTAAGGATCTTATTTACAGGTGTTATGGCACCATATCTATTCACTCCCTGCTGATATTTGCTTACTCGGAGTGACTATGCCTGATAAGTCTTGATACCAGGAAAAAGCTGAGATCTTTCCGATCACCTACCGAACTAAACCTGTGCAATATTAAAATTGTATAATCATAAAATTTTCTTTAAATAGCAGCTATGACGAACGATCAAAATTTAATGACAACCCTAGTTTTCGTTTTAAGCGGAAGTTTCAATAATATAGCGTAGATATTGAGTGATTCATCTGAAAATTTTTTATATTTTCTTCTGTACAGGATGCCCTCACAAAGCACTGCTATGTCGTACCATACTCACCTTATATTAATCACATACGTGTTTGATCGCCGTTTATATGATCCTTTGATAATAAACATTCCTGTTCAAAACATATAGATTGTACGTGCTTGTCCTGAATATGGAAGAACTCCAAACAAATTCAAATCATTCAAATGCCATAAACTTCATACGCTCCCGTCGGATGAGATACCCCTGTTAAAACGGAAGGACTTGTCAAACTGCATGAAAATACTCAATATAGCAGAAAAACCATCGGTAGCAAAATCGATAACACGCACAATAGTGAACACCTCCTCAACGGGGCATACCAAGTACAAATACACGCCCGTACACAAGTTCGTATACAACTCCGATGCTCATGTTTTTACGAGCGTTCTGGGCCATCTGTACACACAAGAATTTACTGAGAACAGAAAATGGACGGAATGCGATCCAATAGCACTTTTTACAACGAATATCACAGAGTATATCAAGGATGAGTTCAGAGCACTCAAGGAAAATCTGCAGCATTTGTCGGCGAGTGCAGACAAGGTCGTTATATGGACGGATTGTGACAGAGAGGGAGAATACATCGCATTGGAGATTCAGAAATTGCTGGGTAGACAGTGCTGGAGGGCGAGATTTTCAGCTATAACCCGTGACGAAATTATCAGAGCGATGGAAAGCTATCGCGAAATCGACACAAAACAGTGCGACAGTGTAGCTGCACGAATGGAGCTGGACCTGCGCATCGGTGCATCCTTTACACGTCTTCAAACACTGAATCTTGCAGCTGACAAGAACGTAATTTCGTACGGTTCATGCCAAATCCCCACACTTGGTTTCGTGGTGGAGCGTGCACTTGAGCGCAAAGACTTTGTTGCCGAAAAGTTTTTTACGCTCAAAATTTCTATCGTAAAAGACAGAATGGTAAACATTTTCTCATGGGTACGGGGCAATATCTTTGACAAGAACTGCGTTCTTTATTTTTTTAGGTACCTGACCGATGAAACATCGAAAGCAGTTGTAACGAATGTTAACAAAGGAAATGTGACAAGGTTTCGCCCGCTTCCGTTGCGCACAGTGGACATGCAAAGGGTTCTAAGTAAGTCTATGCCCAGCCATAAGGTTATGCAGGTAGCTGAGGCGTTGTACCAACGTGGTATTATATCGTATCCGCGTACAGAGACAGACAGCTTTCCAGCAAATTTTGACTACAACAAGGTCAAAACGGAAATTTTGAAAGGGAACCGCTATAATGTACAGAATACTACGTTCAAGGGCCCTAGGAATGGAAGAAACAACGATTTTGCGCATTTACCGATCTATCCCCTGAAACATCCATCAAATTTGGCTGTTGACGAGAAAATGGTTTATAACTTCATTGCCGATCGATTTATTGCATCGATTTCGGATGACGCTCTTTTAGAGGAACATGTTGTCCATTTAAGCATGAAGGATGAGAACTTTACATTAAAAGGAACAAAAATCGTGAAACACGGGTTTTTGAAATTTTACCATCATGATCGAGTGAGTGAGAAGAATATCGGTGTGTTTAGAGAGGGTGAAAGGTTTGAAATATCAAGGATGGACAGCATCTATCCTCTGGGCGAAGATAGCAGAACCAAACCAGATAATGAACACGATAATACATCGGGGAACGCAGACATGGTTGATAGGCTGCAAAACATGTCAAAGTGTGAGCCTCAATTCAAACAGAATAGCATTTTTGTAAATGAGGGCCTTACCAAACCACCGAACTACCTCACAGAATCAGAACTTATAGCGCTAATGGACAAGAATGGCATTGGAACAGATGCTACCATCCACGAGCATATCAAAAAGATTCTTGACAGAAAATATACATTCAAAAAGGCAAAATATTTCATACCGACAAATCTTGGGCATGGTTTGATATGTTGCTATAAAACGCTAGATCTAAATCTTGACAAACCTGACTACAGGAGGGAATTAGAGAAAAGCTTGAAAGATATTGAACTAGGAAATATTGACAAGGAAAGCGTTATTAATAGAGAGTTGGTGTGTTATAGAAAATTTTATCTGATATTGCAGAATAATCTAGATGTTATGAAAGACATCTTTAGGACCAGTAGCGGTGATGACGATGATTTCGATGGAGGTTCCACACCTAAAGATGGAGTAACTGATGCATATATCAAAGATAATCGAAAAGGAACCAAATCAAAACTACAAGATGTTAAAAAAGACTATAAATATAAGACTGGTGATATGGAAGAACAGTCACATAACGTGAAATTGGATCAAGAGGAGTTTTCTGATTACGGAACAAAGTTACGAGGCTCTAGCAAACGAAATAATGCTTCAGTCCGTAAGGTACCAACAGCAAAGGAAGAAAACACGATAAAGAGCCGAAGCGTTTTACAGTCCATCGTAAATGACATGACATCAATAAAAAAGAGCAGAATAGAGAAGATGAATAATCGTGCAGGCACATATCTGACTGACGAAGAAAATGTTTTTTGTGACTGTCGGGAGAAAGCGAAGACAGATCTCGTGAAAAAAGGCAAAAACAAAGATAAAGAATTTTACAGCTGCGCTAAGTTCCCTGATGGATGTAACTTTTTTCAATGGAAGGGTTTGATGAAGTTGAAGGATGAGTTTGGACCGAATGACGTGAAATGTTTTTGCGGTGCAGGTGTTCGAAAATTTATTTCCAATACGGAGAAAAACAGGGGAAAAGTGTTTTTTAAGTGTAATAAAAGATACAGGCCATGCAAATTTTTTATGTGGGAAGATGAAATGACCAATTAATAGGGTACCATTTCAATCATATTAGCAGAAATTCGATTGGAATAGCAACATTAACATGCTATATGATGAAAATTTTAGACAATCGAACTATGTGTGCAATAATAGCTTAAGAGAGCGAAGAAGAATTGTTGTTTGAGAAGAATATTTTATCCAGTATTGACATGAAGGAGCAATAATTTAAACTCAATAGATAAAATCATAATAGGTCATATCTATGTATGGTAAGTTGGTGGTATCGTATTGTCCGGTATTAGAAAAACGAATTATACATCAACAAATGTTTAATATGACGATTGTCATTTAAAAAAATTCATGTGAGAGATAAATATGGACAGATAACGAGCTAAAACGGTGTTTTATGTATGATTTTAGCAATATTTAAAGTAATAAGCAATATAATACGTTTGTTTATGTTGGAATAATAACATGTAGATTTTCAGGTTTGAACCTTATTGTGACTATTACAAACATATGATTGTAAACTTAGAATTTGTATTGAAGAATTCAATTGAACCAAAATAACGATATTCTTTTCGTAAATAGACAAACCTATAATACTTCATCATCATAAAATGTCACCAACGTGTTTTTTATTTGGCGCAAATACAAGTTGAACATGGATATATTAGGTTTGTAAAAGCAGATAAAAAGCAAAGATTGCAGATATTGGCTTAGTGATGCAAAAAGATTGTCATAGTTGGGTACATCGTACACCTTTACAAGTACTTCATAATTCCGTTCACATTGAGTCAATTCGATGAAATATGAAATGAAACAGCATAAAACTCAAATTATCTGCGACAGGCTTACCCATAATGACAGATTGCAAGTCCTGCATTACAACACACAATGATATAGATACAGTATCAGTACCCATGCTTCACAATATTGTGGGTCTAACTGCGGTGAAAGCAATAAATCGAAAATTTTCTGGGGTGATTAATCTCAACCCCTGGGTCACAATATATGATCTAGAAGAAAGTGCTAAATTAATTTTCTCGGGCCATACTGGTATTAAAAGCTGATTGAACCTGGTATTAATAAATGAATGTACAAAAAACGTTTTGTACCTTTTT